GTAACTGGGATTTTGGTTTTACAGATGATAGGATAACTAATATGTGGTGATGCGTAACAATTTGAGAAGTGAAAGATATCATTGAACTGTGGCACCCAAACATGACATATGGCACAAATGAACAAATTATCATATTCCATATACGCCTGATTTGGGTCAAATATCATGAAACCTTACATCAACTATAAATAGCATAATTCGATGTAAACTAAAAATATCTAAATCAACGATTACTGTCTGCCATCTTAGATATGATGATTCCAGCCGTTACCATGACTTGATACTGACCAATGAATGTTTCCAGCTGTTCCTAAGCAATAATATATGGTTTACTATATAAATTTATTATGACTTGCTTGAAGAGTGTATTGAAACATTTTCACCTTAAACTAGTGCTCGGATGTAATGCTGCATTACCGGCAATGGCACTAGTTTGACCCAATGCCGGCATCAAAATCTTCTTACCGGCAATGGATGGCATTCATCTGAATTAGATTCTCGGGCGGAATCAGTCAGATTCCTTCATCAGTATGCTCTTTATAGTTATTTTTCTCACTTAAGAACTAAACTGTTATGTTTAGAAACTGATTTGTGTACATTACTAAGTGTCCAACATCATCCTGACGTTGAACTTTCACTTCCACCTATTATCGCTCGATTTAGAAGTTCAGAATGAGGCTGGTAATACAACGAACAAAAAAGTATTTATTTTACTAGTTTATATCTTATGAACTGTTAAAATCAGGATTGTTTAGTGGTTTAAAATGCTTCTTAATGTATTCTACAGTTAAATTAACTGGTATGTAATGTATGTATGGCGTACTATGCGATTTGGGGCAAAATATATAATAGTATACAATGGAGAGAAGTTTTTTTCCCTTTTTTCAAAATGCTTGCAAAATAATCGGTAAATATCGGTATTGACACACGACAATACCGGCATCACTTTTCACTACCGGTCCGACCACTACCTTAAACAGGTCAAAATAAATATATATACTTTTAATGTTTAATGACATTAATTCTTTTCGCTTGAAAGCAGAAGAAACATTAAAATAGTAAATTTTCCTTCATTTTCAAATGAGTTATATTTGATTAATGATTCCATGATGTAGACCAGTGCTGAGACCAGACCTTATGCTGAAAATATGAAAATATTTCTCATGATGGTGACAGTAAAATAGGCCTTTAATGAGAGTTTTCATCTGAAATAAATGCTAATGAGTCAAATCATTCAATGAATACTATTTTCATTATGTAGTTGGGGTTTTATGAGCCATAGTTTCAGTATTTTAATTGTTCAAGGTTAGACCAAAGGGTCAAGGTTAGAACAAAGGGTCAAGGCTAGATCAAAGGGTCAAGGTTAGAACAAAGGATCAAGGCTAGATCAAAGGGTCAAGGTTAGATCAAAGGATCAAGGTTAGATCAAAGGGTCAAGGTTAGATCAAAGAGGCATCTGTAACTGAAAGATGAGGGGACTCTCTTATGGAAAATCAAACTATATGAAAAAATGGTACAAGTTTGCCCATAAACCTGACATAACAACAATAGATCTCTGTAAAATCTAGGTTCTAACTTCCACACCCCATTCTCTTATATGTCGTAGCACCGGAAGTTTACGTGTATTTTTGGTAGGAGATTTTTAAGTACTCATTTGTTTCGACGTTTTCACAGAATATGGTTCTTTCCTTTTCGTAGAAACATTGACCATACCATTCAGATATACCTCTAGTATCGCTACATCTCAACATTTTGTCTGAACACGGTATAAAAGCCCTCAAACCTTCTAGAAAGCACTCCATTTTTTGGAAAAAAATATCATTGTTCACAAAAATCATCATAGTTTCTATAATTCTAACTCTATCATCTTGAAATATTGATAAGATTAACAATTACATTTTTATACATGATCCAGACACATTAATTTCCCAAATCAATGAAAGAATTTCAAGAAATTAATTTTTTTTGGAAGTATACGACTAAAAGGAGGTATACGACATTTCATTGTCTATGTTTAATTCCCTGAACGTTGTACCCCTTTTACGTCGTACACTTTCCAAAGAAAAGTTTATATCCCCGGAATTTTTTCATTGATTTTGGAAACTAAAGTGTTTGGATGATATGTAAAAATAGTATTGTTAATTTCATCAATATTTCATTATGACAGGGCTAAAATTGTAGAAACTGTCATGATTTTCATGAAAAAATATCATTGTTTTTCAAGAAAATGTTGTGCTTTCTAGAAGGTTTAAGAAGTTTTAGACCGTGTTCAGGCGAAATGTCAAGACGTAGTGATACTACAGTACTAGAGGTATATCTGCATGGTATGGTCAATGTTTCTACAAAAGGGAAAGGACAATATTCTGTCAAAATGTCGAAATAAATGAGTGCTTACAAATCTCCCCCAGAAAATACCTGTATTACGTCGTAAACCTCCAGTGCTACAACGTACCAGAGAATGGGGTGTGAACTAGTAAGTTAAGTAAGTGAAATATAGTAATGTTCAAACATATGGAATGATATCTGAAAGTTCACAGAGCTTTCTATCAAAAACTGGTGATAAGAAGCATCTTCCTTTCCCCAACACCAACACTAAACATTCTATTTGAAAACATCGATGAGGTAGCATGGATCTAACAATAATCAATGTACAATTTCAAGCAGGTTCTAACATCTTCTAACATGTCGTACAAGCTAATAACATATTCACTTAATTTTATTCTTTATCATATACTATTGATATAACCAATAAATATAAACCATAAAAATAAAAACAACCTCACAAACTGTATATTGGAGAAATGTCTACCACCAGTGAAATTATGAGACCAAAAGTGACAAAAAATATTTCAATATTATGATTCATTTGCAATAAAACTGTCAAGAAATGTCAAAAAGTGATTTATGGAAAACATTATTTGAAGAACACTTCAGTCTCATTATGACTCCTGTAAGAACACTTTAGAGGTTCCCAAAGTATTCCACTTATAAAGGTTTTACTGAACAAATATAACAAAGTTCAGGCATATGTTACATTTTTAATGATATGTAATTTAGCTTGACTTTAAGTTTTGTCTGGTTAACATTACATCATCATGTTATCTAGGTGAACCAATTAATTACTATTATTCACAGTTTCTGACTCATCATATCCTGCTGGTATATCATGGTAGTACATGTCATACATGTACTACAGTATGTACATCATGTACAACTTATCGTAGGTCAAGATAACTTTAATTACTCCATGAACTAAAAATAATTCTAAACTATAATTCAGTGAAACATGCTTTTTTATTCAACACCAGTACATAGTAGATTTCATCAGTAAAATACTCTAGAATAAAAGTCATATACTGCCCCTCTGATAAAGTAATTAGTAAAGTGGTAATGTCATTCTCTAACCTTAAACCGACCCCCCCCCCCTCACTCAACTTAAAGAAAATAGAAATAAATAGTCTGCCTCAAGTCCAAATAACTGTACTGAATTACAGAGAGGGGTACTAGTAAGATGCTCTGGTTGACTTCATCTTTATGTTTTATTAGGATTTAGACCAACATGAGTTCCAATAGTTTGGCTCAAAACAAGGCTCTAATAATAAAGGTGTTAAGGCCGTCTCTCTCAGGAAGAGGTTGCAGATAAATGATTACATGTTAAAAAGGAACTCTGATGAATCTAAAATGTCAGACTAAGGAGGTTTTAAGTGAAACAGGATATAAATAATATCAACATAGCAGAACAGCAATTTAATTTCTAATGGTCCTTTTGACAGTTAACTCAATATAGAGAATAATCTAAGACAATATATGGTTCAATTATCTCAAATTAGGTCACCAGAAGATATGTTTATTGGACTGAACCAAATGCTGACACAAGTAACTTCTTGTATTGTCACGATGTGCCATAATCGTACATGAAGAATGTTGGCATCAAAGAGAATGCATATCACAATGCCACAATTGAAAAAAATTCAAATGCGAATACTAACATCCTAGTCACATTTCCTATGGCGACCGTGTGGTCTGTCATTTCTGCGGTCAGTAACATTTATACGCTCACCATAGAATTTCTGCGGTCGGATACTTTTGCAGTCACATTTCCAATGGCAGACGCACGGCAAATTTTGAATTTCTGTTAAAAACGTTATTGTTTATTTTTAATTTATTTACATTAGTACAATTCATAAATGTTATTTATAGTGCTAGGATATATTATCAAATAGAAAGTGTTAATGTTGCATTGACCATTAGTAACCTAATCTTTTGTAGTATAGGTTGCTATGGTATTACATCAAACAACATACCTATTGCGTTGTGTTCACTTCAAAGATTTGACAGCAAACCTGACCTAAAAACTGTTTCCAAACATATAACCCATCAAAACACTACGGCAGACGCGAGTCAACGTGTGGCCACCGTGGGACTGTTCTGTGGTCTGGCAATAGCCTGAACAAATGAACAAATATTATAACGCCGAGTTATAATTTCTACACCCTCCCTGCAGCCTGTAAAAAACTGGATACGCCGCACAATCATCAATCATTTCTTGTGAGTTTTGGAATTTTTCATTAAGAAATAAGACCAAAATTCATGACTCAAATATTGAAGTGAACAAAATAGCAGCGAATTCTGTATCACGACATGTCCATACATGTGACAGATTACCGATGTTGCAATCTGGGAGCCAATCCTCCCTGTTTAAGTGAAAGCATAAAATATCATATCAGATAATATTGGAAGATGAACTTGAATGCATGAAGACGAGAAAGGAAAAAGTGATTTAAGCATATTTATTTTTCTGTAAAAATGTCAATGTTTTGTTTCAGACATCGATGCATCACCAAAACATGGTGGATCTTAAAAATCTATAAGTGGGACTCTATAGAAGCTTTGAACTGAATTTACACTTCTAAATGCTGAAATTGAATTTTCCCTTTACAGTTCTTGTTGCCCCTTTAAATTAAAAATTGCTCATATAGCTTAAAAGTCATTAGACTTACCTGCAAGCAGAGTAACTGGCAGCAGAAGCCTAAACAGCAAATAGCACACTGTCCGTTTTGTATCCATGTCTCTGTCTCTTTTTACAGTCCAGTCATTTTTAAGTAAAGTAATCCACAGGAATCATGTTAACGCAATGTCACCAAAATATCTGCAGTATCTTTTTCAACCGGTAATATAGAAATCAGTTGGATACTTATAGCGTCACATAGTGTTATGTTAGTTATACTTGTTACTAGGTACTCAGATATAATATAACGGTACATACATGTACATATCCCATAAAACAATGAATTAGATGGTATTTCTTGTTAATGTTATATTTTGTTTCTTATACAAGTTCTATGTTCAAGAGTATCACCTTCACACCAAATCAGCTCTTTTCAAATTCATAAATGAAATCCTAATCTTGTTTAAAATCAGCTAAATCCTATTTGGCTGTGCATCTAGTTTTGTGGCATAGAACTCTTTACTCTAAGCAGAGCTTCTGTTTAATAACTACAAACAGTCTACACCAGGATTGATCTTAGTAAGAATCACATGATGATCTTCGCTGAAAAGAAAGATAAACAATATTCGGGTGGGTGGACAAGTAAAGGGCCAAAATTGAAAAATTATTTACATATAAAATGTTGACACACTTGCATCATATTTTCTACAATATGGTAGAAAAACTATTGGACTTTTTCTTGAAATTATTTTAGAAGTGGTATTTACGTTTTATTTGCACTTAGGTTTACATGAAAAAAAACAGAACTAAAGTATATTTTAACATAAATGCGAGAGAACCCTACCTGCTGTCGACTGTCCTTTTCCTTTTTTTACTCGACTAGACTACCCGATCAACATTAGAAATGATTTGCCACATTTACAAGTTCCCGGTGCAATGCATTTTCGCTCCCAACATAGGCTAGACTAGTTTGTGAGAAATGCATATTAGAATTCTCAAATTTCTAGTATTTTACCGTGAAAAAAATCATAAAACATTCTCATATTTAGTTGCAGAATTATTGTTTGATTAGATCTAGTCTTGTCTTTCAAATTTGACCTACTTCTTTAAAATTGAAAAAAATAATTTTGGATTCATGATTTTATCAAGTGCAACTGTCAGCTAGGCTATTGATAACTATATCACAATAAAGAGGTGAGTTTAACAGCCTTTTTGTATTATAATTTTGACTTTGTATTATTGCATTCTTCTATTGAACTATCCTTTGGCAAAACTAGGGCAAAACTCTAGTGGTTGAATTTAGGCTAGAGCATAGCCGTAGGCAGCGGGGGTTCGGTGGGTTCGAACGAACCCCCGGTCAGGATTTCCCAAAATATCATTTTGATGCATGATGCATATAACCAGAAACATTAAATTACTACATGCTATTTGAAAACTAGGCATAGGTTTATATGACCAGTAAATGAATTGAATTGTTATGGTGAACACGAGAGCCTTATTTTGTTAAAACACATGTCATAGTGAAGTTACACTTCCCTCAAAACGTTTTGCAACCTAAGGGATACGGGGTGAGATTTAATTTTGGGAAGACCCCAGAGCATGTAGAGAGCATGAGATTTTACATTTTGAAATAACAATAATTTCGCGCAATTAACTTAAAAGCTGCTTCTTCTCGGACAAAATAACCCATCTTGGGCAATAGCTAAATCAGTCCTGTGTAGGAATTTTGTTTTAAGCCAGTTCTGGTCCAAAACGAAGTTATTGAAAACAATGCAGACGTCCAATACTCCGAATGATTTTTACAACATTTACGAATAAATATCTGGAATAGTCGTAATATTGATGAAACAAATGTTCTTTCAAATGTGTACATCTCTGTTTTGTTTTATTTCAATTACAATTCAAAATATTTCTTGGAACAGCCCCTGGGGCTGGCAAGTACCCCAAACCAATTGCAGAAAATTAATTAAAAACGTTGTGAAATGAATTATTTAAAAGCGTATATCATTTATATATAAATTCAAGCATTTGTTCAAAGAATTCATTCTTTCATTTGTTCAGTATTAATTTATCCATCACTTTTTCAAAGAAAAATCAATCATTGCAAAAAATGATTTTTTCAGATACACTCCACTCATCTAAGAGATTGTATAGAATTCAAATTGTTATCGTTCCATTTTACTTGCTCTCCATTTTCATGTTAATGTCATGATATGTTTAGGGAATAAATTACATAATAAAAAACATTGAAAAATCATATGGTATTAATCTTCAAATAATGAAGGCCTAATTTATTATCAAGCCGTCTGAACTTAACAAAATACGTTTTACAGTCGCTTGTATATGATTTATATCCACCAAAACGTTTTTATCATCAGTTGCAGTTGATCTGCTCCAGGGGACTTACATGTACAGTGCCACTGAGCTCCGGGGACGTCCAAAGAAATGTTTTTAACTTTTTAAAACAAAGCATAACGGAGACACACTAATTTTAATAACAGATGTTTTCATCATTAATACGACTACCCCGGATAGTTTAAAAATCATTCGCGTAAACGTTGTGAAAAGTTATCATAGAAGAGCGATCTTTCGGAATTTATAGGGTGTTTGCGCCTTGCCTTGCATTTGATCCGAACTGGCTTCCAACAAAATTCCTGCAAAATAATGATAAGCCATTGCATGAGGTGATTTATTTTGTCCTAGATGAAGTAGCTTAAGTTAAAGAATAAATTGTGCGAAATAGTTGATATCCCTTGGTAACAAAACATGCTCCAGGGTCTTCCAGAAATCAGACGAAATAATGGTGGATTCGAGGCAAATCAGATTTCAGGATATATATTTAGTAAAAGATTCACAGAAATTTATTTTGAGGCAGAAAATTAATTATAAGTTGTCTGACTTTTTTGCACGTTGCCTGTTTATTTTACTTTGTGAACATTAAAGTTACAAAGCTACAAGGTCATTTTTGAAAATCATTTTTACGTCCTGTGTTATTTCAATGAGAGGTTTCTTGATAAAGCCTATTATTACCGCGTTGCAGGGCCTGTTCTAGGGGTTTTAGTACTAGTTGAGAAGGCATTTAAATTGCTATATTGACATGAGCAATATTGTGTCGGGCGTTATGACTTTAGTCGGGCAATAATGACATTATCCGCCCCGCTATTTTTCCCGGGAAAAGTGATATCGTTCAGTGCGTAAGATTTTCTATTTCAAATTTGCTATTTCAGCCCTGGGCATTAACGGTGGTAATAATAGTAATAACGTCATTTCTGCGGACAAAATAGTGAAATATTGGACCTTGGGCCTGCGGCCCTTGGTCCAATATTTCACTATATTGCCCTTTGAAATGACGTTATTGTTCAGACTTTGCTTAACGTAAATAAAGACATCATTTTGATTGATAAAATTCAAATTCAATTGTCTACTTAACTTAATGAAGGTATTAAAATGAATTATATTTCCCCTCCCAAAGTTTTTTCGTAACAAATTATGCATAAGAATTCAAACTTAAAGATGCTTTAATACATAATCCAATGGGTGAGTTAGGATTGCCAAACTTTTGGAGGGAGTGTAATTGTACAAATTGCACAAAAAGGATTTTATTTGAGGAACCCAAATGAAGAGGGGGGGGGGATTTGTGAATAACATGAAAATAGAACCCCCGGTCACCAAATCCTGGCTACGCCACTGTAGAGTCCATTTCACTGTTTAATTGCGTCAGTAAAACCTAAAAAATAAAAAATAAAAATATCATTATGCACGAATATATGGAAAATATATTCCTATTGTACATGAATGACATTTCTATATCTTGGATTGCTTCTAGAGTCCATTTCACTGCTTCATTTCGTCAGTAGAACGGCAAAAATAAGAAATTGGGAGACCATTGTGCAATAATATATGGAAAAGTATATTCATAATGTACATGAATGACATTTGTATATCTTGGATTGCTTCTAGTTTGGCTTATAAAGTGTGTGGCCTCTTATATTTGGATGTTTCTCTGCCATGTTATTTTCAATAAGATTTCATGGCTGAAATTCTTCAAATTACAAGACGGCACAGGCTTATTGCACAAAAAACTAAAAAATCTGAAATATACAAATGTCATTCATGTACATTATGAATATACTTTTCCATATATTAACGTTTTCACTAGATGTGCTTCACTTTTGCAAGATCAATTGCATGTCACTGGCGGCGATTTTCATCATTCGTGCGTGCTTCCCAGTTGCAAGTGGGTCTGAAATTTTACCCAAAATATCATTTTCCTTAACCCAAATTAGATCTGTTTTCTTGGGCCATTGGAATAACTGTCTTTTTTCTCCATGAAATCAATTTCATATTCTCCGTCCTCCTCATCTCTGTCCACAATCTTTCCGATATACCAATTTTTATCATATAACGTAGCACAAAACTCATCTTTGTTGTATCTCATTGCTGATATTTCGTTGTGTACTTGTGCATTATTGTTTACATCACTTTTCTCTGAGCTGGATTGATTTTTAGACTTTGTATTAGTGAGTTTTGCTCCAGTCCACTTGTCACAAAAGTCTCCGTTTAAACAGTGTTTGCAATAACAGCTGACATCGCTCATCATGACAATGTTGTTCCCGATCCCAGAAATTGCATGTAGCTTGAATGTCCCTTTCAAAGGTTTGACTTTGTCACGAAGTTCAAGCTCATTCTTTTTGACTGCGCATCTTTCGGAACTTAACCAAATGAACTTGACAGCCTTCTTCTGATACGTTCCTTTTCAAGGTATTTTTGTCCTTCGATTCTTTTCTTTCTTTCTCTTTAATTCTTTTGAATTTCTGCTTTAGTCTTGGCCATATTCTGCAACATATTGTGAATTCCCGGATTAGTTACCACTATTAAGACAGAAATAAAACAAGTTTTAAGCGACGTTATCAAGAGCAACGTACCTTAATTGATATAAAACTCAAGTCGTAGCGATTTGGGAAAAAGTTGACATCATGTTTTAACAATGACAATTTAAGTTGTTTATTTAGAATATCTTTCAACCGAATCGGGATATCCTAGATCTTTGATTAACCAGCTTTGCTTAGGCAAAAGATACAGGTGTTGTACTTACGCGATTGCTGCATTATTTAGGGATTTTTAGGAAGAAATCCCATTTCATTTGACTGCAAATAAAGTATGGCGTATCATGAGATCACGTGATGATCTCCTCCACTGGGTTAGCAGCATCTATTGCTGAGTTAATCAACTTATTTCGCACTTTCCGTAACGTACCTTATTGCAACGTACATGAGGAAAACTCATTACATGTTCCAATAAAGCAATATAACAGAGCGAACAAAGGTAATGAGCACATTGTATTGAATGTCCGCCTTGTCATATTCAAGAATTTATTTACTAATTCCATCAAGCTATTACAAAATGTTGGGAAATGTTGTAACGTACCTTAAAATCCTTATCTTTTGAATTGAAAAATGACACCTTTACATGTATGACCTATAACTTTTGTTCTGGATAGAATACAGTTTTGAAACTTTGCATGCATTTTGATAAATCATTTTCTGATAAAATATCACTTTGGGTTAAACATTTAAGTGATTTGTGCATTCTCTAGAAATTGAAATATCTAAAGTGGTATTTTAGAAAAAAAACTGGCGACATGGGTTCCGGGCATCTAATTATTAGGTTAGAAAGATAAGATTACTCGAAACGTTGGTAAAATACAGTATATACCCACAGGTATCTTTTCAGGAAGTTTGGACATGTTCTGAAATCTATAACTACTTCAGTTTTGCTTATAAAACATCACTATGCACTCTGGCGACATAACGTACCCGAGGAATTTGTCATCAAATTAAGTTAGAAAAAATTCTCACTTATTACCAAACAATTAAAATTTGCTGTTTGGTGGTTGTACAAGTGGGTATTGGTCCTAAGTCGTTGTTCTTAAAAAGTTTCTATATACAGTAGAACCTGTGTAAGTGGAACACCCTCCGTTCTGCCAAAAAGCGTTCCACTTAGGAGGTGTTCCGCTTACGGAGGTTTTGGGTTCGCGGGGATTTTAAGAATATATTTGATAAAATATAGGATTTATATATATCACTGTAAATATGATTCTCCCCTTCATTGCAGAGCAGGCATATACTATTAATAATCCTTTTGTTTTACTCAATTAGGTATCTGACATTCATAATCTTACTCATTCTGTCAAAAATGTTTTCTGACATTCTAAATCCTCCTCATTCTGCCAGTCTCAGGTACAAAGATTTTTCAATTAAGTTTTAAAGACTTGTTCCTACTGCTAATAATACAATTATTTTTAACTGACATTCTTAATCTTACTTATCAAGTTTGAAACAAACAGCAAGGGGTATCAATTAGTGATAGCATCACATGTCCATCTCTACAGGAGGTTAATCCAATTTTCTGAATGATAATCTTATTAAATGCTAATTTGCTGATTATCAAACTAATTAGTGGTTGCATCACATGTTGACCTCTACAGGAGGTTAATCCAATTCGCTGAATTGTAATCCGTTCAAATTAGTTCACATTATTACCTGTTTTCATACCAATATATCCCTGTAGGAGATTAATTCTGTTTAATACATGTGTCAATATTAAAGTTTATGGAAATTGACTGTTCCACTTAGCAGGTTAAATTTTCAATATGGGGTGTTCACTGTTCAAGTTTGGAGGTGTTCCACTTACAGAGGTTCAATTAACCTTAAGTCAATGGGTTTTTAAAACGGGACTTTGAAAAGGCGTTCCACTTGCGAGGTGTTCCACTTACGGAGGTGTTCCACTTAGCAGGTTCTACTGTATATCTATTAACACTTGAGAAAAAACCCTTGGCGACACGAATGTCTGCTTATATGTGGAATGACTGAATATGAATATACTTTTCCATATATTATTGCAAAATGGTCTCCCGATTTCTTATTTTTAGGGTTCTACTGACGCAATAAAACAGTGAAATGGACTCTAGACTGGTCTATGGGCTTTCTAGTTGAAAGCCACAGCCAGCATAATCTATCTAATATCTGTAATATTGAATAATGAAGATCGATAGTGGTCACTGTGTTGAAAGCCCATGCTCTAGTCTAATAAAAGTCTAATTTCTAAGCTTAGACTGGAAAAAATCTTGATCTTTTCTGCATTCTAATTTCTTTCATTTCAGATTTCACCGTGGTCAAGTTGACAATGGTCAAACAGCTCAGTACATCACTATCAGATGGAATTCTTGCGCTGTCAGCATTCCACGCAACATACACTATAGGACGGGGTAATCTAGCTGCATCCTTTGGCTTCGCCCTGATTGGTTCCGCTGCAACTGCAGGAGTTTTGAAATTTTCTCAGGAATCACCGACTGATAATTTGATTTATATTCACACGACTTTAGCCTGGCTGTCTTCTCTCATTGGGGTCCCTGCATTAGGGGCAGCCTATTGCCAACATGTGGAGCTGAACAGTCTGGCCAATGTACATTATGCCCTTGGAATTGCAGCTATAATATCATGGAATGTTTTGAATTACAAACTTCAGAATTTGGCAAGTACTGCTGTAGGAGGTGTAGCATTGTTATCAATTGCAGTCATATGTTGTTTGAAATTCAATCCAACTGGAATAATTGGTGCTGTGTTATATGTGGTAGCAGGACTTGTTATTGGAATTGAGGGGACATTGTTTGGAGTGTTACGTGTAGACTGGTTTCATTATGCCCTTGCTGTGGCTAATATTGCCCTTATGCTTGGGCTATCACAGAAGGAGAAACTAGTGTTTTATAAGGCCAAATGAGATACTGTGTACTGTAGGTGATAAACAAGCCATGGTTGTTATGCTCATTTTATATGGAATAAACATTTAGGATTGTGTTTTCTAGATGACATGGTAATGTAAAACATGGTCTTGCATCCTTACAGTATTTTGCCACAACACTAAAGAGGATTAGTATTGGTTTGATTAGACTACTGAGATTTAATCATATTTTTTATGTGGATGACTAAAGATGATACAATAGGTGGAATTACACCTACGATGTAAAAGCGCTTTTTAAAATCCTATCGGGTTTCGACCTGCCTTTAGAGTCAGGTGTAATCACGATCGCGGATTTAGAAAAGCGCTTTTGTAATCCTCCCAGACCCCTAGTCATTGAAAACCGCTTTCACACCCAAAGGCGCTTTAACGTGTAGGTGTAATACCGATTGGTTTTCAAGGCACTTTAACTCGATTTTACACTGAACGAAAACTATATTTGCGCATGAGCATCAAGCATGTTATTGATTTCCGGTGTGGAGGAAACTTCAAAAAACAAAATTCAAATATTGTGCAAAACTCAATCAAATCACCAAAATGTCGAAACAAAGTAGAATTTATTGGGACCACGTCAATACTGAGCGTATGCTTTCGATTTGGGCTGACAAAAAGATCCAGGCCATGATGAACGGCACGTTAAAAAATGCGATTGCGTATGACCTGATCTCGCAGGAAATGAAAGTAAGCCTAAGCTTAAGTTAGGATAAATAATTTCTCAAAGATCCAACCCTCCAGTTACCCTATGGGCCTACTGTACAAAGATTATATAACCACAGATTTTGAGAAAAGCTACCCTATATCCTGTACATAGTTCAGCAATGCATTGTTTTCCATGCTTTCTTTAGCACATATTTGTTAACGCCAGAGGTAGATTGAATACGATTTAAGAAAAAAAGGAACATACAGTATCGGATCATTTTGAATCTCCAGAGATGGCGCTACGGTTGAAAGTGTATATCTAAATAGCAGATTTTGATGCAAATGCGATGGTTGATGGCAAATTTTTGTCTTAAATCAGTCTAAAAGCGCTTTAGAAAAATCAAGTGTAATCACGAAAAGTTGTCTTCAAGGCGCTTTTAAAATTCTGGTGTAATCAGGATTGCGGTTTTCTAGCCTACGTTACCCAAAACGCCTTGATACGCCTTTAGCCATGAAATAGGTGTAATTCCACTAATTATGTCCACATCTACTTAAGACAATAGTTTTGAGGATTGTGTTTCTCGGATGACATTATCCAGCTCTGTCAGATAGGGGGATGCATTAGATAAATAAAATAAATAAATCCTGGAATCCTGAATTCAGTGTATCTCTGATGTCATACAGCTACTTCCAGTAAAAATTGTGAAACTGCAACCTTGTTTTGGAAAGGTATCTGACAGGCCTGCATTCAGTATGTTGTTGAAAGTGGTTCAGAAAGTGGCAGCAAAGGATACACAGTATATACAGGGTGGGCCAAAAAAAACCAATACCCAAGTTTAAGAATGAATATCATATGATATAATGTTAAACCATGTCAAGTATTGTATATCATCTTAAAGATAAATCATTTCCTAACAATATGACACCATCTGATTGAAAAACTGTTGTTTTCTTGTTTAGCTAGAGGCTAAAATTGACACCAGGGGTGTCAAAAGCGACCAAAAAAATATTGACTGCAGATTTCCAAATTGCGGAAAATGGAGGGAAATTTGAACTTTGACACCTTCAAAAGAGGTACATTTATTCAAGTATAGTGCAAAATTCGGCAATAATACTTATATATTTTTAATTGATTATCAATTGTGTATTACTTTTAAATACATTTGTGATGATTCAGTCAAGCATATTAAGTGCAGCTGTGACTGCAATATTTTTTGATTTTTGGTCGCTCACGGCACCCCTGGTGTCAATTTTAGTCTCTTACTCCACGAGAAACCAATGGTTTTCCAATTGGATGGTGTCATTTTGTTAGGAAATGAGTTATCTGTAAACTGATATATGATACATGGTATGGTATAACATATATCATATGAATCATTCATCTTTAAACTTGGGTATTGTTATTATTAGCTCACATGGTGAGCTTTTGCAATCACTCACTTGTCGTCTGTCTGTCCGTCCGTCCGTCTGTTCGTCCGTCTGTCCGTCAACAATAGTGGCACGTTTTAAAACCTCTGTCGATAGGATTCCTGTTTTAAGTTATTTCTGTTCAACATCAATACAGAAAACCCCCCTATGACTCCTGGTTCAAAAGCTCGCCTATTTTCAAAATGGCCGTCACTTTTGTCTCGCGAAATTCACTTTTAGCCCATTTCCTAGCTAACCTCTGTCGATAGGATTCCTGTTTTAAGTTATTTCTGTTCAACATCAATACAGAAAACCTCCCTATGACTCCTGGTTCAAAAGCTGGCCTATTTTTAAAATGGCCGTCACTTTTGTCTCGCGAAATTCACTTTTGGCCCATTTCCTAGCTTTACAAATAATTTCAGGTGTCCTACATTGTAAAAATCCATGTCAATGTAAAGATTAGATATATGAAATAATTTTGTTACAAAAAATCAGCGAAAAATTGTATCCATTTTTTTATTTTCAGCCATTTTAGTTAACATTGATTTGTCTATCTGACTCGCGAAATCCACTTTCTGTCAATAACAGTGGCACGTTTTAAAACCTCTGTCGATAGGATTCCTGTTTTAAGTTATTTCTGTTCAACATGAATTCAGAAAACTCCCCTATGACTCCTGGTTCAAAAGCTCGCCTATTTTCAAAATGGCCGCCATTTTTGTCTCGCGAAATTCACTTTTGACCCATTTCCTAGCTTTACAAATAATTTCAAGTGTCCTACATTGTAGAAATCCATTGCAAAGTAAAGAGTAGATGTATGAAATAATTTTGTTACGAAAAATCAGCGAAAAATTATATCCATTTATTTATTTTCAGCCATTTTAGTTAACATTGATTTGTCCATCTGTCTCGCAAAATTCACTTTTGGACCATTTACCTTAAACCCTCTGTCGATAGGATTCCCATTTTAAGTTATATTTGTTCAACATCAATACAAAAAACTCTCCTATGACTCTTGGTTCAAAAGCTCGGCTATTTTCAAAATGGCCGTCACTTTTGTCTCGCGAAATTCACTTTTGACCCATTTCCTAGCTTTACAAATAATTTCAGGTGTCCTACATTGTAAAAATCCATGTCAATGTAAAGGGTAGATATATGAAATAATTTTGTTACAAAAAATCAGCGAAAAATTGTATCAATTTTTTTTATTTTCAGCCTCTTTAGTTAACATTGATTTGTCTATCTGACTCGCGAAATCCACTTTCTGTGGCACGTTTTAAAACCTCTGTCGATAGGATTCCTGTTCTAAGTTATTTCTGTTCAACATCAATTCAGAAAACTCCCCTATGACTCCTGGTTCAAAAGCTCGCCTATTTTCAATATGGCCACCATTTTTGTCTCGCGAAATTCACTTTTGACCCATTTCCTAGCTTTACAAATAATTTCAAGTGTCCTACATTGTAAAAATCCATGTCAATGTAAAGAGTAGATGTATGAAATAATTTTGTTACGAAAAATCAGCGAAAAATTATATCCATTTATTTATTTTCAGCCATTTTAGTTAACATTGATTTGTCCATCTGTCTCGCAAATCCACTTTTGTACCATTTACCTTAAACCCTCTGTAGATAGGATTCCCATTTTAAGTTAATTTTGTTCAACATCAATACAAAAAACTCTCCTATGACTCTTGGTTCAAAAGCTCGCCTATTTTCAAAATGGTTGCCATTCTTGTTTCGCGAAATTCACTTTTTGCCCATTTCCTAGCTTTACATTTTAGCTTTAATTTCAGCTGTCCTGCATTGTAAAAAGCCACGTCACTGTTAAAGGTAGTTGTATGAAATAATTTTGTTACAAAAAATCAGCAAAATATTATATCCGTTTTTTTATTTTCAGCCATTTTAGTTAACATTGATTTGTCCATCTGTCTCGCGAAATCCTCTTTTGGACCATTTGCTCAAAACCTCTGTCGATAGGATTCCAGTTTCAAGTTATTTTTGTTCAACATCAATACAAAAAACTCCCTTATGACTCCTGGTTCAAAAGCTTGCCTGATTTCAAAATGGTCGCCATTTTTGTCTCGCGAAATTCAATTTTGGCCCATTTCCTAGCTTTACAAATAATTTCAGGTGTCTTGCATTGCAAAAAGCCATGTCACTGTAAAGAGTAGTTGTATGAAATAATTTTGTTACAAATTATTGGCAAAATATTATATCCGTTTTTTTCAGCCATTTTAACTGACTGAGAGACAGATGGCTTGAAATAATTTTGTCACAAAAAATCAGCAAAAAATTATATCCGTTTTTTTCTGTCACCATGTGAGCCTAGTACCCATGGTACTATTTTTTTTTTTTTTGGCCCACCCTGTATATTGTGCAAAATGTTGAAAACAATCCTTTCAGTTAACATGTCAGTCTGCCCTGGGGCACAGTGCTAAGCTTTGGGTATGAGACATACATGTAGTTAACATGTCAGTCTGCCCTGAGGCACAGTGCTAAGCTCTGGGTATGAGACATACATGTAGTTAACATGTCAGTCTGCCCTGAGGCACAGTGCTAAGCTTTGGTATGAGACATACATGTAGTTAACATGTCAGTCTGCCCTGAGGCACAGTGCTAAGCTTTGGTATGAGACATACATGTAGTTAACATGTCAGTCTGCCCTGGGGCACAGTGCAGGCCCGTAGCCAGGATTTGCCAAGGGGGGGTTCAGTTTTCAAAAATTTCCAGGGGGGGTTTACATTTGACAATTTTGATTTTGAAAGAATTTTGGCCAGGGGGGGGGTTCGCCCGAGCCCTGCGAACCCCCCCCCCCCCCCCTGGCTACGGGCCTGCAGTGCTAAGCTTTGGTATGAGACATACATGTAGTTAACATGTCAGTCTGCCCTGAGGCACAGTGCTAAGCTTTGGGCGTGAGACCTAAATATAAAGTTCATTTGTATGAAATAAATTCAAGGTACGATACGAAAGAATAAAAGTCTTTGTCTACAATTCAAAGCTTTTTTTATGAAATTCGCAAGAAACAAGAACAAAACATGATCCCAAATAAAATCTCTGTTAAAAGATTTTTGATTTTGAGATGAAATAAATTCAAGGTACAGTACGAAAGAGTAAAATTCTTCGTCCACAATTCAAAGCTTTTTTTATGAAATTCGCAAGAAACATGAAGAAAACATGATCCCAAATACAATCTCTGATAAAAGATTTTTGATTTTGAGATGCAGAAATATTATTATTAAATAAAAGTAAAATAGGGTATTTATTCAAAAATTTTGCTTATATCCTCAAACAATCATTTTCATGAAATGAATCCATTGCCTGTATTTATAATTGTCTATTTTGAAAACAGGTCTAATTGGGAATACAGAAACAAACATTTTACACTCAGCTCATCTGTACTGTGTTGCCCCTTTAAGTCTTGCACCCATTTTATTATAAGATAGAGCAGTGTTTATACTAATTTGATCAAAGCAACTAAGATAATAAAGTATATTTTGCATATGATTATTATAATATATTTTTCTAGTTAAATTTCAAGATGAATAACATATTGATTAATACATGTTGAATGATACAGAATTCCTTCCTATACAACATACTTGATAGGAAACATCAGTAATCCATTAAATAAACAAAATTTGCAAGATACTGCAAACAAGCATTAATACCATGGATGTAGCCAGGACAGGTACAGTAGCCATACATGTATGTAAGAATGATAAGTTGGAGAAACTGCCTTGCTATAAATAATTTGAGAAACTTATCAATTTCTCTTTTCTGCTTGCATGTTCTGTGAACTGCACATGAAATATGAAAATAAACAGAAAATTGCATTTTGCCCCTCATGTTGTTTTTGCACATTTCAATTTCTTGGCAATGGATGGCTATTTTAGATTGTGGCTACAACCCCAATGAGGAGCCAGGACATCAATGAAACAAAATCTATTTTAACCATAGTGTGGATCCAATTACATTCTACAGCAAGTGCTTTATGTATCCTAACACATTCTGGATGGGAGGATCCAGTAAAATGCTGTAGTTCATAAAAATATTGACAGTGACATCTTTTCATCAAACACAAAATATTTTTTATGTTTAAGTAAAACTTTGCTTTGAAAACAAGGACTCTAGGTGGCTCCCAGGGTCTCAACACGATATTCGACCTTGATCGATGACAACATTGAAAATGTCATTATTTTCTGATATTATAACTGACTATTAATTCATAATCAGCAATCCGAAAAATTTGAACTAATATCTTGATCACTTCTTTCTTGTGTGTTTTAAATTTTTTGTTTGGAAATAAGACCAAACCACACAATTCAAATTTTGAAAATGGCGGACGGTTTGATTTTGAATTTTGTAATCACGACATAACTATGCGATAATAATGCCAAGGTTATAACACCATATCGGCCATATATGGCAAGAATATCGATATTGTAAAACAGGCTTATTTTGCTTCAAGATACACACTTTAATTGATAGTAATAGTAATTTGTGGCAGGTAAAAAAATTGCATATATACTAACAACTCATCCTACAGAGGAACATTTTGGTATTTTCAATTAAATTCTAGAACAACATTGTTTTAAAGTTTTTAACAAAAATTAGTGCAACATTTCATTTGAAATTTTAAGCATAACATTCGAAGATTAAGCTAAGATAGGTATTATTAGTTAGCAATTCCTTGTTTGTGATATGGCACGGTGATTTCAAAGTGAGGAGAGCTCTGGGGAACTTATCAATAATAAATAAATGTAACTTGTAAGCAAAAATCACCTGTTTCACAATATAACCATACATTACATTTTCAACATTTATGTTGTACAATATCAGAATTTATGTTTTACAATATCAGCATGACTCATTCATACTCCAATACAATAAAACCAGCTTAAGATGTATGGTTGTGAATAAATACATATAAATAGAACATAATAATTGCAAGTAACAAATGTTGAAATATAAAATACAACAAAAACATGCAGTATAGAATAATAATAAATATAACACCACTAAATCCCTTAAGTTACAGAACTAATCTGGTACTTGTACAGAACATATACATTATTGTACATAACATACATTATTGTACATATGCATTCTTGTACAGAAGATATACATTATTGTACATAACATACATTCTTGTACAGATGATATGCATTCTTGTACAGAAGATATACATTATTGTACATAACATACATTCTTGTACAGATGATATGCATTCTTGTACAGAAGATGTACATTATTGTACATAACATTCATTCTTGTACAGATGATATGCATTCTTGTACAGAAGATGTACATTATTGTACATAACATACTTTCTTGTACAGATGATATGCATTCTTGTACAGAAGATGTACATTATTGTACATAACATACTTTCTTGTACAGATGATATGCATTCTTGTACAGAAGATGTACATTATTGTACATAACATACTTTCTTGTACAGATGATATGCATTCTTGTACAGAACATAAACATTCTTGTACTGAACATATACTTGTACATTTTTGTACAGTACAATATATATTCTTTTACAGTGCATATACATTATTGTACAGAACATATACATTTTTGTACAGCACATATACATTCTTGTACAGTGCATATACATTCTTGCACAGTACATATACATTATTGTACAGTACATATACATTCTTATACCGTCGATATACATTCATGTACAGTAGAAGTACATTCTTGTACAGTCGATATACATTCTTGTTCAGAATATATACATTATTGTACAGAACATAGATATTCTTGTATAGGACATATGCATTCTTGTACAGTACATATATATTCTTGTACAGTGCATATACATTATTGTACAGGACATATACATTCTTGTACAGTACATATATATTCTTGTACAGTGCATATACATTATTGTACAGGACATATACATTCTTGTACAGTACATATATATTCTTGTACAGTACATATACATTCTTGTACAGGGCATATACACTCTTGTACAGTACATATACATTCTTGTACAAAACATAGATACATGTATTCTTGTAGAGTACATATACGTTCTTGTATAGTACATATACATTCTTATACAGTACATGTACATATTCATTCTTGTACAGCACATTTACATTCTTGTACAGTACAAATACATTCTTGTAAAGTACATATGCATTTATTGTAAAATGTGTCAATGGAACACTTAACATTAATGAATCTCTTTATGAAGACTTCCCAAGTGAAAATGCAGTCTGTTTTTCCAAAATGTTTTAAATAAACCAAATGCTTGAATATTTTATGATATTTAGACACAATTACATGTACACCACTGAACTGTAAGACTATAATCAGATAATTACATGTATTTGCACATAAACAGGGAGTTCATCAAATTCTTGAAGCTTATGAACACCCTGTACTTATTTGAACTGCTGGTTACATGCACTGAAATAGTGATGGCCTAATTACATTTTCACTTTTGATTATTGTTTTGATTAAAATGAACATTTGAGTTGAATTAAAGGCAGCATAAAAGAGAGTAGAGAAAATTTCAAGCAATCAAAATGTGTTCCCTTTCATTCCAAATAATATTTTAAAGTGATTCTCATGAAACATTTTGAAATGGTGCTTTAGTATATATATTCTTCAAGAGATTATATCCTCACGGATCAGTTTCTCAAAAAGAAGTCAATTCCTCTGTATTTCCTTGAATAAAGCAAAAATGTTTTGGAAATATCCATGAAAAAGGATAATACGAATAAAGAGAATCTGAATGACATAATTTTTGTTGAACTTGCTCTCTGTCTGGCTATACCTTTAATTCTTTCATCATAAATTGAAATACATCCTTTAAGATACAACAAAATAGTTATGTGTGTGTCGATAATTAACAAATGAACTTACAAGATAGGAAATTCAGAGCTTGGGAATTCCAAATCATGTTAATTGTGTACATCAAATAATTCTGCGCTAGTATACAGTTCCCCATGTAATCAAAGTAAGTATATTTTTTACATGTGGGTATATTATTATGTACAAAAATGCCACTTGAAAGTTTGAAAGTTTGAAGTGACATAGCTAAGTTGTAGTCCAACCTAGAAGTTTCCCGTGTACGCAGGGAAGTTTCTTGTTTCTATTTTTGCAAAGATAACAGAAAAATGTATTTGCTTTTCGACTATTGCACGATGTGGGATGATAATCCTTCTGATAATCCTACATGAAATTTAATACGGCTTATTTTAATTTTAACGTTCTAATTTAGCAATTAATCACTTGTCATTGTTTAGAAATTGGAAAGTCAGCAAGCATCCACACAATCTAAGGAACAATCGTCATAATGACACATTTATCATGCAACGTTTGCAACATTTGTTCATCATTAAATATTATCATTATAGCAAAAAATATCAAATTGATACAGCTTTTAATTGGCTTTTAATTGAATGCCCTTATGTAGACAGGTTCAAATAACACATTTACTGATTCATTAATTACTGTAAAATGAGTAGACCTAATTAATGTGTTTGTTTTTCTATTATTATTTAGTATTTGAAAAAGGCTTCAAAATATGAGCTTATGAGAAGCTCCTTAGAAGTATGGCAGGATGTGAGTTCTTGAAGGAATCCCATGATTTTATATTATATTCTGCTAAATTCTGCAATTAACAGTTCATTTTTTTGTCTGCCCAACTTTTCACCCCAATTCTTGTACATCTAATCACCAAATGTATTCTTATTTAGTAATTGAAATTCCCTAACACTTCTTTTCACCAATAATACCATTTTTACAGTGTTTTCAATTAATGACGGATTCAAAATAGAAGACTCTTTGGAAAAAGTGATCAATAGTATACTATGAAATGCAAATACATTTTCAAATCTTAATTTAACTGGCCCTGATAAATACATGTAATATATTTGTATAAATACCTACTACAGCCACGACATAAACAAGATTATAACCAAGGTGACATTACACATATATGTAAATTTTACACTTCTAAAACTAAAAATCCAGTAAAAATTGCCTTATTCGTGTTTAGCCTATATAAACTTTTGTATAATAAGTGAATAATATCTCCTGAAAAAGTAATACTGTTAATTAGTTGATAGTTCTACCTGGTAAAATATACCATTTACTAGCTAGTATCAATAACATGTACATTGTAGAGTCCTACGTGCCATTATAAACTCAGGTTTCTTTCACTCTAACATTTATTTGAAATGAGGAAGAGAACAGGCATAAGGGTTAAGGCCTAAAGACTACAAAAATAGTAAGAATAAGACTCTGTTAACTTTTGTTATATGGTTCAATTTCATGATCAGTACAATGAATGTTAAATTCAGAAGTTCTATTTTTCATGAAGAACTGAACTGTAGACTATATATGGGACTAGTTGAACTGTATAATAAGCATTTTGAATCTACTAGAACACCAATTTAAACCAAATTGTGCAGTAAAACCTGTACATCTAAATACCTCTTTAAAACCTCTCAATTTAAAACCTTTTTCTATAACAGAGATGTGCAGATAAGACAGTTTTACTGTAGACAGTGTTCTAATTATATACAGATGTGCCACACTCTCAAATTTAAAAATCCTTAGATCTCAACTGACATACTTTACACATTTCTGTGTCTGGTGACAAATGAAACACACGTCTGTAAAATTTGAATTGGTCCAGCATAAGTGGAATACAGTACAAGTACAAATCGCATAGAGACAGTACAGTATATTCTGCTATTTCTACAATGCACTTTTCTTGGAAAATCAGGTATACCAAATATTCACAGGTGACTCAAATTGAATAACATTTTTGTTGGAATTTTTCAATTTTAACATTTAACAATTTTTTGATTATAGTTATTGTACATCAAAGTTAAATTATTTTTATATGCATTTTAGTGTTTTTTGTTTTCATTTTTGCATGCTTATTTCCAACAATAGCTGTTAAAAGGAATAACAAAGTGACCATAATACAGTAAAACCTGTCTTGGTAAACACCTCTCTAGTGAACACATGTGTTTAGTGAGTACCGCTGCAAAACACATTTTACATATACTCCTGAATAAAATACCACACTTTAAATGTGGCTCTATACGTGTTCACTACATACAGGTTTTACTGTATATAGGTTATAACAGAGTTACCATAATATACACGTATGTAATATTTATACCACAGATTTTAAGTGTTAGCACTTCTATTTTTTGTTTGGGGAATCGACTGGCCGATAAACAGATCTCATCAAAAAGATACTTATAAATAGTTATGTTTAAGTTATTTAGGAATTTGAAAAAGAATTAGGCGCATATTCATTGTTTTAGCAGCTAATACTTTGTTACAGTCTGATGGAGTTGCCAATAGAAGATCATGATACTCCGTTTCCATTCCCTTCTCTCCCCCAAACTCAAACTGACAAATACGGGGCTTTACATCCATATCACCATATGGCCCTTTAAGTGCTACAAAGTGAACGCTCAATGGGGCGTTAACTTTGCTTTTAAGGACCAATTGGTAGCTTAGGCTTCGAGAACATGTCTGTACAGGATCCTTTTTATCACCATCAACTCGTGCCTTGATCACCCATTGGTAGTTGAAAGCTGTGAATCTACTGGTCTCGTAGTAAAGTTGAGTGATGAAGTCATCTGTTCGATACGGTCGGAGCTGTAAATCTGCGGATACACAAAAAAATATACGACAAAAAGCAAGAATATATGAAACATCATTATTCAGAAATAATCTGGTGATTGGGTAAAACATTATAATGTCACATGGTGTTAAAAACAAACAAATGGGATAAAAGTATGCATTTTTGTACAGGCCTATTAAGAAAGTACTATTTTAGGCGAAACTTTAAAGATTTTATTTTTCCTAATATTTCTCATGATTTTTTCCTGATGAATGAATTTATTACTGTTCAATTCAGCAAAAATGTGTAGCCTTTTTATTTTTTTATTTTTATTCAATAAATTTACAAAAATGAAGTTGCACCCAAATATTTTTAATTTTTAAAAATCCTGGCTTGGTTATTGCTCAACTCAAGTTATGTTAAAGTTATATCCGTTTTCTATTTCAATATGGAATCAAGTGGACTTCTTTTGGAATTGTGTGATGCTAACATTAACCATTGGCATTACCCCATGCACTTGTTTTCACATCATGGCAACCCTAATGACAGTAATGAGCATTTTCAAATGACTTTTTGGTCATGCATTTTGATTAAAGCTAGAATCTGTAATAATATGGAAGAAAAAGCTATGTTTCAATTAAATACTTTCTAGTGTCTCGAATAAAATAACTGATTGAACACATTTTTAAACTGATGCACTGTGTCTTATCATGTTGCTTATTACTTGCCATAGAACAGACTCTTGCTTTAATAGTTTCTTTTTTCAATGGAATAATTTGATCTTAAATTGGTGCTCATTGGGCAAAATATTGAGGACTTTGTAAAATTAATCAAATCTATGCCAATAATTTATTCAAAGCAAGTACAATATGTCAGTACATGTAATTTATTTAGTGTATAAGCATTCAACTTATCTAATACTTCTATAAATGTGTTCCTTAGAGAATGTCTTGATTATTCAACAATATGTCAATCACAGTAGTCAATGTGCCAATAAATTGTTACAATGTATCAATAGATTGCTACAATGTGTCCAATAAGAGATTGTTTTAATCCAATGAGTGATTGTCTACAATGTGTCAAACAAAACAAGTCACGTTTCAAACAAATAATTTATTCTATTACATGGGTCTTTTCCTGAAGACCTATGTTTGATCATAATAATATCTTTCAAAAACATTATGAAAAAGTCTCAAAAATAAGATCTTGGCTTAAGTTCCTCTAGAAAAATAATATTTTGTGTTTTTTACAAAATGTACATAGGTAACAGTAACATCATGTTATCTTACCATTGAATGTGATTTTTTCATATGATAACAAGTTGAATATGTTATCAAAGAGTTTGCTTTCTTCTGATCGTTTCTGATCAATAAACTCCAACGCTTCCATGACCTCTGACCCCTTACTATCAGGTCTCGTACATATGTCTGTATGATTCTGGAGTTCATGGAAAGGCCCCTTCCACTGGCAACCAATGCGAACAAAACGACAAGTCACTATTCTGAAAATAAGATGAAAATATTTCTTGCAGTGGGCATTGCAAGACTTACAAATAAAATTACATTAATAAGCATTTGATTAAGTGTCACTCATGAAGATATAGAAAAATCAATGCAGGCTATTACTTGTAGGAATACTGAAAACTATAACAGCGTCCAAAATCAATATTTTAACCTGTGTGACTGTCTGGATGTACAAACGAGGCCTTAATTATAGGTGCTACAATTTCTTATAGCACCATGGTAACTCCTTAAAATACCATAGTTTTATATTCTTATATGGTCATGGCCCTATGGATATTTCAACTCCTTTTATATCACCATGGTCTCTTAGAGGATAATTTCTATAAAGGGAACATAGTCTTGCAGGTGCTACCTCTTCTAATAGACCATGGTATCATATATATGATGCAATCTCTCTTGTAGTAGCATGGTCTAATAGGATAACTCCTATGAAAGGAGCATGGTCTTATACTGGTTCTAGCTCCTCTAATAGGACCATGGTATAATTTGTTTTATAACTCCTCTTATAGGACCATGGTCTAATAGGTGATACAATCTATCTTGTAGTAGCATGGTCTAACAGGATAACTCCTATGAAAGGAGCATGGTCTTATACTGGTTCTAGCTCCTCTAATAGGACCATGGTATAATATGTTTTATAACTCCTCTTAAAGGACCATGTTCTAATAGGTGATACAATCTATCTTGTAGTAGCATGGTCTAATAGGATAACTCCTATGAAAGGAGCATGGTCTTATACTGGTTCTAGCTCCTCTAATAGGACCATGGTATAATTTGTTTTATAACTCCTCTTAAAGGACCATGGTCTAATAGGTGATACAATCTCTCTTGTAGTAGCATGGTCTAATAGGATAACTCCTATGAAAGGAGCATGGTCTTATACTGGTTCTAGCTCCTCTAATAGGACCATGGTATAATTTGTTTTATAACTCCTCTTATAGGACCATGGTCTAATAGGTGATACAATCTATCTTGTAGTAGCATGGTCTAATAGGATAACTCCTATGAAAGGAGCATGGTCTTATACTGGTTCTAGCTCCTCTAATAGGACCATGGTATAATTTGTTTTATAACTCCTCTTAAAGGACCATGGTCTAATAGGTGATACAATCTATCTTGTAGTAGCATGGTCTAACAGGATAACTCCTATGAAAGGAGCATGGTCTTATACTGGTTCTAGCTCCTCTAATAGGACCATGGTATAATATGTTTTATAACTCCTCTTATAGGACCATGGTCTAATAGGTGATACAATCTATCTTGTAGTAGCATGGTCTAACAGGATAACTCCTATGAAAGGAGCATGGTCTTATACTGGTTCTAGCTCCTCTAATAGGACCATGGTATAATTTGTTTTATAACTCCTCTTATAGGACCATGGTCTAATAGGTGATACAATCTATCTTGTAGTAGCATGGTCTAACAGGATAACTCCTATGAAAGGAGCATGGTCTTATACTGGTTCTAGCTTCTCTAATAGGACCATGGTATAATATGTTTTATAACTCCTCTTAAAGGACCATGGTCTAATAGGTGATAAAATCTCTCTTGTAGTAGCATGGTCTAATAGGATAACTCCTATGAAAGGAGCATGGTCTTATACTGGTTCTAGCTCCTCTAATAGGACCATGGTATAATATGTTTTATAACTCCTCTTAAAGGACCATGGTCCCTAACAGGACAACTCCTATTAAGGAACATGGTTTTTGGGTACTACCTCCTCTTAAAGGCCCACGGTCTATTAAATCTTATAATTCCCTGGTATAATAGGTTTTATAGTAGACTGTGGCCTAATGAGCAGCTACCCCTGCACAAATATAGTTTGCATAAAAGTATGTATTGAAGTTATACCAGATCAAGGTGACTTTAATTAATTTCTGATTATGTTGTTTAGATCAATATTGTTTCATGTCACATGCAGCTTAATTTGCCAATTTATGAAAAATAGAATGAAGCCATGTTGTTTCGTCTAATTGCAATTGAAAAAACATATGCCAAGTGTTAAGGTCCCTTCCGGGATTAATCAAAATGTTAATTGAAAACAAAAATAAAATGTAATATACATACAAGTATATACATCCCCTTCCATAAGTTTAGCGACCGAAAGTTTCCTTCTTGAGTGTATGTTAGAGCCTGTTTGGCGATTTAAGATAAAAAATAAATAAAATTTGTCACATATTTCCAAAGTATTGCTATAAAGGAACAAATGAAAGATTCAAACATTAACAGACTTTAACATATTATCAAATGAAAACTTCTTGTTGCCAAACTTATGGAGGGGAGTGTATATGTAGAACTTGAAGAGGGGAGTGTATATGTAGAACTTATGGAGGGGAGTGTATATGTAGAACTTATGGAGGGGAGTGTATATGTATTACTTATGGAGGGGAGTGTATATGTATAACTTATGGGGGGAGTGTATATGTAGAACTTATGGAGGGGAGTGTATATGTATAACTTATGGGGGGGGAGTGTATATGTAGAACTTATGGAGGGGAGTGTATATGTAGAACTTATGGAGGCGAGTGTATATGTATAACTTATGGAGGGGAGTGTATATGTATAACTTATGGGGGGGAGTGTATATGTAGAACTTATGGAGGGGAGTGTATATGTAGAACTTATGGAGGCGAGTGTATATGTATAACTTATGGAGGGGAGTGTATATGTAGAACTTATGGAGGGGAGTGTATATGTAGAACTTATGGAGGGGAGTGTATATGTATAACTTATGGAGGGGAGTGTACATGTAAAACTTATGGAGGGGAGTGTATATGTAGAACTTATGGGGGGGAGTGTATATGTAGAATTTATGGAGGGGAGTGTATATGTAGAATTTATGGAGGGGAGTGTATATGTAGAACTTATGGAGGGGAGTGTACATGTAAAACTTATGGAGGGGAGTGTATATGTAGAACTTATGAAGGGGAGTGTATATGTAGAACTTATGGAGGGGAGTGTATATGTAGAACTTATGGAGGGGAGTGTATATGTAGAACTTATGGAGGGGAGTGTATATGTAGAACTTATGGAGGGGAGTGTATATTAAGAACTTATGGAGGGACGTGTATACGTAGAACTTATGGAGGGGAGTGTATATGAAGAACTTATGGAGGGGAGTGTATATGTATAACTTATGGAGAGGAGTGTATATGTAGAACTTATGGAGGGGAGTGTATACTGCATATGTAGAATTTATGGAGGGGAGTGTATATGTAGAACTTTTGAAGCGGGGTGTATATGTAGAACTTATGGAGGGGAGTGTAAATTGTACCTTTCTTGACACATTTGACTCTCATGGTGCTCAATGGCACTTCTTGGCAGTTGCACTGCACAAAATTGGCAGTCACTTGGCAGCTCAGATACTGCATTCTCTACTGCTAAATTACGGGAGCATAGATTTTTGCTGATTTCACATCGACATTTTGGACATGTTGAAGTCTCGTCTTTGAGTCTGCCATCTGCTAGTAAATGTGCGAAACAGCCAGCACACATAAGGTGACCATTTGAGCACTGGAAAACAGAAAATATTGCACATATATGGTGTTAGATAGTTTATAAATACAAGTAGATATAAGGTGAAGATTGGAACAAGAATTACAGTACACGACAAAATACTGAGCAAAATGAGCATATAATCAGATTCTAATGAGGTCCAAAGATCAGAACCTTGGTATGGACCACAGTAGAAAAGAGAAATTCCTACATTATGGCACAAATTGGTAATGTACTTGGAGATATTGGATACAGGGAAATCCTCACTTCAGCAGATCCACTATTCATTTATTTATTGCTCAGACTGGTCTTAGAATAGACCTTTACTATACATACATATATACATGCATGTAAATCACAGCATGGCCCATGATCACAGCACAGCATGCATATGTTGATTGATGCATCTACATCTGTCAAATTATCAATATACTTATTAATTAGCTCTATTTTTGAGCAACGCTATCTGTAATGTTGCACTGTAAACCTGCAAACATTGATGTCAATCATGAATATTTGACCCTTGCCAATGAAACATACTATAAATAAGTTAACCTGAGGATCGAAAATATCCTATTCACCAAATTGGCAATCCTCCAAATGTATAAATAATGAGGTGATCACGTGAGCCACCAAGGCCAAAGCACAAACCCTAGTTACAATTGAAGAAAACTAAATATTTTGTAACTCCGAGCTCCAAATTTTCTGAAATTTTCAGTATAGTTAGACGAGTCGGTCATCTAGGTTTTGCATTATATAATATTGAAAATGTATGAAGTTTAAGGGTCGATCCTGAAAATCTTTTACATCAAAAAGGTTTTGTTTATGTTCTTCCTCTGCCACGTAAACTTCTCAAATATTACTCAATCCTAGTTTCCGTAGCAGTGAAAAAATGTAATGAATATTGCAAACATAGAATCAATACATATCCTATCTGAAGAAAATCAATTATTCCAACGATTCTGGAGATAACTAAACGAAATCATCTTTACAAAAATGTACATTTGTGAGATGAAAATCTTCCAACCTGATAAACGGAATGTTTGGGTAGATCCAAACAAACAGAACAACATAAAATTCCATTTAATCTTTCCTCGAGTTTATACTTTAATTCTTTAGAAGGTGTATCTATCCTAGCCTTTTTGGCTTCAGGTTCTCTCGATTCCTCTTCAACATCGAGTATTTTTACATTTTCCTGAGCATCTGCTATCGAAGACCCACCTACGTCCGCCATATTTGTTTTGATTTTGTCAGCTTCACGTTCCGGAGGTGACGAAACATCAATGATGTCATCAACAACCAATCAAATTTACGATGAAATCATTATTGACCAATCATAGCTCGACAATCAGTAGCGTCGTCTATCGGATAGCAACAGAATGACAAAATCAAAACAAAAGTCAGCTGTCGTGTGAAAGAGGTCATTACTTGTAAAATGTTTCATAGTTAGTTGGGAGAACTTGAAAGCAGAGGATGAATTCCCCGGGTGAATTTATGACAGAAAACAAACATCGCCAGCGAATGGTGTCGTGGATGTCGTGTTAGTTTCTGGATTCGCCAGTGGGGCGTGGGTGAAAAGTTTTTAAAACTGAGTAAATGTTTTCTGCTGGATACAGACATGATATACTATACCCGGTGTAGTTATACCTGTACATGTGTACCCCAAGTGCATGTTCATATAACCGTCTTTATTCTCGTTTTGATACCACTGGCACTTAATTTAAATACTATTTCACTGGCGGACAAGCCCCCCCCCCCTTGGATGGGCCCAAAAAAAACTGGGGCCCCAATAAGTGATCCTTTTTGGGCATGACTGTGCCTTTAAAGGCCTTATTATTTAATTTTAGAATAACTTAAGTTTAAGAATGTGAGCCTTAAACTTTTTCAGACTTGAAATACAAAAATACTAATATACAAAAAAGGAAATAAAATTTAGTGTAAACCTCGCATCTTCCTCTATCTAATGGTTTTATTTATGGGGGGGGGGGTAGCGTTCGCGTCTATTTCACCCCCTGGCTACGCATATAGTGAATAAATCCGTATATAATTTTATATTTTAAAATGTCTATATATATAAAATATTATCAGCAAACTTTATAAAGTGTAAACTTTAATCAAGTGTATGTGAAATCAACAGTTAACTCCTGTTAAAAAGCTTAGAAAACAAACCATGAGATTAACTCGGAGGCAAGCATAAACAAACCTTAACACTTACAGTAGATAAAACAAAAAGTTGCTTTGAAAAGTATATCAAAATGAATAATGGATTAAATATTTCAAACAGATAAATCCGCTTAGTGGGGAATAACAAATAACAGAACTGGAAAATATGTTCATCCCAAAAGTGAGACACTTTTTAACTAGATAACGGCAACTCCGCGGAGTAGCAAATCCCAACGAACAAAATATCAATTACCGAATTCCAATCAATTATACTCATTACTTTGGTTGAAAATGAAAAAATTAGATTTTAGAATTGCGAATTCCTGCAAAGCAGCCATTTTGAATTTTCTGAGGTACAAATCTGAAAAATAATACCATAATTGTGATCTACTCCAAAATTCCTTCAATTTGAGTATAATATAGCCATACTTTGAAGGGATCGAAAAATTATTGCGAAATCGTACATTAGACGGCCATTTTGAATTTTACGAGGCTCCAATCAGAAAAAAGATACAATATTTGCAATCTACTTTTAATTGCCTTTCATTTGAGTATAATAAAGCTATACTTTAGAAAGATCTAAAAATTAGCGAAAATTTCTGTTTTCCTGTCCCCCCATACATGGCCCCTGGGGGTCAGGATGAAAAACACGGAATATATGTGAAATAGATAAATGTTGTGAATACACTACCAAAATTTCAAACAATAATATTAATTACTTTGGTTTAGAATGAAAAATTTATGATTTTTGCGAAAAAGTCCCGTCATTTTTAAAGCGGCGGCCATCTTGAAAATATTTTTTTTTGCGTAAAACTATTCACCAATATACATCTTTCCACTAAATATGAAGAAAATCTGTCAACTAATATTTGAGTTATCTTCCGGACAGACGGACGGACGGACTGACTGACTGACGGACTGACAGACTGACGGACTGACGGACAGACGGACGGACGGACGGAGGGCTTCACTATATCCCTAACGAACTTCGTTCGTTGGGATAACAAGTATTTTCTCGGCAACTGAAGAACCAAATTCAATGAAAATTCGTATAAAAAATTTAAAGTAGCCCAAGAGTACCGTTAGTAAGGTACAAAAATAATGAGAGAGACCAAGTTTTAAAATGTTATGTGAGTACTTTATTATTATGTTTATTAATCCATCATTTTTGATGAGTACATTTTAGTTTAGTAACATATAATACATATGAAATTATCATTTTCATTTATACATTATATGATGTGAGATAAGATTTATAGTACAGATTAAAATTACATGTATATTACATTTGTGTGTTATTTTGTCAAAAGTTGACTATCAGACCACTTATGCCTCATTTGGACGCATAGTGTACATTTTAAATACGGTTGTCACAATTAAGATTAGTTCATTGTCATCTAGGATCTGACCTTCGTCGAAAATGAAATTAAGTTTTTGATTGATGTTATTAAATTCTACAACTCCATATTCCCTCATCAAGTCCATTAATGGAGTTCGCGCTTCACTTAAAGCCTCACATTCAAATAACATATGGGATAACGTTTCTATACAATTCTCACACATTTGGCACAGTCTAAGATAAGTTGGTGTATTATTCCAACGGCCTACATTTACTTGGAGGTTTCCCTCTCCTACCAGAAGCATTACCATCAGGCGGCAATGTTTCACTAGTCTAGGGTATTTCCGAGCAACTACCCACCATGAAATGGGCTTGATCTCTGTTACAACATCTCTGTAAACATTGAGTTTTCTATACGTTAACAACTTAAAATGCCACTCATTGATATGATAGTCTTTAAGTTTTTCAACGACCATTCGTTTCCACTGTAACTTACAGGGTACAATTGCAAATTTTACCATATTCATAACGTTCGACCATAAACCGTATTTAACACATGTGTTCATTATGTCACGTAAAGGAGACTGTACATTAAGGTTGGCAGCACTCATTTGAATGATACGTATGATGCAAATTCTTCTGTAAATGTTCCCAATGGGCAATGCTAAAAGATAGCCATGATAGCATGTCAAAAGATCGCATTCCGGAGCAACGCAATGCGAACTTCATGATCATGTGTGAATTTCAATTCTAGTTGAAAGCCCATGGTCAGAATGTCAGAATAACCAATATCAATGTAAAAAAAGTCACTTATTAATCCATTTCCATCAAGCAAAAATAATTTTCCGTATATATTCTTACAATCGATCACCTCCGATGAATTTTGACACACAGACTAGCTGTTTTAACGAATTGACAGTTGCTATCACCTAATAACAGGTACAAACACTATCACTACTTTGAGGTCTCATCGCAGAGCACCGTCAGAGCACCGTCACCGCAAAATCTTCAAGGAATTGTCATTCCACATTGCACCGAGTCCAGGGCTTAAATCCTTATTGACATCAGACAAAGGCGAGATGAATGATTCAGCCCCATGAGCCCGAGGATTCAGCACACACACGCATTGAATCGGATCCGGAGGAATGTTCTGACTGTCAACGTTAACCCTAGAAGCCCTAAAGGGGGGGGGGGGGGTCTTTTTAAGTTTTTCCCCATAACTTTTTATTGGCATCTGTTAGGATATTTCTACAATACTGTTGTCTTTAGAATTAAATTACGCAATAAAAAGCTAGCACTAATTCTACCATACGTGTTGTCTTTAGAATAAAATTACGCAATCTTACATCATCATGGTTGTTAAAGTTATTACACCAAGTTGTAGAGACTGTAGAGAATTGAATGAAGTATATTTTGGGAAAGTTTGAACATCCTAGTTCTACTAATAAAAATTTTACAAGGGGGTGCCCTTTTGACTCCCCCCCCCCCCCTTAGGTGTTCGTGTTTCTTTACTTTAGGGCTTCTAGGGTTAATAGGGGAACCTTATCCCGTTCCCGGAACGGGATAAGGGGAACCCCCTGTTTATCGGCATCGAGAACGGGGAATCCCCGTGTTTGAAATTCGCGCTAAATTTGAGCAACCAAATCCTCGCATTTCTTCAGTCCTTATCATAAGTTAGATAACTTCAAAAAAGTAGATCTAACTTTAACATTTATAGTTTATCTATACATATTATTTACTGGTCTGATTTAAAGTAGCCGTAGTGATGTGCAAAAACCTTACTGCAGACGTACTGAAGTGAGATACATAACAGTTACTAACTCGAGTCTCTAGCCAATTACACTGTGGCCGAAGAATAAGGTAAGGTAAAGTGGGGGACAAAAATAAATCTCAACCCTCAAAAGTTGTCACAATGAGCTAAATTCTAAGTTTCGTGTCTCAAACTCTCCCAAGCGGTAGAAAAAAAATTCCCATTCACTTTAAGTAGCACAATAAATGAATCCAAAGCTTCATACCTGCAAATGATGGATAAATCCCTACCAAATCGAACAAGTGGCGGAATGGCATTTTGAAAGCTGACACGTGTCATGTTGCATTCTGGGAGCCAATCCACATTGCGGCGTAATCGTGCTCCAAAATCACGTCAACATTCAAAGAGTTGGCATTAACATGTGAATTCCACTTCAAATTTTTAAGTTCTTATTTGTCATTTTGGACACGAATTCCACTATATCTGGACTTACTAGGACGGAGAAAATAAAGCACTGAATACACTGAGGTAAGAATTTATTACATGTGCGACAGCATGTAATTTTCATAGCTTTTGTAATTCTCTATGTCCCCCACTGTAAACAGTTACAGTTCTGTGTTGCAGTTCTGAGTGTATCGTTTTGAATTTGTTAGAAGGGCCATATTATCCCCTGCCAGGACTATAGTCCTGTACCGAGCGCACTCTTTTGCCTGTACGATTACAACTTGGGAGAATTATCTACGCCCCTTACACACATGCTATCTATTGCAAGACTTATGCCTGGCACAACCGTAACCATGTTATTAAGTGTTTTTAAGTTTCGCAAGGATCCTGCCATGACCGTGGTATTGCTATCGTGAAAGCCTGGTGTATCCGTGACAATGCTATATTATGTTACAAGGCCTGTCATGACCGTGGTAATGTTAAAGCCTGATATGACCCTGACAATGTTCACATTCTTGAATGAGATTAGAATTATAGTTTGTGGAAATGAATTATGAGTTAAAGTAGAAGTACATGTACAGGTAGTAGTAATCTAGATTTACATATCTAAGGTAGATAAACGATGAAATTTTTCATTACAGTATTCTCATGCTACCAGCTACTAAAATATAGGGTTTACGAAAAACACCGACCACCGACCAGTCACTCTCCACAGTTGGGTATACGTGGTCGGTGGTCGACTGTCGGTCTTTTACATGAAGATAAAAAGATGCAAAATTAAAAGAAAAACTAAAACTGGGAATCCAATGACTATAGTACCTGTACAAGGTAGTGATTTAAAAATGTATTTAATCATTTCAAATCACGATGAAAAACGTAACATCATCGTGGTGTGTAATGTCTTTGTTAGAAGACCAATTTCATTCTGGTTAGTAACTTTGGATTATGATGAGAAAACGCACGTAACAATGCATTAAGTTCATTAATATGAAACACAATTAACAAAAAAACACACTTAACATTGTCGGTGTTCACGTCGTAACGTAATTTTTGATTTCTCAGTTGTTAAACGTCAGATGGTAAAAACTACATTTAATATGACAAAAAAAGCTTTCTAATGGTGTACTGAAATGGTTAGTCACTTTTAATCCCTATAAGAGATTGCATGTAACATTACATCGTGTTCAGAATTCAGTAGGCTATAACGATAACAAATCATTTTTATTTCGAAATTGTAGGCCTACGTTGGATTTCAGTAAAAAATTAGGATAGATAGAAATGATAGGTTGGTTAATTGTAGGTCAGGAATCTAAGGCAGGACAATTGAATCATGAGGAGATGGTCATGCCCAATTTGTTTGCTAGCCTTTCGTTGAAAGGAACAAAATCGATAAAAAATGTAACCTACGATTGACATTCAAAATCGAATTATTAATATTTTAAGGCTACAAATATGGTCGGTCTTTTACACATTTTCTTCAAACCCTGTTTTGAGGCTACCAATGGAAAACACCGACCGGTCGGTGGTCGGTGGGGGTCGGTCTTTTTCGTAAACCCATTAATATAACCATTGTCACGGTCATAATGTGCTTTAACATTACCACAGTCATGACAGGCCTTGCAACCATTGTCACGGTCATATCAGGCTTTAACATTACCACGGTCATGACAGGCCTTGCAACCATTGTCATGGTCATATCAGGCTTTAACATTACCACTGTCATGACAGGCCATGCAATATTATATAGCATTGCCAAGGTTATATCAGGCTATCACGATAACACTACCACGGTCGTGGCAGGATCCTTGCGAAACTTAAAAACACTTAATAACATGGTGACGGTTGTGTCAGGCATAAGTCTTGCAAGAGATAGGGTCTCCCCTTACACTTAAGATACCTACTTCAATAGATTCCTTGGTATTTTAGCATTCTTTTCGTGTAGTTGAATCCACAATTGTCTGGGTTTATCGGCAGAATGAATAAATTTTCGTTTTTGATCACAATATTTGCGTGTAATATTTAACTTATTTCAGCTGTCAAATTTCTCCATTTATTGGTACTTCCGGGCCACTTCCGGGCCAGTCAAACGGGGAATCCTCTTTAAATCCAACCGCCATCTTGAAAAGTGATGGAATCTCTCTCTATCAAAAACGAAAATTTCTTCCTAAAATAATCTACTACTTTATCAATATCAGTAAAAACTAAATTGTTACCTACTCAAGATATCCACTGAATTAACATGAACACGTAACAAACTGAATTCGCAAGTCCTAAGTAATTTTACACAGTTTACGTACATGTACGATGACATAAGTTGCTTGATTTATTGTCTGAGTGATTGACAGGATATCGATGATTGTTTTCTATGATGGCAATTTCTACTAGAAGATTTGTTTAAAGGCAGAATCAGATCTATAGGGGGTGACAAAATTACATGCAACTTTTATAATTGACCTACCAATCTATTCCTTACAATATCAAATACAATATCTCTTAAAAGATTCACAATATGTTTCATCAAAGCAAAGGTAGTCGTCCTGTCATTTTAATATAAATATATTTTTCAAATAGGCACATTTGAATTGTAATATTAAAATGTAAGAGTAATCTATTTTTTCAATATGTAAATATTAATAACCCCTTCACTCTTCTGTAATATGTTCTGTAATGTGATAGACATGTATTGATTATTTTGCTCTCCAATTAAACAGAGGAATTAGAGAAACATAACATAACACATCCTGAGGTTTGAGTCGGCATCACCATTGATGTTAAGTCTTAAGATGGTTACCATGCCAATGTATAGGGGTAGGGATGGGTGGAGCAGATACCAATTTTTCTAATCATGAAAAGGTCTGAAGTGTTGTTCTATTTATATTTCTTTCTAATCTAAATTATCAAAATGTGAATCATTTACTCAGCATGATGAAGTATGTGCTCTAAAAACATCCACTGTTGACAATCATTAAGAAAAATAAGAAAATAGGGTTATCAGGTTATAAGAAGTAAATATCTAATGCAAATAAGATTTTCATTTGGCTGTGGTGTGACGTATGATGCAGTGCAAAACTGTATTACTAATAAATCTACACTTTATTTATTTAAGCACTTAGAATTAGGAGGTCCTAGATATCGACCTGGTTCAACATGCACATATCAAGTTAATATCAAGTTATTTTTTCATTTGTACTTTAAGTTAAGACTTAATATATACATTCATTTTGGATCTTTTCAAAGGTAGGTGAATTTGTTTTGCATGTTTTACATGGTAACATATACACTGGTGATCCACTCGATTACGCTGGTTACCAAAACGAACCGTTTTGGTAACAAAATGTCGGAACGTCGAAGGCACGATTTTCCTTTTTTTCCTTATTTCACGCGTTGTAGGCAGAATCCCCACGACGTTTTTTCTCACAACGTGCAGCAGTATCATATGTTTTAGAAAATGTACATGTTTGCGAAAAAATAGCTCAGAGGACAACAGAATCGTCGATTTACTTCCTCACTTAAGTTACATAAACGGTTTTTGGAAAAACAGTTAAGATCTGCACTTTTAACCCAAACCGTTTATGTAACTTAAGTGAGGAAGTAAATCGACGATTCTGTTGTCTTCTGAACTATTTGTTCGCAAATATGTACAATTTCTTAAACATATGATACTGATACACGTTTGTGTTAAATAATGTCGTGGGAATTCTGCCTACAACGTGTAAAATAAGGAAACGAGAAAATCGTACCTTCCGGATGTTCCGACATTTTGTTACCAAAACGGTTCGTTTTGGTAACCAGCGTAATCGAGTGGATCACCAGTGATATAGGTTTGTTGAAATAGAAGAATTTGATATCTGTGATATTCAAATACATGTACTACAGTAAAAAAGGACTCTCATGCAAGATTATGAATTTTGCCTTTTAACTCACAAAAGACAAATATATTCAAATATCTAAAAGTTCTTTTTTATCAATTAAGCATGTGTGAAAATAGAATCCAGTGGTATAGCCAGGATTTGACAGGAGGGGGTTCGAACATTTTCAGCAAAATTTTTTTAGGAGCCACCTAACGGTGAATTTGGTGAAATTTGCTTAAATTTTGCAAAATTTTACACATAGGATAGGTATCGATATGGTGAACTGAATTCAACAATGTTTTTCTCTTCAACCAATTATTGAAAACATTTTGTAGAAAAACACTGTCCATTATGTAATGTTGACTCATTGGCAACAATTTAATGCAAAAATTATTTATATATATTTTTTATAACTGTTTTTTAGTGCAATTGTTTTTTGTTCCTTTCTTCCAGTTCTTGAGAATGTCTTTTCGAACCTTGTTGGAACAAAATAGCATATACAACATTTTCTTAGACCTCTCAATATTATAGTTATACAAAATAAATTTTTGTTGATTTAACAAAAAGTATGCAAAAACTTAAAACAAAACCCCCCAAAATAGATGAAAATTAAGATAAACCTTTTATTTCATTAACACAGGCTAGTATCGAAATATTTGTCCGCTGTGACGGAGCATGCTATTTTTCATAAAAACATTAAGAATACTTCACTATTTATTTTTTAACTCATATGTTTCGTTATACCATACAAAATTACTTACTCCATGCAATGGATATATCATTTGCGGGTAACTTTCACTTCTGTTTGAAGTCCAATTACACTGGGAAGAAAAGCTATTGAAAATGGCGCCGGAGTATCATACTTCAAAATGTACCATATCTTGTTTAACTTTCTAATGGCACGATATAGTGACACGATAATATTTACACATGGTTTCAGCATAACTATGAAGGTATAAATGAGATGTTAATGTATTTGGTCTTTTTAATTCTTTTATAAAAAATAATGTATAATTTTTTTGTCCGCTGTGACGGAGCAGTTTCAAATGTGAACTGTGAAAATGCTCCGTCACAGCGGACAAAAAATATTAATATTATTTTTTATAAAAAAATTAAAAAGACCAATTGCATTAATATCTCATTAATTCATTCAGAGTTATGCTGAAAACATATGTTAATATTATCGTGTCACTATATCATGCCATTAAAAAGTTAAAAAATAAATGGTACATTTTAGAGTTTGATACTCTGGCGCCGTTTTCAATAGATTTTACTCCTAGCGTTATTGGACTTCAAACAGAAGTGAAGGTTACACGCAAATGATATATCCATTGCATGGAGTAAGTAATTATCTTTGATATAACGAAACATATGAGTTAAAAAATAAATCGTGAAGCATTCTTAGTGTTTTTATGAAAAATAGCATGCTTCGTCACAGCGGACAAATCTTTCGATACCAGCCTGTAATTAACAAGATACTTTTTTAAAATCAACCAAACTATCCTTTGTACAATTACAATATTGAGAGACCTAAACACGTAGTGTTCATGTCGTTTTGTTCCAATGAGGTTCGGATAGATGTCATTTCATTCCGAACATATGATACCAAGAACAAAATGATGACCATTAAATTGACGATGTGTAAAATTTTCAGAATGTTTTGATGACTGGTTTAAGAGAAATGCGTGTTCAAAAAGTTCACCATATCGATACCACTCCTTTGCTTACATTTTGCGAACTTTGCTTAAATTATGCCTTTGCTTAATTGTGGTCCATTTCATTAATCTTTGTCAGTTTGCTGGAATTTAAAGTTTTACCCTTGCCAAACAACAGCAAAAGCAAAATCCATAAGACAAGTGAAATATCCTAATTTTTGACCAATTCCGTTCATTTGGAACATTTATGGGTAAAAATCTAGAACTTTTTTTTTTCAATAAAGGCCTGTTAAAATCCCTTTAAATTGTATCATTATCAGACAAAAACTCCTCCCCCCCAATTTAATTCAAGCATAGGTTGTGTAATTCAATTGTCTATTTTCCATTACTTGCACAATATACTGTTCAAATAAATAAAAGCCAAAAATGTGAGTTCCAATGAAAGAAAACAATTTTGAAAGTGACTCCTGACCAAAAATAGAGCCAAATAGAGTTTCTAGCATTCAGAACTTTGGTGCAACACGTGCATTGCATCACTGAATTTCAAAATTCTCTGATTTATATCATAAATTAGGGACAATTTTGACCTTATATCCTAATCAGACAGTTAATATTGGTAAGTATGCTTTTTTCTACAATTGAATTCCTTTTGATGGTATTAGAAGAGTATTTCAGCCTCAGGCCTAAAATACAGAGTGCAAACCTATTATCGCACATCCAGTCAAAATATATCCTTTTTCTGTGTTCTCAGTCATTTTACTCTTGATAAAGTTATACATTTCACTTATTATCCCATCGGACCAAGTTCAGAGGGATGTAGGGAACGCCTCCGTCCATCCGTCCGTCCGGGGCAAGAACTCAAATACCATTGGCCCGATTTTGTTCATAACTTATAAACATGTGCCCTATGGGGGTGGAAGTTCTGCTCGAAAGCCGATTTTCAAAATGGCTGCTCGTTTTAAAATGGCGGCCATTTTAGTGCCGATTTTACAGTTATTTAGGTACAGTATATAAAACTGTAATAGCAATGTAAAAAAGTTATACAGGACATTAATAAAGCTAGACATGTAAATATTTAAGAAACACATGGCAGCCATCTTGAAAAATGGCGGCTTTTACACGCTATTTTACAATTTTTGCTATAACTTGAAAAGTAGTAGAGCGATATCGTTCATATTTGATATGTGACTACTTATTAGCATGGCACACTGTTTTATGACACTTTGGCTAGAAGGTGGCCATTTTGAAAATGGCCGCAATTTTAAGTGCGTTATTTTACATTTTTACTAAAACTAAATGGCCACCATTTTTACTTGTGTTTTATTATATCTTTTATTGACAATTTATATCAGTTACATGATACATTAGTCACTAAAACACTACAAACTACTACTACAACTATTCTAACTACAAATAATAATTATTATACAGTGTGATGCACACTGTTAAACATATACACTTGTATACACACTAATATTTTACGTTTTTTATTACTCTAACTCAAAAAGTAATAGAGCGATTTTGTTCATATTTGATATGCGAATATTCATAAGCATGATACACTGTCTGATGATAATTTGGCAAGTGAGCAACCATTTTGAAAATGGCCGCCATTTTTTTCTTTTGTTATTTAAGGTTTTTTACTATAACTCAAAAAGATTTTGTTCATGTGTGAATACTCACAAGCATGGCACACTGTTTTATGACACTTTGGCTAGAAGGTAGTCATTTTGAATTTTTGCTATAACTGAGACTGTAGCAGAAGGATTTTGTAAAAATGGCAGCCATGGCTGTTCGATGGGATTTGCTACGCTTTGGCGTTGCTGTTGTCTAGTTTCCATCTTTGCATACCCTGAATATCTAAGGTAATCAAAAAAACGATAGATCATTGAAATTATATATTAACTGCAAAATATTAACTCAAAATTTGGGGGGTTCGCATAATTGCTGAAAAAGGTGGGTTCACATGAACCCTCCGAACCCCCTCTCCCTACGGCCCTGGGATCAAAGAATGGGATCTCTTGTTTGTTTTGTAAGAATTTGTATAACTGCTTTAGAGTGCAATTGTTTTGTCTTCTTGTATCCAGGAACAAGTTAAATTATTAAACCTGACACTCAGTTGTCTTGTTTAAAAATTATCAAACCTGACACTAGAAATAGAATTTTTATTAATTTAACGGGGTTGACTCAGCTAGGTGTACTTTGAATATTACAATACTTGATGTGATCTCTTCTTAATTGCTCTTATCTACTTATCACTGACATATTGTTCACAATCCAGGATGCACTTTGAGGGGTACCTTTTCCTAGCTGTACACTTTTTTGCCCTCATATGAATTTATATATACATGTATAATAGAGATACTGATAATTCACTAATAGCCTTAAAACTTGAATATTACCTATATATTGGCCTTCAAGTGATAAACCTTTAAATAAATATGACCCTTCCCTGAGTTGACCTTTAAGTTGTGCAGATGCACCAAATTTGGTATGAAATGACCTTAGATAACCAGTCTCTCCCTTTCAATCTTTTAATAATTAATACGCACATGTTAATTCAACCTTGGTTAATAATTGTCTTTGCAATTAATAAGCACATGTTAATTCAACCTTGGTTAATAATTGTCTTTGCAATTAATACACACATGTTAATTGGACCTTGGTTAATAATTGTCTTTGCAATTAATACACACATGTAAATTCAACCTTGGTTAATAATTGTCTTTGCAATTAATACGCACATGTTAATTGGACCTTGGTTTATAATTGTCTTTGCAATTAATACGCACATGTTAATTGGACCTTGGTTGATGATTATGTCTGCAATTGATACGTACATGTTAATTGGACCTTGGTTGATGATTATGTCTGCAATTGATACGCACATGTTAATTGGACCTTGGTTAATATTGTCTTACACACATTTTAATTGGTTAATAAGTTAGTTAATAATTATGTGAGTGGACTGTGGGCTAGGGCTCTAAGTACAACGATAATTAGACACACATGATAACATACTTTAAGAGATGAGAAAAAAGTTAAAAGGAAAATAATTATAGGCATACAGAAAATTTTAAAATTAATTTGTTGATAACCATACCATATACATATGTGTGATTTAAATTCATTTCTATTTTCTGTTTGCAGTCTGAGAACCAATCCATCAACATGTGGAAACAAGTCATAAAGGAGTTACTGCTAATTGCAATGATTGGTTTTATCACCTGTGATAATTTAACTATTCATACAGTAGATATTCCATTGAGTTCATCTCCCATAAGCCCGACTGTGGATGAACCAAACACCTTATTAGGAAATGATGATGTCATTCTTGTGCTGTCACCTGGCAAAATGGAAGGTTTGGTAGAAAATCATCAAAGAGATGTATTGGTTAATTATACATTTGTGACCAATGCTAAACATAGTATTTATAACATGCAAATAGATGTTGCTAAACCACAAGGACCAGATATCGTCATGGTGATGGGAAATACTTCATTCCTGTTAGAAAATATGCCTTTTGGGTCAAACATGTCAGTTAGTTTCACACTGCGTGGACTATTCCTTGGTAGAACCAGATTAAGTTTGAACCTTCAACCAGTTGGACTTGCAACATCATCTAGCACTGATGGGTACTCTATTGACAATGCCCCACAGCAAAGACAGTTGGCTGCAACCTACCATGTATCAGTGATTCGTCAAATCCGTGCCTTAGATACAATATTCACTATCGTGATTATATTACTCGTATGCATCGCTCAAATTGCTATGGGCTGTAAAGTTGATTTGGATGATTTCAAGGTCATAATGAAGCGCCCAATTGCGCCAATCATTGGCTTCTGCTCACAGTATGGTTTTATGCCTGTGGTAAGTATATCAATACGTGTATAAGTAATAAATTAGTGTAATATTGTAGCTATGTCTTTTAAACAGCATCAACAAAACAGGGTCTCTGAAAATTAATGGAGGACAAATTGTCTTACAATTATTATCTCATTTCGTGACTGTTTTCAAACGTTCTTGTGAGGATCCCTAGGCTGAGCAAGCGAGGCAGTTGCCTTGCAGAGTTTTTACAAAAATACACTTATTCAGATGTTTCTTTTAACTAAAAGTTTTGAAATGCAATTAATTATTATTTATAGTAATTAATATACCTCTTTAGCTGAATTTACATTTGGTGAGGACATTCTGTACTTATATCTCTCTTGCATTTAAAGCTGTAGAGAGAGAATAGTGGATTGGGGAACTTGGCCAAGTCTAGGCTGGATATGTTTTTTGGCTCATTGAAAGGATAATCTCTATTCTAATGTGTGTTCATATGTACATGGTTTTGCAGTTTCAGATTAAAATAAAAAATATGTAACAATTAACACACAATCACTGCCAACTTTCTTAATATTGATACATTTTGGTATGATGATTGCATTGCTCATTTATTTTACTTGGCTAATATAAGCCAGAATGATCCAATAAAAATATTGCAGTGAATTCAAATTAAATAAATCATGTAGATTTTTCAATATAAGTGTTCTATGAAATGCTATACGTTTTAGGTTTATAGAATATAAGAGACTTTAAACTACTTTGTATGAGAGCCTTAACAGCTTCTGAAATTGAAACAGGTTTTGAAAGGTTAATATGTGGGACACTTGCATATTACTGCTTTTAGTCTTCTGTTGCAAAACCTTAATAGCAAATCATATGCTCGCGTGGACTTGAATGTATGCCTTTGATAGCTTTTTGACAAAATGACAATTTTCAAGATGTCACATTTTAGGATTTATTGACATTAAAACCAACTGGCTGGGGTCAGGCTATTTAAGAGTGCACTTTGGATTTTTTTGCAATTTTGAAAAGTAAACTACTTATTCAGTTCATTCAAACATTCTGAAGAATTATCAACCCTCAATTAATAGTGTAGGTACACTAATGCATCTTTTGTGCAAGAATGAAAGAATATATTAAAAGGTTAGTGAGCATTTTTTGTGTCGAAGTTTTCTGGTTCTGAGAGAAGATTCCTGGGGATTTATGTTGATTTGATTGTGAATATCAGGAGAAATAAGGTACGCTCTTGGGTTTTCTTTGTAGCTAATGAATATAGATGTTAGCCTCGATGCAATTTGATGAAAGTTTCCAAACTTCGATATATTTAGACACTAAGGTCCATGATCGTTGGATTCGTCTTGACACTACTTACTCAACCTTTAAGTCTTGAATATAAAACAATACAGTTCTCAATTGTATGTAACTCCTTTATTATTTTTTTTCTAATCCCAATCAAAGGTTTGGTTTATCATGTGGAAGAGCTTTTCATTGTGAGGTTTAAAGAATTTCTTAAGTTTGTATTTAACAAATGGATCGATTTGAGGATGCTTTCTGCCTTTTTTCTTATAAAGACACTCGTTAGTGCCATCTTTCTTACAAAAAAATCCTAGGGTTTTATTAAAATAAAAAGTGTCTGTTGTTATAAATGGTTCTAGACCAAGAAATTGTTCGACCTTGACCATTTCCATGGCTGGGTTTGTTATAAGCTTTTCACCATCAACAATATGAATTTGGCTTCTATTGAACACTTTGAGGTAATGATCAAAGTATCTTTCATAAACACTTATTTTTACTGCCATGTAGTTTGTATTCACTTTCAATGTTACTGGATCAATCACCATATTTTCAAATCTTTTATTCATTAAGTCTTGTTCCTTTCTGTTTGTGTAAACTTGTGTATAATCAGAAATTAACCATGTAACAGGATCACGAATTATCACCAATAGTTTAATGCTAGAGTTGAACCGGTGTATCCTCTCTGCCACCCAGTCTGTTCTGAAATATGCTGGTGATTTTTCTATAGTGGTTTGTCCAGGATATGAATAAGGCATCTGCTTTCTGTACCACTCTTTACCTTTAGCGTAATTTGCATATATCAAAATAATGCACTTCTGGAAATGCTATTGAAACATTTGGATGAGTATCAAGAAAGTTGAGTAGAGCCCTAGTGCCACATTTACGTACTCCTATAATAATAGCCTGGGGAAGGTGCTGTACTGTCCCCTTTGGGTGCTGTAGATCCTCAAAATCTGTTAACCTTTTTATAGGAATCAGCCTTTTGGAGAAATCAATGCCTACTGCAAATGATAGGACTTTAAAATAAGCCAATGTAAGAGAAAGCACTGCTAACAGCAAAAATAATCTGGAGCAGCATTTAGATTTTATCACAGTATATATTTGAGAAACATAGATACACCATTTATATACAGCTTTGAGGATTCTGGTATCCATGCTCTCCATCATGGTCAATGTGGGCTCGTAGCCTTTTAGTGCCCCTGGTTACTGTCAATGTGGGGTAGTAGCCTTTTAGTTTCCCTGGCTACTGTCAATGTGGGGTAGTAGCCTTTAGTGCCCCTGGTTACTGTCAATGTGGGGTTGTAGCCTTTTAGTGCCCCTGTCTACTGTCAATGTGGGAAGTAGCCTTATAGTGCCCCTGGTTACTGTTGATATGGGCAAGTAGCCTTTTAGTGTCCCTGGCTACTGTCAATGTGGGCTAGTAGCCTTTTAGTGCCACTGGTTACTGTCAATGTGGGCTAGTAGCCTTTAAGTGCCCCTGGTTACTGTCAATGTGGGCTAGTAGCCTTTTGGTGCACCCAGCTACTTTCAATGTGGGCTAGTAGCCTTTTAGTACCCCTGGTTACTGTCAATGAGGGGTAGTAGCCTTTGAGTGCCCCCGGTTACTGTTGATGTTTCATTTCTATGGTAATACTTAGATGGCTGACAACTATTATGTTGCTGTAGCACGAGGACTTTATAATCAGCTGTACTGGAAGAACATGGAAACAACAGAAATGAATTTGAGAAAACATCTGTTTATACTAGGGTTGTCCCAGAAGTAATGCACTATATGTTCTAACTTTCTTTAATATCCTTCAATTCAGCTGAAATTTTGTGTATATAACAATTGAAGTTTTATCTATTATATCCTGAAGTTTCAGCATCAAATATTAATATTAAGTCTTAATATGGGTGCTGTACCAACATGGGGGTAGGGTTGAGCGGGGCAGGTACCAATTTTTCTAATTATGAAAAGATCCAAAGTGGTATTTTTTTAAATATTTCTTTCTTTTAAATGATCATAATGTTTCGGAAATCGTTAAATTTATTTAGCATGATGTTAACCAAGTACAAATAATGACATTTAGCACTGTCATGTCTTAATACCACAGTTCAGTAGTCACAAATTCAAGTACAGTCGCAGTCAAAAAATTGCAAAATGGCTGCAATTCTCACCTGATAACAGAAGGCCTTGCGTTTGGTGGCCTAATTTCATACTTCACTTGGACTCATAGCCACATAAAACTGATGCTTAATGAAGAAAGTATAAAATGAGTATATACCAGATAGAACTACACTTATGAGGTGGCAGAAGAGATTTAAAAGAGATGACTGGACCCTGGATGATAACTCAAACATGGGAGGCAAAAACTCCACAAGTCGCAGTGGAAAAAATTGCCAAGAGTGTTTTTCCTGCAGTCAACATGAAAATTTGTAGAATAATCTCTAGGAACATTTCATGGAAAAATATCAGTTATTGATAAAGTTAGACCATATAGTGCATTACTTGTGGGACAACCTTTGTACATATGTACTTCTACAATCAGATTGGCTTCAAAGTTATCAACTCTTACTTGTATAAAAGGACATCATTCAATACATTCAAGAACAACAGACAGCTCTTATCTCAATTCTGATATAGTACTATAGAGAGACATTCAATACATTCAAGAACAACAAACAGGTCATATCTCAATTCTGCTATAGTACTATAAAGACATTCAATACATTCAAGAACAACAAACAGCTCATATCTCAATTCTGCTATAGTACTATAGAGACATTCAATACATTCAAGAACAACAGACAGGTCATATCTCAATTCTGCTATAGTATTATAGAGACATTCAATACATTCAAAAACAACAATCAGCTCTTATCTCAATTCTGCTATAGTACTATAGAGACATTCAATACATTCAAAAACAACAAACAGCTCATATCTCAATTCTGCTATAGTACTATAGAGACATTCAATATATTCAAGAACAACAAACAGCTCATATCTCAATTCTGCTGTAGTACTATAAAGACATTCAATAAAAAGACAGCTCTTATCTCAATTCTGCTATAGTACTATAAAGACATTCAATACATTCAAGTACAACAAACAGCTCATATCTCAATTCTGCTATAGTACTATAAAGACATTCAATAAAAAGACAGCTCATATCTCAATTCTGCTGTAGTACTATAAAGACAATCAATACATTCAAGAACAACAGGCAGCTCATATCTCAATTCTGCTATAGTAACTATAAAGACATTCAATACATTCAAAAACAACTAACTGCTCATATTTCAATTCTGCTGTAGTACTATAAAGACATTCAATACATTCAAGAACAACAGGCAGCTCATATCTCAATTCTGCTATAGAACTATTTATATGATGAATATAAACCACAGAAAAGACAAGTTTTGTGTGTGAGATATATATATATATTATAAAATCATAACTTATAAATTATATTACATAATATGACGTAACAATGGTTGTGATTACGTAATAAAAATTACTTTGATGGTAATTAATTACTATAAAGACATTCAATACATACATATTTATTGAAAACTGAAAGAGTGAAGATGAAGTTCACTGTAGAGAAGCAAAGTTGAATGAATGCAAAGGGTACAAACTCGAGGGCCAAGAAAATGATATAACACATTAAAAACCTGACCCAATGTTCACTACTCCTTTATGTAATTCTTTATTGAGTGTACTGATTAGCCTTGCCCGAGTTGGTATCTGATCTTGAATTATTACCGCCTTGTACAATCTAATACATCACTGCTGATATTATGATAAGTTATTAAGCGTGTATTCCTGCGTGTATTTGTCAGGGGTATCGCGAAACTGTATTTTTAAGGCAAGATATTTGCGTGGACACGACGTGTGACTTCAGGCGATAACTCCAATACCAGTTGACGGATTTGGTTCAAATTTTATAGGCTTATGCCTTATGAGTGTAGGACCTCTGCTTGAGAAGGAATTTTCAATATGGCCGCTCAATTCAAAATGGACGCCATTTTTCGTAAAAAATGCAATCGTTGATAACTCAAGTACAAGTTGACAGATTTGGTTCAAACTTTATATGCTGATGCCTAGGGACAAAGGAGTTTCGCACAAAAAGAGATTTTCAAAATGGCCACTTAATTTCAAAATGGCGGCCATTTTTCGTAAAAATATGTAATCTTTGATAACTCAAATACCAGTGAACGGATTTGGTTCAAATTGTATATGATAATGCTTAGGGACACAGTTGCTATGTTCGACAAAAAAATTTTGAAGATGGCCACTTAATTTCAAAATGGCAGCAAGTTTTCGTAAAAAACATAATCTTTGATAACTCAAATACCAGTGAACAGATTTGGTTGAAATTTTATATGATTATGCCTAGGGACACAGTAGCTCTGTTCAAGAAATAATTTTCAAGATGGTGGCTGAATTTCAAGATGGCGGCCAATTTTCGTAAAAAACGTAATCTTTGATAACTCATATACCAGTGAACGGATTTGGTTCAAATTTTTTATGATGATGCCTCGTTCACAATGGTATAAACAACTTTGTGCCAAATTTCATACTTCTATCACTAAGTGCACAAACATTTCAACATTTATACTAGCTATAATAAGCATAATATGTTTTGTTCGGTGGGATTTGCTACTACGTGGAGTTGCTGTTTTTCTAGTTTCAACATTTTCTTTTCAGCGTTTCTTGTTGAAATCTTCTCACCTCCAGGTATCTGATTGATGCTCCTGTATCCATTCTGATTGATATTTATCTGATAAAATATTTGTATTTTCGTGATGAAATGTGAAAGATTACAATCACATGCATTTAAAATATGGATTTGTACTTGCAAAAACAAAGCAAACTAATAACAGTGCAATAGTATATTGAAAAATACAGACATGTTTAAAAGACTCATTTTGGATTGTTTAAGGCGAAAGCTAAATTAAATAAAAAATACAGAAAATGACTGCCATATTTTTTTGATAAAGACACATGTTTTTAAAATCTGTTTACCTTGTATATGAATTGTATATCTTGACTAAAGAAACATGTCAAAGTTACATCACACATAAACACATTTTTCAAAACTATGAATTGGAGGTGCATGGGTCCCCAAAGCTAGCATGAAGAGTGTGAAGTGAGGCTAATTTTTGAAAATTTCAAGGAGTAGCCTTGCAACAGTCACACATGTCCAAAATTTCCACAAATCATCTTACCTTTCCCAGGAACAACGAAGGAGCATGAAAATGTGCACTTCTTGCATTGTTAGAGTATAATGAAGCTCAAACCATTGTGAATTCTAAATATTTCATGTCTACCATTTTGTTTGCCGGAACTACTTCTAGACTTCCTGATTAATCCTCATACGAGTCTTGTGACTACACCAAGTGGCATGGATTATCACTTGTATATTTTATCTATTACAGTATAATTATCATGATAGATACATGATAGAGGCTTTATGGATGATAAACAATGGATACATGAATGAGGATAGCTCTGGACAAAAAATAGTCCCAGCAAACAAAATGGTAGACATGAAATATTTAGAATTCACAATTGTTTGAGCTTTATTATACTCTAACAATGCAAGAAGTGCACATTTTCATGCTCCTTCGTTGTTCCTTGGTAAGGTAAGATGAAATGTGGAAATTTTGGATTTTTGCAAATGTGTGACTATTACAAGGCTACTCCTTGAAACTTTCAAAGAATAGCCTCACTTCACACTCTTCATGCTAGCTTTAGGGATCCATGCACCTCCAATTAATAGTTATGAAAAATGTGTTTAAATGTGATGTTTTCTTTTATGTGTCTCTTTAGTAAGGAAATGCATTCACATACAAGGAAAACAGTATACTGTACAAACTTTTCTGATTTTATCAAAAAAATATCGCTGCCATGTTTTTGTACTTTTGATCAACTTTAATGTCACCTTAATGCGCTTTGGTGTATTTAAACTGTTATAATGAAGTCAGATGTATTAATATCCATCTTTCAGCCTAAATTAAATTGCTTATTAATTTTTGCCTCAGCTTATTTTAGATGGTGGCTACACCCCTGGCTTTGCTGCAAATTATATGAACAATGTGAGGTACATAAAGGTTAGGTCTCTAAAAATGAATATGTTAAAAACAAATTATACTAACCTGAAAATTGACAGTGAAGAGTTGAATTCCTGTTTATATGTGTACATGTTCATAAGTAAAGATGTGTCAGATGTGAGAATCACAGCATGCAAGCAAAATGTACTAGGTTAATACTATTAACTACTACTTAATTCAACTACTACACTAGAGTAATTTTTTCCTTTTGTAATAGCCAGCTCAGTTTTTTTACTATTTATAAAATGGTAATACAATCAGCACTCCCAACTTAGCATTATATATGCTCTTTTGTATTTATTCTGTTGAATGAAATTTGACTAGGGATATAGAGAAACCACCTGTCCCTCCATTTGTCTGTTCTTTCAACAACATATTTTATAAGATATAACATAATAAAAGATATTTGTGCAGAAATATTTTAGTATTGTATAGAGGATATCCTATGATTTATGAATGTTGTGATTTTTATCCACAAATGTATATGAAATCTGCACAAATAAACACAGGGAACGTGGAACAATAAGTAAAATCTCCTGGTAAACTGAATACTTTTTAGTATCAGGCTCATTTGAGGCAAGTATCCAAGTACAAGAGGCTACACATTTATATAATATAATTCATTTCTGATTCCAGCTGGCTTTTGGTATAGCCAAACTGATGAAGTTGGACAGTAACTTGGCTCTTGGATTCTTTGTGATGGGATGTGCGCCTGGAGGTGGGGGTAGCAACCTGTACACATACTTGCTGGATGGGGACATTGGATTGAGCATTGCCATGACTCTCATTAGCACAGTTGCTGCACTAGGTTAGTTTAATGTTCATGTTACCATGGTTTCAGATGGTTTCAGTGGATTCAATTTATCACACATTGGATCCACAGGGAAGTTTTTACTATTTGAGTTGCACTTTCATAAAATATTATAATGATAGATAATAACACCAGGCATAGTGATTGAAAACAATATAGGCAAATTATGAACATGAAAACAGTTGCAAGATTTGTCAATAAGAATAGATGATCTGGGTGAAAAGAACAGATGAAAATCACATTATGCCATTGATGCTTACTTCCATTGAAGCCATACATACATACATGTCTTTGGTTGATCAGATGACCTCAGAGTTGTCATTGTTATTATAATGTGCTGAATTTATGTTTTCAGGAATGATACCATTATGGTTGTTCACACTGGGAAGGCAGTTTATCAACAATATTGATGGTCTCAGAATCCCTTTTGAGAACATAATTGGTACTCTCTTCCTGATAGTCATCCCAGTCACCATTGGAATTCTAATCAAACGCAAGAAACCAGTATGGGCAAAAAAAATTGAAAAAATTACCCGTCCTATCTTTGTAATTCTTATCATCTTTATATTTACAATTGGTATTTATGCAAACCTGTACATATTCAAATTATTTTCTTGGAGAATAATGATCGCAGGTGCATTACTGCCATATTGCGGTTTTATTCTTGGTGGTCTTCTTGCATTTATCTGTCGTCAGCCGTTTGATAAAATAAAAACCATCTGTATTGAGACGGGTATACAAAATACTGGGATTCCCATTTTACTCATGAAAGTATCGTTGATGCAACCTGATTCAGATCTGTCAATCGTGGCACCCATTGCGTCAAGCTGTTTCACTCCAATTCCTCTTTGGATAGCAGTCGCTTGTTATGAGATCAAAAAACGATGTTTTGATAAAAAGAAGGATTTTGAACCAGTTCTGAATGATGAGGAAATTAATGTCCTGCATAATGATGAGACTGATATCAGTGGAAAACTTGAGATGAATGGTGAAGTCACTGAAAATAACAGAGAGTTGAAACCTCTTAGTTAAAATCTGAGGTGTAGTTTTACAGTAAAACCTGTGTAAGTTGGTTTTAAATAGTTCCAGGTTTTACAGAACTTGTATATAATTTTAGTATTGTATATGATTTTAGTCTTAAAGGTAAACAATCATTTGCTTTGGAAATTCCTTGGAGGGGATGCATGACTAGCTGTAGATCTGTACACTAAAGATATATTAATGTATCCCATACTTAATTGATATGTACTGATATCAAACAAATATGGGTGAAAATTGCAACATAACGCTATGTACTTTTTGGGATTTGTGTGTAAGTAATGGTTGTAAGATCAAAAGGCAAAGAATTGCTCATCTTTTCAAACTATACACAATATTTAAAAATGCAAGAACATTTACTATGTGTTATGAAACAGGGTGGTCAAAAAATGGAAACTCTGCATTTTCCTCATATCTTTGTCATTTTAGGGAGTTACTCTCTGAATTTTCACACATTTGTACATCATTTACTTTCCTACCACCCCAATATATTTCATGACCATCATACTGATAGTCACAATTCTACAGCACTTGGAACAACATGCTTCAGGTTTGGGCATTATAGCGCTGTAGTCAAACCTGCACAGTTGTCAATGACCCAAATGCATTCCTTAGCAGGTATGGCCTAAATGACACAGCTGATCTCACTTTTGAGGTTTGTAATTGTCCTGAGGTCATTCTCATACACTCTGTCTTTGCCGTATACCCACAGGTAGGGACTGGTAGGAAATTGAATGATGTAAAATGTGTAAAATATCACAGAGTTATTCCTTAAAATGACAAAGATATGAGGAAAATGGTGTAAGGGTTTCCTTTTTTGACCACCCTGTATTTCAACTTTAGAACTAAAATTAGTATTTAGCCCCCTGTTGAGAACCTGGGAGGTCGCTGTAATACATCATTTCAGTAGATACTGTATAGATGATCAGATTTGCATAACATGAATATTTCATGATAAACAGTAACATGACAAAGCAACACATTTTTTCATAGACATGTGTCAGACTGATTAACAAAATGCTATCGGAGTGTAATGAAATAGAAACTGGATCAGTGTAATAATGGTTTATAAACTTGACCAGCTTAACTCCCTTGAGATGAAATGTTTATGTGAAAACTTGTACATTATTTTGTATTTTTATCCCACCGATGAAGTTCAAGGGGGATATAGGAAAGCCGTCCGTCTGTTTGTCTGGGCAATAACTCAAATACCAATTGACAGATTTGATTCAAATTTTATAGGCTTATGCTTATGGGTGTAGTACCTCTGCTCGAGAAGGAATTTTCAATATGGCCGCTCAATTCAAAATGTCGGCCATTTTTTGTAAAAAATATAATCTTTAATAACTGAAATACTAGTGGACCGATTTGGTTCAAATTTTACATGCCATTGCTTAGGGACAAAGGAGTCTTGCCCGAGAAGAGATTTTCAAGATGGCCGCTGAATTTTTGTAAAAACCCATAATCTTTGATATCTCAAATACCAGAGAATGGATTTAGTTCAAATTTTACATGCTGATGTCTAGGGACATAGGAGCTCTGCTCGTGAAGGAATTTTAAAGATGGCAGCTAAATTACAACATGGCTGCCATTTTTTGTAAAAGACCGTTATCTTTGACAGTCAACCGATATGGTTCAAATTTTATATGCTGTTGCCTAGGGACAAAGGAGCCGTGCGTAAGAAGACATTCACAAAATGGCTGCTGAATTTCAAAATGGCAGCCATTTTTTTCTTAAAAAAATGTAATCTTTGATATCTCAAATACCTGTCGACAGATTTGGTTCCAATTCTATATGCTGATGCCTAGAGACAAAAGAAGTCTGCTCAAGAAGACATTTTCAAGATGGTCGCTGAATTTCAAAATTGTCGCAATATTTCGTAAAAACGTAATTATAACTCAAATACCAGTGGATGGATTTTGTTTCCAATTTTATATGCTGATGTCTAGGGAAGGAGATCAGCTTCAGAAGAAATTTCAAAGGCGTCAGCTGAATTTCAAAATGGCCACCATTTTTCATGAAAAGGTAACCTTTGATAACTCTAATACCAGTGAATAGATTTTGTTCAAACCTTATATCCTGATGCCTAGAGATAAAGTAGCTCTGTTCCAGAAGAAATTTTCAAGATTGCCACTATTTATCAAAATCTCCACCATTTTTCATTAGAAATGTAATCTTTGATAACTCAAGTACCAGTTAATAGATTTGGATCAAGTTTTATATGCTGATACCTAGGGACATATGAAAGGTGGCAGCTGAATTTCAAAATGGCCACCATATTTCATAAAAAACATAATCTTTGATAACTCAAATACCAGTGGATGGATGGTTCAAATTTTATATGGCCGCGATTTCTCAAAACATGTTTTGTTCGATGGGATTTGCTACTCTGTGGAGTTGCTGTTTTTTTCTAGTATTAATGCATTTTTGCAATATGATTTCATCACAATGTTGATGTACCATAATATGATTCACTATGTATGTAAAGTAAAATCAAATTCACTTTGTCAGTGTTAATGTAGATTTTCTTTTGCCAAAATAAGCAATCAGTGGGCTACAGTACAATTATAGCTAACAGGATATTTTGGAATGTTTCTGGTTTGGCTGATTTATGAGTGACATCCTCCATTTTGTGATTTACTGCTCTTTTATTTTGCTGCTTTTCTGCCATGTTACTTTTTGAAACATGGACTCAAAATTATGAGAAGTCATAGCATACTGGACATTATTCTAACTAGAGTCCATTTCACTGCTTCATTTCGTCAGTAGAATGGCAAAAATAAGAAATTGGGAGACCATTGTGCAATAATATATGGAAAAGTATATTCAAAATGTACATGAATGACATTTGTATATTTCAGATTTTTTAGTTTTTTGTGCAATAAGCCTGTGCCGTCTTGTAATTTGAAGAATTTCAGCCATGTTAATCTTATTGAAAATAACATGGCAGAGAAACATCCCAATATAAGAGGCCACACACTTTATAAGCCAAACTAGAAGCAATCCAAGATATACAAATGTCATTCATGTACATTATGAATATACTTTTCCATATATTATTGCACAATGGTCTCCCAATTTCTTATTTTTGCCGTTCTACTGACGAAATGAAGCAGTGAAATGGACTTTATATGAAATAAACAAGTTAGCTGTTTGATATGTGAGTGTATCTTTCTATATATTTAATACACAATTCATGTAAATAATATAACAAAATAACACAGTAATCCATTGACTGCTTATTTTTGCAAACACAGATACATGAATGCACAAATGTTGTAACAGTACAGTACATCATGTATAGTTAAAAATGTACATGTAAGTACATCAATGTAGAGTATATTAGGGTATATTCTCTATATTATGGACATTGAATAATGTATAAGAAAATACATGTTCAGTTCACCAAATACAACACACTATGTACACACACAACATACACTACCATGCACAGTACAATTTGTATAATATATGCACAATACATCATGCATTGTAATCAAAATTATTTGAATTCCTTCAATTTTACAGTTTTTATATGTCAATTACTTCAAGCATAATATACAATTTTAGTGTTAACATATTACTTATGCATTGTATTATTGATTAAAAGGCCTTTACAGTATAACCATTTCTATATTTCTGACTCATATATTCAGCTGTATGTTATTTAATGTTTAACATTTTTGATAATGACCACATATTTACATTCAGAAAGTTTTAGTATTAGTGAGACTAGATGAGATCCCACAGTAAATTTGGTTTAATCAACTAATACATTTCATTGTTGTAGATGTACAACAGTCTGTCAATGATATACAAACAATATATGTAGAAACATATAAGTCAGAAATATACAGTAATATAGAGCATTTTTATCATTTATTAATTTTAACTCTTTTGTTTTATTTTCATTAATTAGTTCGGAGATTTTCAAGATAAGTATAGTATTTATAATAACATGCATTTGAATACTTCTAATGCACAATTTACAATAGAAGAAATTCTCTTAAATCCTATGTAGCTCCCTCTATTGAGTGCCAAGCGGACTATTAATATGAAAGATGATGAATCAACAATTGTATCAATTAAAAGATGGCATTTGTAATGATACACATGAAATGCGAAATATTAATCAATTCTACTCAATGGGCAAGTCTACAGATAGAAGAGGACGAATACCCAAGAGGTTCATCTTTACATGAAAATAGGTTTATCTGGGAATTATGGGTATTTTCTCCTTTTTTACCATTTCTTCTAGATTGGCCCACATACTTCAAAAATTGTTTTCTCAAATGGGACTTGTATATTTATGAGAAAAACTTGGGAAAGTATTAATAAATTTATATTAGTATTTAATTAAGTTTTAATTATACTTTTAGAATGTAAATCAAAGTGAATAAATATACAATGAAAACCATTGCAGTAATATCAGCATAAATAAGTATACTATTATTGTTAAAATACAAATACATAACAACATGTAAATATCTTACAGGAGAAAACATACCTACATTCTCATTATGTTTCTAAAGAAGTATTTTTTTATTATAAATATCAGCTTTTCAGACCAAAGGTGACTTTTATAAATTTTTATACATTCCCCTGAAATTTGAGACCTTTTTTGAAACTTTGGACCCAGTTTTTGAAAATAATTAGGATCATTTTTATCAAAAATGGGGTCTATTGTGAAAGTGAGACCTTAAATGATCCATATTAAATCATCCCTAAACGTAAAGGATGGGTCTTTGTTTTTGAGACTAGTGGCTTTGTGAATATGTGCATATGTTTTTATTTTTATTATGAAGAGGTTAGTTGTTTTTTCATGGAGTACTTATAAAGTTATCCTGTTGAATGACTATTTTTGTAAACTATTTACTTATATATCATTTATATGTACTATTGAATAAAAACAGTGAATAACACTTTTCATAAGAGTTTTGTCAGACATTATAACATATTCGAACATGACTGTATTCACTCCTTCTATAAATTGTAAACAAAGTCAACATTTTACCTGGGATATATTCGCGATCATAACCCCTAGTGATACGTGTAATGTGTGACATCATAATGGTGGGTCGTAGTAATGGCGTACCATGATGAATATTTGAAACATTTTGATGAGTTTTCTTGTTCGAATCGTAATATAGACCTCAGAGCAGGGGTAATATTGTCGAATACACCCCTTAGGGCTAGGTGCAAAAGCTTTCGAAACAGAAAACATTTGTACCTAGCCATGCGGGGTGTATTCGACAATATTACCCCTGCTTTTCGGTCTATATTTCTTAAATATATTTTATAGACTGAGTTGAACATATATTTTATAGAGTTTAGAATTTAACAATTCCAATATCAGATTGGTGAGATCGTAATGACAATTTACATATATTCATTTTATAGAGTGATTTATATTGCTATAGTTAGAATTGTTTCATTTATTATGTCTTTATTTTATAATAAATGATATACAGGGTGTCCCGAAAGTATGGAACCCCCCCCCCCCCCCCAGGCAGACATATGCCAATGTCTCCATCATCATTTTAAAGCTTATCCAAAGTATCATGGTTCACAACAAAAGTTACAGGCATTTCAAAATTTAGTGTTTGGCCAAAATGAATGTTAAATTTTACAAAAATTAATATTCAGTGTGTTCCCCCATGGCCATGTTGACAGCAGCAATTCTTTCGCATATGCCCTTAAAAGCGCTTCAAATATAAGGGTGTGGCATTTTGTAATCCTCGTGAAACCTTTTAAAAGTATTTTACAGGAGTTTCCTTGGAGTATTTGCCATCACCGTCTTCATTTTCCAACTCATTATCCATTCTATCTTTCTATTATCGGTCACATTCAGGTTAGAACTGTTTCCAAAATAGTAAACTGAACTTAAATTTTGGCCGATCACTAAGTTTTGATATGCCTGTACCTTTTCAGATTTGTAATTGAACCATGATGCTTGGCAAATTAATGTAGACAGTATATTGATATGATTTGTTGGGCCAGATAGTTAAATCCAATGGGTTTTTAATTTCATCCTATGTCTTCATTATCACGCCCGCTGATCGGACAAAATTGATGAAGGGGTGGGGGGAGGGGGAGTAGGCCATTTCTGCAAGAAAATTCAACAAGAGAAAGTTTACAATTGAATTGCTGAATGAATAGGCGCATGGTATGGTCAGATATGTTGGGTCTTCGGGTAATTATCACTGGCTTTGTGGTTTTACAATGACTCTTGTTTGTTGCGTTTTTGGGACCCACTGTAGTTTGATGTTTGCGTATATCATGCATTCATTTCCAAAGTGATTTATCATATATCTTAAAATGACACGATAGCATTTCTTTTTATTTTCTAATCTAGTGGAATCCACGGTTCGCTTTAGGACACTATGTGTACCTGGGCGATAAGCAATTTCTGATAGATTTCCAAAAGATATCATATTTGAATATTGAAACTTTGCATTTGTCATACTTAGATAAAACATGATCCACTAAATAAACTTATATTTTAACTTTACAAAATTGGAGTTATTGACATTGTGCACAGACGGACCATTGTTTTCCATTTGGGTAGACATGTTACTTTCCATCAAATCATTTTTCTTTTTACCAAGGTAATCAATATTAAAGTTTTAATTTCATAAAGACAAATTTTATTGTCATAACTCGTTCTATCATTATGAAGTTTATGACAAACCTCGTTGTCAATGTAATGTGATTATTTCATGGTCGTTTATGACAAACCTCGTTGTCAATGTTATGTGATTATTTCATGGTCCATCCATTTTATTCATTCCGCTTGTTTTCATTATAAAAGCAATTTCAAAAGGACAAGACTCGCACATAATTGCATCTCCAGGATTAATAATGGCCGACGCTGGACACTACAGAAATAAGTTATGATACTTAGAAGTTAAGTGTGCAACCGTCGTGAAAAACTACATGCAGCAGTGATATAGTTATTAATAACTATTCGCCCGCTAAGCGAACTTACTTTCAGCTGAGCATCCTTATAAAACCATGAACCATATTATAAAATCATAAAAAGTCAGGTCAATCAAGGATTGCTGCAGGTATTAGAGAAAATAAGTTCTGAATTAAACATACAACGGACAAGATAAAATCAAGGATGAGAACTCTAATTAAACTGATATGCTTTGGAGTTGTTCTCCTCAAATTAGGCGTTATTACCAAAGCAACCAATAATACAGCTGATACAAATGGCACTCGCGATCGTAAAGTGAAATTAACGTTCACGCCTGGAAGGATAACACGCCTTCCTACAAAAAGCAGTATTAGTGTTTGCGTCAACTTCACTATTTTGGATAATAATAGATACCAATTAAAAATCAAAGAGAAGATCCCACAAAACACGCCTCAAGTTGCAGGCTTAGAAGGAAATGATACATTTATAATTTCCCATAACCCAGAAAATGGCGACAATTCCCATAATATAACTTTCATGGTTAGGGGATTATTTCTAGGGCATACTGAATTCTATATATCAACCGAACTTGTAAGAAGCAAATTGGAGGTCAATATCATTGACATTGACCTGAATACGACTTATGGTGTGACGCCCGAAGGTCATCGGGAAATCAATAACGACGAGGTCGTTCCCATGGTTACAACGTTTGACATCTCAGTGGTTCGTGAAGTGCGGATCCTCGATACTGCATTCACTGTAGCTATTAATGTCTTGGTGATCGCTTCCTACCTGTCTATGGGGTGCAAGGTTGAGGTCCCTGTTATTAAGGAGGTCTTGAAGAAACCTATTGCTCCAACCATCGGGTTCTTGTCGCAATACGGCTTCATGCCATTGGTAAGCCTCTTGGAACTTAGTTTAGATCAAATTAAACGAACTATTTAAGTATGTGGAAGGTCAATTTGTCACTCAACCCTTTGGCGATAAAAAGCTCCAGTCAGCATTTCATAGTTATACATTGTCCTGTGCATAATCTTGAAACCAAATGCGAATTAATTTCACAAATCTCTTGTTGGTTTTGCAATAATATTTCATTTGTTACATCATTTAGCCTTTCTAACTGGGAAAATGGCTGCCAAATGATCTTAAAATCCACAGGGGTGTTACCTACATAAAACAAATGACTATATTTATTTTGTTTTGTAGCAGTAGAGCTTTGAGGTAATAATGAAATTTTAGGAGAAACCTTTCAAGGCTTGAATGATGTTTCAACAATTAGCAAATCTAATGTTATGCTAATGAATATAATATATAATATAACATTGTAATATCCATTTGGCAAGAAAGTTTGGCTTACAATATATTTTAATTATCCTTTCCAAAATGCTGATTTTGTTTCTTAAATTAGGGCTTCATTTACACAAAGGCACTTGAGGCACTGTCACCCAAAGGGTATTTATTCATGGAATTTATTTTCAGATTGCATTTTCCGTAGCTAAACTACTGAAGATTGACAACAACCTCGCCCTTGGGTTCTTTGCAATGGGTGTAGCACCTGGTGGAGGAATGAGCAATGTTTATACGTACCTCCTTGACGGTGACCTCAGCCTCAGTGTGACGATGACTTTGATAAGTACACTGGCCTCTCTAGGTAAAGTGCCGCTTTGTGGATTGGTACACTTCCCTTCCATTCTTCTGGTCTATATGTTAAGCTCTGTTTTACAAATATCTAATTTGTCATCCAAAATGTAGCTGAGAAAAATTCAAACTTATATAGAAAGACTTTTAGGTGTGTATATGTGTTTGTATGAGGGTATAAGTGTTTTTCTTTCATAATTGCAAATCAAAATTCTAAATATTACATCCAGTAATGCCAAACGTAAATGGCAGAATACAGCATAGATTGTCTTCATTTTCTAGTCTTTGTTTAACATTGAAAGAATAAAAAGTAAAATTCACGACATGAATCAAACTTAGCTTATTCCTTTCACAATTCCTTTGCAGAGATTCAATAGCGTCGTGTGATATGTAATCTTTTTCACATTACCCATTGCGTTCCGTGCCATCTATAGGCGTTGTTCATTGCCAAGAAGACCCCATCCAAAATGTATTCCACTGTTCCTTTATTTCAGGGATGATACCGTTTTGGATATACACTCTTGGGAGACAGTTCGTTGACGAGGACCAAGGTGTCGGTATTCCTTTCGCTAACATTATGATAACGCTCGCCATTATTGTTATCCCGACCCTCGTTGGCATGTTTATTAGCTACAAGAAGCCAAAATGGGCAAAGTTGATCTCAAAAATAATAAAACCTCTTTTTATCTTCGTGATCATTTTTGCGTTTAGTGTAGGAATATATGCCAACTTGTACATCTTCTCCTTCTTTACATTCAAAATTATCCTAGCGGGTTGTCTCCTGCCTTATTGCGGATTCATCATTGGGGGTCTCATGGGGTTGGTATCTAGGCAACCGCGAAATCGTATTTTGACTATTGCTATGGAAACAGGGATACAGAACACGGGCGTTCCTGTTTTGATGATGAGGTTTTCTCTAATGAATCCTGATAGCGATCTAGCACTCATCGGTCCGATCGCCGCCACCATTTTCACGCCAATACCTCTATGGATTGCGATCGTCGTGTACGAGGTGTATAAGCGATGCTGCAAGAAGGATACCAAAGAGGAACTGGACGAGGATAACAACAAAGTTAACGTTCCGAATGACTACATAAGAGTTACATCTATTGATAGCAAGGCGTCTGAGCCTATCTGAACATACAACTTTCTATATAAACAATTGTCCTGTCTTAACGTTAATATTACATGTGAACATGTTATCTACATGTTAGGTTATGTTATTTTATTTACCATCTTAAAGATGAGTACATATACATAAATAGTAGCCGAGACAACACAAGTCCCAAGTCTGTATATTTACTCTCATTTCTTCACTCTTAAGAGTCAAGTTACCACATTTTGCATGCACATTCCTTGGAGAAATCCTAACATAGAAATTCATTGGTTTTGATTATAATTCATTTGTTAAATATAGGGAAACATTTGATTTTTATTGGTCTATAATCAAAATTTTCCATTTTGTGCGACAAATGCAACATTTTGACGTAATTGATAAAATCAAAGTTATAAATGACAGATACAATATGTTGTATCCAATCTTATTGACAAATAACTATCAACCTAGTTATTTTTTACCAGTCATCAGATCATACATTAGTCTACATTGGAAGTATGCCTCAATGAGATTTGCATTCATTGATTGTGGAAAGTAGTGAATTGTCAAAAGAATCTTGGAGTTGCACCATTATTTTGCCACATTTTGTTGCTTCTTTTTCCATTTGAGGTTGTTTGGTACTATTGTGATGTCATAATATATAATCTGATGTCATAATATGGGTACCAGATTGAAGCACACATTACAAGTTTTAAGATGATACCAAACATGTCATCATTCATTTGATTAAAATGGTAACTGGAATAAGCTCAAAAGGTATGCCACTCTTCTACCCCATCCATTTTCAGGCCATTGAAACACGCCAAAATTTCAAATAATGCAGGCATCTCCAGGGGTTGTTTTTTGTCCTGTTTTGTTAAGAATATCATGTTTCTGCATACCATTTTTCTCGGATATGTCTCAGTTACTTAAAACAGTTACACTTGTGCTGAATAAGAAAACATTTGGTCATTTTGGAGGTATTACACCAAAAGTAGAGACTTTTATCAATTTCGTCAAAATGTTGCACCTGTTGCACAAAATGGCAAATTTTGGTTATAGACAAATCAAAATCAAATGCTTCCCTATTTTTAACTAATAAACTATAATTAAAACCAATGAAATTCTATGTTAGGATTTCCCCAAGGAAGTGCATGCAAAATGTGGTGACTTAACTCTTAAAAGTGAAGAATGAGAGTAAATATACAGACTTGGGACTTGTGTTGTCTCGGCTTCTATGTTACAAAAATGATTAAAATAAAAGTACAAAGCACGTATTATAACTTTCCATCTAATCAAAACTCAGTATAGCCACGTTTTAACTGAAATGTTAATGCATGGTTTTATTTTATTTTGTCAAAGTGTTAGCATTCAGACGAGCAATTTACGTAAACCTGCTGTTTGCTACAATACCCTGTACAGGAGCATTGCCTTGGGGTTTCAAAATTGGAGTAATTATAAAATGCATCACGCACAGACTCCAAGAAAAATGGAAAACTAAATTACTTAAAATATCTGCAAGCAGTAGATGGAACCATACATCAGCACTAAGAATGATACTGTATACATATAAATGTTAATAGAGCAATAACAAAGTCTTCCTCATCTAGACCAAGGTTCAATCTTTATTGATTCATCTTCCGGGGATCATATTGAAAAGCTAATCCATTATCGAGCTGCACTTATAGTTTCGGGTGCTATTCGTGGATCTAATTTAGAGAAGGATGTAAATCGCTACTTGAACGTAGACAGGAAAAGAAAGCAATCTTAATGTTCAAAGTTAATAGAGAAATGGTCCCCACTATGTGCAGGATATCTATACACCTTTTTTGAACCCAGCTTATAGAACGGGTTTAAGAACTCAACGTCAATACATTATCCCTGCCTCTTCATCAGTAAAATTCTAAAATTCATCTGCAATATCCCCTATCAAAATATTGATATCCATTCCAGAAAAAATCAAAAAGAAAGAAAATAAGTCGCAATTCAAAAGATCAATCATTCGAAAATTCAAAATCAATCTCTGTTTTGACAACTCATCTGAATATCAAGAGATCTTTGGAAATAAAACTTAATAGAATGAGATGTGATCTTTCTTTGCGCTCTGATTTCTTTCGGCACAATTTGGAAAACTTTAGAGATCCAAGTTGCCCATGAGGGTTTCGAAACCAAACAAAGGTACACTATTTACTTGATTGCCCTCAAACACATGATCTCCAAACTCTCTCTCAACACGCTGACCTTGATCTAAATCTTTTCTCCAGCAAATGTAAATATGACAAGGTAGATATGATTCTCTTTGGTGATAAAAATCTTTCTCCAAAGCTAAATTCCACACTCATAGAATTATCATCTGAATTTATTTACAAAATCTTGTGACAACAGCTACCTTGCCAAATTTTCAAACCATCATCTGTCATCTCATTTCATCTCCATCATATCTAAACACTACATTATGTTATTGTAATTATTATTATTGAACATGTAAAATATTCCACTGTATAAATTGTATCTCCACAAGCCAAAAATGTGTAAACTTGGGCTTATTTTTCCATGTTATTTGCATGAAAGATTGTATATGACCTATGTTTATGGAAATAAAATAGCCTTAAAAAAAGAATAAAAAAGTCATCGTGGCTCATCTTTACCACTACCATTTGATATTGGTGCGATCACTACGTATAGGGTGTAAGTAACAGTGTCTGGAAGGGTTTATATGAAGGTCTATCCTTTGTAACAGTTTGCATATATTGTTCAGATTGACGTTTTTTACTGTCAACACATGTAGAGATGTGTTGTTTCAACATATAATTGTTTTGGCAACGATAACAATAATAATTAAACTGATGAGCTCTGACGTAACGTCAAAGTAATAGAGAGTTTAAGCTAACGATATTTTTCAAAACGTAACCGTGAACGCAGAGCCAATGAATCAATACAGTAACGTATATAGCGCGCATACAAAACAAGCGCTACTTAGTCTACTTCAAATACCCGTCCAGCTTCAATTTCGCGTTGGTGTCAACGGGATTCACACTATAGTGCTTTCTGAAGAAAATGATGGGTGTGTGTCATATATGTTTTAGCTCCAAATATCTTAAGAAACTAACTTGTTTAAAATATGTAGAACATAGAAAACTATATGTAGCTATATAACTATCATCGGCATATTACACGATGATGTGTAGTCTATGCAACGAACTAAGTAAACACTGTAACTTAACGATTTGTATTTGAGAAAACTACATGCATTTGTGGCAACTTGTGCGTACAGGTTTTATATATCCATTGCTTAAACTCCCTATTGACATGTACAGTATATGACCGTCCGCCTACTGAAAGATAAGGTTACATGTACGTTCTGTTATGTTTCAACACTTAATTGTTTTAGCAACAATTAAGTGTACTTGACGATAAATATATATAACTGGCAATAATTCAAAGAGATACGTTACGTCAAAGTAATGACATCGATGACTTTCCGGTTTGTAGATTTTTTGTTTTCTCGATCTTCACCTGATATCAAAAAATCAGGTAACAGACTATAATTTGACTCGAAGTTGTAGGGAAATGCAATTAAGAATATACTAGCGGCTAGGTATTTGGTTATAAAAAACAGTAATTTCAATATTTGAGTCTCTAACTTTTGGTGACTAAGTATGTAAAGTGCAGCTTTATTTGAAAACCAAATTTCAAATCAAACTGGAATTCTTGCTGCATCGTCCAGCCACATTATACTCGTAGTTTGACCTATTTCTATGTGTGGAAATTGAAATAATAAATGACTATAGAGTTGTACAGCGACAAAAATGATCAGATTTTTACCTATATCTGTAACCATGGCAATGAATTTTGGGATTTAATAGACAGTTATTACAAAAATATGATTTTGATAAGACCACCCTATTTTGCAAATTAAGATTACTATTATGATTATAAACCTGAACGTTTTTCGATGATAATTAACAATCATAAAGACACTATTCTGTTTTACCAAAGATGTGTGTGTGTGTGGGGGGGGGGGGGTGTTGTCGCGGGAGGAGGGGGGGGGGCGGTCATTGGTATACCTTCCAACAAATCCAGACCCTTCTTTTTTCTTCCATGGGCTGTTGATTCTTGTGTTCCTGCCTTTGATTCATGAGTTCTATCCTTGCGTTGCAATTGGTGATAGGACATTTCCCCCCTTAATACGTACAGGTGCAAGCAATTGCTTTTCAATGGCCTGATAATACTGTTATTTGATGCAACACGAAAATGAAGTTTATTTTACAAAAACAGCAAGTTTGTTGAAATCATATATAATTTATTAAATAAATACAAGTGTTTTGACTAACAACAAGCAATGCGATAGCCTAATACGTGACATTTATTTGACTATTCGAACATTTTCCGTTAAGTTTAAATGCAGTTCTTGTATTGTTTACTATATATTTTTCCAGTATTGATACATCAGTATTGATATTAGTTAATTCGTCCATTATAGTGTAAAGGGCTGTATTTGACGTATCAGATGCCTACGTTGCGTATACATTGGGACGTCTAGCCGAATTTTGATGTTTATTCCATTGTGGGTGGAGCAGGAGCCGTGTATTTTATGCTATAGCCTTTGCTGTTTGCCTGAAAATGTAGAAAATAAATTAATGATGGGAAAACGTAATTTGCACATATCATAAGGCAGTGAAACACACAAAGCACTAATACCACCCTATGCAGACAGATCGCCTTAAATTACATTCGTATGATGTGAGACTCGACATGAAGCAAATTAGTAAATTTGTAGATTTCTTTGAAAAACCAAGAAATATACATTACATATCGAATTTTTCAAAACAGAAAAATATGTATAAATTAGAGTAAAGCCTGTCGGTCCGATTCCCTCTGGTAGCATTAACATTGGCCTCGTGTATGTCATACAATTGATATTTGAAGCACTTCTATTATTCGAACTTGTGATCGGACATAAGTATCATGCTACTTTATTTCCTCGGGCTTGAAGTACACATCATACTTACGTCCGATCATAAGTTCGAATGATAGTTGGGTTTCAAATATTAATGGTATAACTTATACGAGACCAATGTTAATGCTACCAGGGGGAATCGGATCTTCAGGCCTTACTATTTAATATACATGTTTTTCTGTTTTGAAAAAATTCAACAAGTGATGTATATTTCATAGTTTTTCAAAGAAATCTACAAATATTTCGTTGCGGTTTATCTTTACATCGTCATTTCAATCACCGCCATCACTTTTCGAACGAGTTACCTTGTATTATCAAGACGTCATGCTATTCTCAGTTTCACTCAAAAATTGGTCTGAATATATGAATATAACTTTTAATAAAATTTTGGTGAGGCAGTTGCCTAATGTAGGCAATTGCCTCACCAACATTTTACTGAACAAAATTCAGTTTTGTTTCTGAAGCTTAGAATTATGTCCATGTAAGTTGCTTAGCATTATCTTTACATCGTCATTTCAATCACCGCCATAATTTGTCGAACGAGTTACCTTATAATATCAAGAGAGCTTGCTATTCTCATACTCATGGAACTTAATATGACTGTCATTCATCATTTATTAAGCAGTAAAAATTAATCTTCATCATGGGTGACAAAATGTTTCTACTTTCCTGGTGAATGTCGAGTCCCGCATCATACGAATGTTATTTTAGGCGATCTGTCTGCATGGGGTAAATACCCTTTTGTTAAAACTGTTTGGTATTTTACTATGGTATATGTAATTGATTGAGGTTTGTAGCTTTTTTATTAACATCACTATTCACTGATTTTACAACAAACTAAGCACAAATCTATTATAGTAACCGTTAACATGCAGTCTGTATCATTCATATGCGTTCAATATTTGTAATACACGGTGCCAAGCAAAGACGCACAGTCTTAGCATATGCACGTACGCATGTTGAGGGGGATTAACATGGTCGTGTAGAAACAAGCAGTGGATACATAAATCACGAAATAAAGCAGTTCAAACAGACATTTAGGATATCAAAACCAATGGCTTTTACCATTCAGAAAAATGCCCACTGGGAAAAACTCCATATACAGAAGTAACATACAGCGAAACTAACGTTAAAATGGTAAATGGCGTCAACGCTGAAGAACAAGTACAATGTGAAAAACTTAGAGTTTATAATAATATTTATTTTATGTTCGTCTGTAAAAATATGTCATTTTTGTCATAGGTTATTATTCTCTGATCTTGTTTTTCCATTTAGTAGTTTTGGTCCACATCCACCGACCTTCATATATTACGAGCTAGAATATTTTGGAGTCCATTATAAATGTTTGTTGATTACGTATGACGTCATAATATAAATATTTAAATACAAAGAGTAAAAATGCATTAAAGCAAAACAATAAATAAGTAAATTATAATAAAAAATAAAATCCTAGCAACTAACTTGATACTTAGTCGAATGAGCCAATTTGACCGACCAACTCTTCAGTTGTTGCTGCCTTAGGCGGTTCATATTTCACTGGATAGTTCTTTGAGTTAGCCTATAAATAGCACCCTACAATAATTCAAGCTATCACATGCGTAATCTCAAATGAAATTCAAAATGGAGGCCATTGACCTGTTGACAGTATAATGTACAGGCATTTGTTCATCCATCCTCATTTTTATGTATAATGTGTAGAAATGTACGAATGGATTAATCCGTTTGGTTGATGTATTGTCGACTTTTAAGTGAAATCATTTTTAAATTTAATTGATCTAATTATGGATAACTGTGTGATATGTAAAGATGGATTTACAATATCCATGTACACGAATGTATTCAAACTTTTAGGCGACTCTGAGATTGAACTGTATGTGAGGAGATAGCCAGACAGACAGATGAACTGACACAAATACCACCTAGCTTTATCACTGCATGGAAGATACTAATATTATGACGTCATGTTTATTGAAAGTATCAAAAATTAAAACATCGATGAATGCTCGTGGATGTCAAGTGAAACTTTAATTGAAATTGACTGTTTAGACCAAAACAAGATAACTGTCTTACAACAAACAGGGCCACTATTACTAAAAGAAGGTAATATTGCAAAGCTAATCAGACGTTTTGTGCCAAATAACACAACATCAAACGCACTCATTATTGTTTCAAATGCAGTGTTCGAACATCTTCTAGGGAGCAAATAACAAAACCCAAAATAAACCTTTACTTTTCCACTAGTCTAGTGGACCCACATCTTCGTTTGTTGGTGGCTTAGGTGCTTCATATCTCACTGAATAATCCTTTGAGTTAGCCTAAAAGAGCATTCCAAAATAATTCAAGCAAAATAAGTTCAATTAAACTATGCCTAATTTGCAATGATATTCTGTTTGTATTCTCATTAGACAAAAAGCCTTCAATATTATTTAGCAAATATTACATTAGAGTATTAATAAAAAGTGCTATCTTCTCATGATAAATGTGAATGAAAAATGAATGGATGGATGAACATGCCATTACAAACAATATACGTGTACATCAAATGATTTACTAATGAACAATGGCCTCAATCAAATGCAGATATCGACAGATATTGTTCTACAAGTCCTAGTTTGGCAGATGCAGATAAGTTTTTATAAATAAAGCTGTTACTAAGCAAGCCTTCCCTTCATATCCCAATACACGTATCTAGTTTTACATATATAAAGTCCCGAAAGAGCCCGGGCTATCCAATTCTACACCATTGGACAGGTATGAGAGGAGTGTGTTTCAATAAGAACTTGATGCAAAACTAGCACAGGTCTATTCTAAAAGGCTGTGATATGATGACGATTATAACACCATTATGAGCCAAATATGCAGAGTCAGTATGCAAGTATGTGCTGACTGTGATTCATAGTGATTGTGCTATAACTCTTACCAGGAATCCAAGGTTGCTTAGGCAGTTGATGACGTTGAGCATATTTGCTTTTCTGCCTTCCCATAGGTCAGTTGTCTGGAACAGTGATTCAGTGGCGAGACCATATGCGGACGCTGCTTTGTTAAAGTTTTCTACATTACCTGCTGCAACGAATGTAGAAGTTGCCTTAGCTTTGAAGGAAACTTTTGCTCCAGTTAATTTTTGCATCACTCTGGAAAAGATGAAAAAATAGTATTTGTTATGCCCATTGGAAACACAGGGGTTACGTTATAGCATTCACTCAGTGAGTGTAAATGAGCAGAGGTATATATTTGTATTACCTATTTACATTCCAAAGCAATTTTTGTTTGTTAAATGACATCTTCTTATAGCATCTTATCTATTTGATTCTGATTATTAAACGGAGGTGTATGTCGTTGTAATATCCAAATGTAGTCGTGTCATGCTAGAAAAGTTGCCTGGCATAATTATGCATTTTTTGTTGCTTATCAAAACAAGTAATGGTGATGAACTTTTCGTGATTATTGCATTATCAATTTAACACAATCACTTGTGTAAAATTTATTTTTGTTTAATTCGAAAATGTTGATTTTTAGTATGAGATTGTTAAACTAAATTCATCAACATTCTAAAGATGCCCTGTACCTCATATATAAATATATTATCACAGGCTGGTATCGAACGATTTGTCCGCTGTGACGGAGCATGTTATTTTCCATAAAGACACTAAGAAAACCACACAATTTATTTTTAACTCATATGTTTCGTTATACCAAAGAGTACTACTTACTCCATGCAATGGATATATCATTTGCGGGTGACCTTCACCTCTGTTTGAAGTCCAATAACACTGGGAGGGAAAGCTATTGAAAAAATGTACCATTTCTTGTTTAACCTTTTAATGGCACGATGTAGTGTCACGATAATATTTACATATGTTTTCAGCATAAGTATGAAGGTATTAATGATATGTTGATGTATTGGGTCCTTTTAATTCTTTTATAAAACATAGTGTTTAAATTTGTTGTCTGCTGTGACGGAGCAATTGCAAATGTGACCTGTGAAACTGCTGTCACAGCGGACAAAAAATGTAAACATTATTTCTTATAAAAACGACCCAATACATCAATATCCCAGTTTATTATCGTGTCGCTATATCATGCCATTAACATTTTAAAAAAAGAAATGGTACAGTTTAGAGTTTGATACTCTAGCGCCGTTTTCAATAGCTTTTAATCCTAGCGTTATTTGACTTCAAACAGAAGTGGAGGTTACCTGCAAATGATATATTGAATTCATTGCATGGAGTATTTTTTGATATAACGAAACATATGAGTTAAAGAATAAATTGTAAAGTATTCTTAGTGTTTTTATGAAAACTAGCATGCTCCGCCACAGCGGACAAGTCTTTCGATACTGGGCTGTGATTATGTGATATGTTAACCTTATACTTTATTAATGAGTGCATCATGGTTCAGAAGTCAATTATTAATGCAGTTTGATTCTTGTAAATATATATGTGTTATTGTAACAATGTCAACGTTGCATTACAATGTATCATAACTTTGTCGAACTACATGCATTCCTTTTGTATTGGCTAAAGAATAAAAAATGTCTTCATATTTCATGTTTCAGACGAATTTATAACATGCCCTAGAATCAATCCATGCTCGTGCCAAACAAATGACATGCATTTTATTTTAACAATGATAGAGGAAAATGTGTTTTGATACAGGCATTAATCATCAAATCGATGCAAACGTAGTACTTTCTGAACTTTAAAGGTGACACTGTCAGTAGTAATGGTAAGGCGATGAAAAACTAATAAGCGCATGCCTGGTAACTGGAAGAAAGTTCATACTTGCAGAGTACCACGCCATCTTTTAGGTATGCATGGATCTGATCACAAGATGTACCAGGCTACAAGGAATAAACACATCAATTGAAATGATGAAGAAAAACGTGTATGTCTAAAAGGCTCATGGCCTATATTGTTAGCGGGTGTTCATGATGTTAAACTGGTGGAAACCTTTGACATGTTGAGCCATAGATGAGACGTGATAATTAAAAAAAGACTTTAGGAACACATGTTCGAATATTAACACTATGACAAGAATAGCATTGTACTGAGTGTTGAATATAAAAACTGGTTAAGTTGCCCTGTTGCTTGATGTAATCTCTGCAAAAATAATGATTTTAAGTGCACGTTGCTCTCAATTCACCTTTGTTTTAATCATGATCTATGCTTGATTCCTTGAGAGGTTTACCAATTTGAAAGATGAAACAAAATATATGCACATATTTTTACCAGTCTTCTTCATGCTCTCTTGCATTTATGTAGCTTTTCTCAAGTCCGGATTTTCTTTCCAAAACCCATAAAATGAATCCACGCGCCAATTTAAGTGAAATAAGTGAATCATGGAAGCATGGGGCCAAAACGAATAAGAGCAATGGGGAAAGGTTTTGCACTACTTCTAGAACTTCAAACGTACAGCTGAAATATCAATGGAATGGCAAAATCAAATATGTTGCTAGTTTTAACTGTAAACGCACGAAGGGTTAACACTGATAGCACAATCCAACTTTGTATTTTGGGATGCACACCAAATCCACCAACCCTAACACGCAACTACATAAACATGACATCGCTTCAACTGATTTAGATTTAGATTTTGTTTTTGAATTCATAATATAGGATAATTGCGCATGGGTAAATAATATAGAACCATTTTGATATGAAGAAATACAGAACGTTTTGAACTTGCCACAACTGCAGCTAGCCCATATGGTTTGTTCTTGTATTTGCAAAATACTTACAGCTCTTCGAAAAAGTAAATCCGCTGTGTCAGGTCCAACTAAGGACATCTGTTTGGTCAACAGTCAGGTTTTTATGAATGTATTCTGCGTACAATGTGCTCCTAATCTTAATCAGCCAGGACAGAGTGTTTTTCAGGTTACTCATATTTATATTATACAATACTGGATAGTTTGAGATGTATCTTACATACCTATTTCATCCTACCAGACAGAATGATAACATCGGATGGCATTGTAATTGACATAAATATGGTAACACTCACCCACATATAGAAAGAACAATCTCACCAAAAATGAATGATATAATGGACTTGGGAGATGCGTACTTACACATTGTTCACCGTCGGCCATTATTGCGTTGAGCCATTCAACAATTGCAGCTGGTACTCCAAGTTCTTCTTCTTTGTCGTAACGCTAAAATGAAAAAACAATTATGACTTTATGGTTCTTGTCTGCTTGGTATTGTACAATGTTGTCAACTCTCTGAATATCTGGGTGATATATTTATTGGATCATTTCTTTTGTTTCACTGTAATGTTCGAAGATACTGGTACTTAAAAGTATTACTCATCCATCGTTTCATTTTATCAAAATGTTGATTATAATCTAAATATCTTCTTACTATATTATGTAAACATTGCAATGTTTGTTAGTATTAGTTAAACACATTTGAATATTGATACACATTAGCTATTATCATTGACTGTATGCATATATACTAAAAGTGTAAACATTTGTATGAGTGTAACACTAATATCCGCCGGGGGACCCCTCAATTTTTTCAAAAGACTAATAATTTTTCTAAGTCTTATTTGTGCCTTAGTTATATTTCTAGGTTTAACCACAGATCAATGACACAATTTATATTTCGTTGCTATGTTGTTGTTGGGAAACATCATGGACCGAAATTATATTTATTTTCTTACTACTGATTATTTATCAGTAGTAAGATTATTACTTATTAGTTATTTGAAGTAAATATTGAAATGTGAATTATAAAGGCAAATACAAGTTGAAGTTGAAATGCCTTCTATCATTGAAAGTGCAAACGTTAAGCTCTCTGGAAAAGCTATGACATTAATTTGTGTTTTACTTGAAAGATAATAGATTGTTCTTAGTATAGCATTTTGGACACCAAAATAACTATATTGAAAGAAAATGAATAATTTTTAAACTTTCAAAACCCTCTAGGTCGTATTGACGTCGCTTTGACCTCTGTTGACCATATTCTTTTGAAAAAGCAATACCTTTCTGAAAAAGTAATTGAATATAGTCTACAACAATACTTTCATTATTGAAATATGACAACTAATAAAAGAATCGCTGAACCCCCCCCAACCCCTTGCAACTTAGTGTTATAAAAAAGGTTGCAGACATTGTGGTTAACACGCATAACTTTTATCAAATCAAAAACCAACTGCACCAACTAATTGAACCCATGATTGTAATGACGTTATAAAAATAAATAAACAAAGCATTGTGATTCACACCAAACTAAATGAAGTTTATCCACTTCACACAAAGCTTTTTAAAAACAATAGAACATAGTTTTTGAAAACTGCAGGCTTCCTCCTAAAGATGAAGATTCTAGCTTAAGATTTTATTTTTAGGTCGCATGTCGTATAATTATACATATGATTTTGAAAATATGTTAATTGGTAATGAATTGTAATATACTATTCAGAAATTTAGGCCAAATGAGAGACAAAAAGCTTTATTTCTTTTCTTCAATTTTTAGAGGAACCAGACTTTTATGAAATTCAATAGCATCATGCAAAGCTTGCATTTGCTCTGTTTATTGCCACTCATGATCACGCGGACACGTGTTAGGTTCCTCTTACTCCTATAAGCTTTTTCTCCGTATCAAAAGCAGAGCCAGACTTCACTGATCTATTCGCCATTGTGATTGTTCTTTAACTCTGGAATGTAATCTGAATTATTAACATAAATATCATGCAAACAGCGCCTTGCCATCGCATCGATACTCACTTTAACTCGCTTCTGTTCCGTGGCGAAAGCGTCTCCCGCTTTTGGCGCTCTACTAGCCATTGCTCGTATTGGTGATGAAAACTGAAAGATATATTTCATCTAACTAATGATCATTGAAAACACTCACCCCTATTCGCTTCTTTTCCATGTCGTAGGCATCTCCTGATTTAGCTGCCCTGTTTGCCATACTTGTATTTATTTTTTGCTGAAAGTTTGAGATTAATAATGCGTGTTTAATTTATTAAGCTCCACACTCAAACAATTTAAATCAAGCCATGACGTTGCTAAATAATCTAGTATACATATTTTGTATATAGGCGTTAAATGAACAGCGCTATATTTTGAGCTTAGAAAATGTTGTTATACATAAGCCTCATATAATCACAATTTCAAATGCGTTTAGAATTCACATCAAATAAAACACGGCGGCGTCACAATGTACCGCCGTGTCGTCGACTAAAATATATCACAATCATCTAGAAAAAACGTTCATGTTTATGATAAGGTGGACTAGTTGGCAACAATTGATGCATATTACAATATCCGACCAAAATGGTTGTCATTCTTTTTTTATTTTAGATTTTAACCAATATTTATTTGGCCTTCATCTTATTTAATATTTAAAAAACAAACCTTTTGTGTATGTTTCAATTTCCCAGGTTACATAAGGTTGACAATGAAAAAATCGATGATATTTAAATACTAGAACAGAAATGTTAAGACGTGTTCTATAAGGGAGTTGTTATTGCACGTTTGGAGGGTAGTGGATCTCTATAGTTTAACCAAGACAGTTGTTTCAAGGTACACAACGGCAGTTTTATTGCTTACTGGCAGGTAGACTAAAGAACAAGGTACATAACTGATTGGTAAGAAGGTATGCATCCTATCTTAGCCTCATAAATTCTTATCTTGAACTTAAGTCTAGAAACATTGCTATTTTTAGATATAGGTAGAGATAGATGATAAACATGATTGATGCTTTTGCATTTGAAACCAATTGTGAGACCGGAGTGTTTTTAAGATTGAGAGTAAAAATACATGTATGTCAATATTTGTAAAAATAAAAACAATTATGAACTTGAAGATTATCTAATATGTATACTGTGTACCCATAAGATTATAAACTGCAAGCTAGAGTGAAGCCTTTCGAATATGAACGCCACTGGGATCGGCCAAAATGTTCAAACTAGCTGAGTTTCACATTTAAACATGGGATTAGATGGGAATAACACAATTGGGACTCCTAGAAAGTATTGGTATAGAGTGTTCGGATTACAGAGGTCTTCAGTTTTACAGGTTTTACTTTAGTAGGCTAAACCCATATCCATGATATCTCCTTTCCCTTACAGTCTTGAAATCATAAGTGCTAATCGGACAGATATATGTGATCAGTATCAGGACAGACGTCAAAGTCACAGTTCAGTAATACCTTTACAGAAAAAACACATTTTAGTAATATTCAAAGTTTTGTCACGTATAAGTCAAAATCATTATAGTAGTAGGCCTCAGGAACCCTATGAAGAACCCCATAGTTTTGATTAGAGCATTTCTTTATACATAGAAGGTTTAACTACTGTAGATTAATGTATACAACATGATGTAGGCGTTCTGTCAGAGCAACAAGCTAGCAGTAGAAACTACGGTATGAATCAACACTGTGCATTTACCTTTTTAGGCTATCAGATGCGAGGAAATGGTTCGAGATCACTTTCCTATGGTGTACTGTAAAACTTCATTTTATCATAAACCTTTATTTGTGTTTCACCCATTACTTTAGGTGTATACTACTTTTTTAGTTCGTACGTGAATAGACAGGGTCAATGTTTATGTTATTGTTAATGTTTACCATCGATGTGGGATTGGATAAAAACTCATTAGTCTTGCTTGTCTCCATTATGTCTTGCTAGTGTCCATTGTGTCTTGCTCGTGTTAATAATGTCTTGCTAGTGTTTATTTTGTCTTGCTAGTACTCATTATGTCTTGCTGGTGTCCATTATGTCTTGCTTGTACGTATTATGTCTTGCTACTCTTTATTTCCTCTTGCTATTGTTCATTATGTTTTGCTAGAGTCCATTATGTCTTGCTAGTACTCATTATGTATTGATGGTGTTCATTATGTCTTGCTAGTGTCCATTATGTCTTGCTTGTGTTAATTATGTCTTGCTAGTGTTTATTTTGTCTTGCTAGTACTCATTATGTCTTGCTGGTGTTCATTATGTTTTGCTAGAGTCCATTATGACTTGCTCGTGTTCATTATGTCTTGCTAGTGTAAAAATGTCTTGCCAGTGTTCATTGTATTTTACCCGTGTTCATTAATTCTTGAAAGTAAGTCACTTTTAATTTGAAATAAATCAACTAATGACCAATAACATTTTTTATTAAATAGAGTAAAGATATTGGAATGTATTATGTTGTACATGTATGTAGTTTTAAACTAGTAACCGTACATGTGGTTGAATTTAGACTTGGATCTCCCAAAAAATGTCTAACAGTCAAACTATAAAAAGATGGTATTGACTATAATGTACTTAAGCAATCTATTTTTGTTCCCTAACAAGAGGATACACAGCAGCCAAGACTAAGATGTGTCCGAACCTGGTAGGGCACCTTGAATACTGCAGTTAAAGGGAACCAGTAATTCACAAAACATATATGTATCTCCACAAATGTACCCTGTTCAATAGTTTGATTCTGTTTTTTAAAAGAGAGCTTCATACACATACACTAAGGTCTGATACTCCAGGTAATAGAATCACCCCATGCAGACAGATCGCCTAAAATAACATTCGTATGATGCGAGGCTCGATATTCAACGGGAAACTAGAAACGTTTTGTCAACCATGTAGCAAATTATTTTTTACTTCTTAGAGTGTACTATCCTAACTCGGTTTGTTTACTTCGTGGTATGACGAAAGTAGTTCTATTAAAAACCTGTTTGGGGACTTCAATGGTATACTACAGCACCATCTTTGGATAGAAAACTCTAATTGCAGGCATGAGCAGAACTTTTGATTTTTGTGGGATATTTTTGTTGAAACTTTTTTGACATGAAGGTGAGATGTTTTGCTGTATTTCTCTGAAATTCTTTGAAAATCGATGGGCTGCGATTTGACAAATTCTAATTTGAACTTTGTCAATTTAAAAAGTAAGGAGAGTTCTACCTTAATAAATGGTGAATGGCAGTCAGATAAGGTTTTACAAGTATGAGAATAGCATGACGTTTTGATATTTCAAAGTGACTCATTTGAAAAGCGAGGGCGGTGATTGAAATAACGATGTAAAGATAAAAATCGCAACAAAATATAGATTTCTTAGAAAAACTATAAGAATATACATCATATATTGACTTTTTTAAAACAGAAAAATAGAAAGGCCTGCATGTCAAGTTCCCCCTGATAGCATTAGCATTATTGGTCTCGGATAGGGCATACAATTAATATTTGAAACTCAACTATTATATTCGAACTTATGATCAGACATGAGTGTGATCTTACTTTTACTTTATTGCCTTGAAGTACACATCATGCCTACATCTACCTACAACCAGTGATTGAATATGAATGGATACATTCGTTAAAAATTAATATTAGGTTGGCAATGTTATCCGATAGTCGGATGAAAGATGTCACGAGTATTTTTGCTACGAAATGGAATCCGAAGCAAAAAAAGAAAATAAACAATTACGTGAGGTAATTAGTACATTCATTCATAAAGTGTTTATACCTAATCATATTGAGCCCTGACCCCGACTGCATTTTGCAATTAAAATGGTAATCAATTGTTGTAGATGCTAATATGCGTCTGACGCACAGTGACCAAGTGTTAACAGTGGAGATTGTCCCGGACGTGTTTTTCAAACGATTTAGACGTGTTTTTTTGGAAAACTTGAGAGGTAGGTTGATAAATTTGGTTATGAAATTGCTGTCACTTGTAAATTTAAGTAGTTTATCTTGCTTACCATACTATATATCCTAACTTCAGGTATCCGCAAACGCGTTACTTGCATAAAGAAATTACTCACAATGTGTGCGAAAACCACAAATTAAAATAGCTTAAATAAGTAGCAATTGACCGAATAATTTTTTGGGGATTAAACTATTTGGACGTCTCCAAAAATATCCCTTCTCCATCATTAACTCCACTTGCTACATTTACAGTCATTTATGGCAATTTTAAGATAAAGATAGTTAAGATATAAACACGATCTTTAGAGTTGTGGATATTATTCTATGTTGTTGGATGGATAGTCTGTTTAAACCACTATATACCAAATGCAAATTAGTACATATTTCTGGCATTTTTGGTATATAATTGCGACTGCGAGTACTATGAAGTATGATGGAATGATCGCCAAAATAGATACGTGGGTATGAAGAAGAACATATTAGGTAGAAGTCAAATAATGTTAGTTTGTAAAATATATAATATTCTTACTTTTTTGCTCCATTCTAACGAATGTCGTATTCCATGTTCTTACAAAACACGTCTGAATCGTTTGAAAAAACACACGTCTGGAACAATTTCCATTGTCAAGACTTGAGCACCATGTGACGTATAAAAGAAACATAAAAAAGTATATTTTTGGATTCCGCCAACATTAATTAAAAATGTGCTAATGAAGCTCAGTGTCGTGCAATCTTAATGAATGAAAATAATAAAAAATGGAAGTTAAAAAAGACAAAAGATACATTCGACTTGAACACATAATCATTTTCAAGCATATTTTTGTCAAAGATGTTCAGGCTTCAAATAACATCAGGCAACTCAATCATATAGCATTTAAACGGATTAAAATTATATCTAACCCATGAACCTCTATCAACTGGTATCCATTTATTGTAAAACCTGGAAGAATAAGCTGATATTATTTTTATGGCTATTCATTCTTCCAGTTTCGGCCATCAATCGATCGTCATGACTTGACACAGGTTCCTGAGATCCAATCGTTAACATAAAATAATTGCATCAAATGCAAACCAAAATTGAATGTTTAGTTATTGTGTACCCGTAAAATGAAATATGGCGAAATGGTGCGAGTTATGGAACAATTAAAGTGCTCAAAACGTGCTCCTTTCCACAAACAATTAGTACAATAAAATACTTCATGTTTTGAAATGGAATATTGGAAGGTATTCTTACCATTTGCTTATTATACTAAATAACACTCATATTATATCGTATCATTGCCAATGCAAATATACTTTTTACTTCCATTGTGTTTACTATTATTAACTCAAAATGCTAAAAGATTGAGACTTACCTGGAAAAACGGTGTGAAGAATGAATGATCCACAGATAAGTGAAGAGTATGTACAGTAAGTAGCTGTAAGTCGAGAATGTTCATAAGTTGAGGGTCATAGGTTATTCGAGTGTTTACAGGTCTGAAGCATTCTCCTTTGCCTTGAGATGGTTCGTTTTCCAGGCTAAATGAGGGCATCAGAGACAAAATGATGCATGTGGAGAATGGCTCTAGACTGCAAGACATGTTGTTAGGAATCCAGCTATACTTGTGAAAATGCCAATATGGCAATGGGTGAATCAGGAAATACCATGTAAAAGAGAGGAAACGAACAACACATTTGGAATTGCCAAACCCTGAAGTACGTCTATTGAGGCTTATATAAATAGAAATGGAGAGTTAGGTTTTTATATTCAAATAACAAGTTTCATTTGAAAAATGGTTGTTCGGATCTCTGCTGGTAAACAGAACGGAGAAAAGCAAGCATCATATATTTCCATCACATGTGTGTAAATTGGGGTTCCCAAGGGATAAAAAAATTGTTTTTCTGATTCTATATGTCCTTTACTGACCCTTAATGTTACCCTAATGTGTGTGTGTGTGGGGGGGGGGGCAGTTGCAAGTGTTATCGAGTATTTTACATTTTATACAGAGTTAATCTTTCGGTAAGGGCATCTTTTTAATGTGAAAGGCTCTATATTTACCTTATTAATTGTCCATAAATCTGTCTTGAAATAAATAATACACAATTGTTGATTACTCAGACTTGAGGAATGCAATGTCAGCATAAATGCACATATCCGGTGCGGCATATGCTTGTTGTGTGATGTCTGTCTTCTGAGGGGGCCCCTTCTGAGGTATATATAAAGACTACGGCCTTGAGCCAGCAGTTCAAATGGGTTTTGAGAATAGACGAAGGATCCGGAGTTGATTAATGTTTTGGGGAAAAGTTGGTCAACATGTCCGGCTATTTAACAGTTTAATGTTTTTATCTTACTTTATTAAAAACAATACATTAAATAAAAGCATACTGTACCAATCGCCATGTGGCATTACATGTTGTTCAGTTAATTAAGACAAGAATTCCATGTGGTTGTGCATATCAAGAATTGGAAAAACGTAACATTCTGTACAGTAACCATCTACAAAACGCATTTTAATGTTGTGATCAGATGACCCAATATATTGCGGGATAATTCATTAACAAGGTGAAATTCCAGGGCACACTCCAGGGTATTTTGCATAGAGTCTGGACTTGAACGAGCTATACGAATGAATCTGTTTCGGATAGGATTCCACAACGTTCCACATCCTCGTGTGTCCCTTGCAGGCTGCTAGTTTACAAAGACAGGCGGCGACATTTCCCTCGTAGCGCATGTCTGAGCCACCACTGGTGACACAACTGCATTGACCTTCCCAATATTCCGCCCATCCCTCATTGAACGCAAAGCCAAAGTTGGTGAATTTGTTGCAGGAGTGAGTTTGAGCATATTTGAACCTGTAATGAGAATTCATTTGACGGGACCATAAAAACCAGCCTTCGTGTATACAATATTAAAGTACAAGGAAACGATAGCTTCTATGGCATAGTGTCTGTTGAGAGTCCATGTCCTTTCCAAATCTGTTTACTTCTGATAACACAGTCTTAAATTATTCCCGCTCAAAAATAAAGGTTTATAACATGTATAATATATTGTGTTTAGGTCAGAATAGTTTATCAAAGGACCGCGAGTTGTTTGTAGAGTGAATCTTGGGAGCCTTAACATGCATTTCGCTTGTGTTTTTCATCTAAAAACATCAATACACTTTATCGACTATTTTACTATTATACTATTTATTGACTATAAGTTTGCACCATATAATCCTAAAAATATTTCTTATTTTCAAGGACTCTCTATGGATTAAGGTGGTAGAGCCCATGTACCCAGTATTGTTATTTTTCAAACTACAGAATAATATTTTACTAAGTATCCTAATACTTTGAATAATATAAATGCTGTTTTAAATAGGTTTCATAGATGCCAATAATTTTTTCAAATTCTGTAAATGGTACCCCTTCGAATTCCTTAATTACAAGAATTTTCTCTTTGAGAAATTTCCCATAGTAATCCAATGGTATAGTTCCAAGCAGATTTTGAGATAACAGGAAAATTAATCATTAATACACACTTTGGCTTGTGATATAAACCAAAACAACCAAATAAGGTATGTATTAATGATTATTAAATTAAATAACTTTCCTGTTATCTCAAAATCTGCTTGGAACTATACCATTGGATTACTATGGGAAGTTTGTCACAGAGAAAAGTCTATGGATTAAGGAAGAGGTACCATTTACACGATTTGAGAAATTATTGGCATCCATGAAACCTATTTAAAACAGCATTAATAATATTCTAAAGCGATCGTAATAATGATTCCCAGCCCTCTGAAGTTTGAAAAATAACAATACCTGGGTGTTAATCCATAGATAATCCTTGAAAATGAGAAATATTTTTAGGATTAAATGGTGCAATCTTATAGTCAATAAAATGTTTTAAAGTGAATTGATGTTTTTTAGATGAAAAATATATGCAAAATGCATGAAAAAGCTCCCCAGATTCATTCTACAAACAACTCGTGGTCTTTTGCAATGAAAGCTAAGCACTTTAGCTGTGACCAAGTTGCTTCACGTGACCGTCTTGTCGAAGGTTTCCTTGGACACTTTGTGCCCTGGCCCCCCCCAAAAAAAAACTGTCATTGTGGTAATATAAGGTAAAGAATATTTTTCTTCACAATGGTAACCTGGTGAGTCTAATGTAATGTATTGCAAGATGCATCTCAAGTCGGATGATATTTTGTGACACAAACACTAATTGAATTCAAGCTACCTGATAACATCGTATAGGAAGTGACCAAAACTGCCATCTAATGTTTGCCGAACAGTATGTGCAAGTTCGTGTTTGGCGGTATCGTAGTCTAGGCTGTATCCTCCAGGGAGACGCACAGAATTCCTAGTAGCCCATGGGGTACCAGCCGTTAAAAGGGCATTGGATCGAACACTAAGGGAACTGTATGGTAACGCTCCGTTGCCAGATTGAGCCAGGTAATGAATGATCGCAGATCGGAAGTGGAGATATGCCCGACAGTGCTCGTTGTTGATGTTAACTGTACCGACATTATATATGCCACTGAAGTTTTTCTTTTTGGATGAACGGTTCCACCTTGTTCTACCAAGGCGATCCTTTACTCTCATTCGATCTAAAATACAATTTCCAAACTTAGGTAAATACAATAGTATGTATACGTGGGTGTGTAAACGACAGCGACAGCGAATCAAATTGCGAGTTCTTAAACGGGGAAATGCTAATTGCTTATCGCAGGGGGTAAAAAGAAAGAAGATATTTTGGAATTTGAAGCCCTGTAATCGGAGGATGAATATGTGGAGGATGATGATATACTCCTCTCGTTGATTTCCCGCCAAATTATCCTGTTATTAATTTCTTTCCTTAATGAGTAAAGAAATAGTACGTCAGACTTACTGATGTAATTATATTCAATTTTAGCAAAGGGATCTGGTTTAGTATCGAATGCATCTCGTCCTTTTCCAGTAAGCGTAAACTCGCCATTACTATTGGTCCAGCCAGACTTCATAGTGTCGTCAAACAATACATCATCGTCTACCAGTCGTACAAGACAGTTTCTGATAGGAACACCCCCACATGTGAACTTTCCTGTAATCGTTACCGTATGGTACTTTGGTTTGAAAAGCCAACCTTCAACCAAAATCGGAAGCACCAATAAAAGTGTCCAAACTATCTGCATTGCGATACAATCAACTGAAATCTAATAAGTTTGATTAAATCGCCTTCCATTAAATGCTGAAATTATTCTTTTGTCATATTTTATGAGCGCAGTTGCTAAATATACAATAGATATATGGATTGTTCTGGTAAAATAGTTTGTCCTTCGGTGTAAATACTCCTTTACAATCATCCAGTACAATGCCAGTACAATGGTTGCTTCAAAACAAATTATGCCAAGACCAGGGATCGGATCAAACGATTAATGAACTCGTTATTAAAGAAAATATTGTCCCCGGGTAACTAGTGTACCTAGCCCGAAATGTCTACGTTTTATATAAGCCACAATGTAAATGTGTAAAAGAAAATATTTTACCTTGGTCACTATAATGTCATAGTTTATATAGCTAGAAACTTATACCTAGCCCAAATTGTCTTCGACTTTTATCACTCTGTTATAACATGACGGCAACGTCAAGGCGATTTGCAAAATTTTGCGGCAACGATAATAAAAATGGCGGATGGGAAAGACAGCATATCCTCTTTCTCGCCTGTAGGCAAGATTTACAGGTAAGTTTTCCTTTTAAAGTAGTTCCATTCGGTGACGTATATATGGATGGTTATAAAGACTGGGTCAAATCTGCCAGGTGGTTTACAAGAAGCAGAATGTAAGGTGTAAACCCGGGGGGGATCACTGTGTACAAAATTTGGCGGGGGTCCTAGGCTGAACCCTCAATATCAATATATTCCCATACCAAAATGTCAAATTTGAATGTGTTCCCATACCAACCGAAATAGTGCCCCAAAAGCCATACCAAATGCCCAAATATGAAACCAATGCCATACCAAATGTCAAAATAAAGGACCAATGCCATGACTGGTCCAACGTAGAATATTTCCTGGGAAAAAAGCTATTTATTTAAACTGAGGAAGGTCCCAAGAAGAAGGCGATCTTTAAGGAAAACTAACCAAAACAACCTCATATTAGGATATGTGTATTGTATTGTATTCTTTATTTACCTCATATATAAGAGAGTTACAACTGTACATTAATTGGAAGTTAATACATAAATAAGAAAATAGATAAATTATTTGCTCATGTTTATGAAATGATCGAAGTTGCGAGCGTTGCTTGTCTCTTGATATACATTGAATGAATTATTAAGACAGCTTGCAACGCAAGATCGTCGTTTGTACAATTTAAGATCAGATTGATGCGATCTTTAACACTACTTGTATCGTTATATTTATAGATTTCGTAAAGTGCTAACCTTTCTTCAACATACAACTCGCAATGGCAGAGAAAATGTTCGATTGATTCAATTTCATTTAAGTTGCAGACATTGCACAATCGACCATTTTCTTTTGAGATATCCCACTTTTTGTGACCGTTTAGACCTAATTGACCAGTCATAAACTTCACAACAGTTGTAAATTGTTTTTTCAATCGTGGCATCCTTTGACACAAAACATACCAGCTATTTGGAATTAGACATGAGTGACCATTGATAAAATAAGATAAACCTTCGTATAACATGCATCTTATTCGAAACATTGATTCTTGTAGGTCTCGAATTCGACATTTTACTAGACGTTTCCAACTACTTTTGGAGATCATTTGTCCATCTAACATTAGTTTTACAACTTCCGAAAGATCGTATTTCCTGGCCGTGCACCACTAGACCAATTCCATACCATAATTGTGAGATAACTTTTTTCCATGTCCATTCCCATACCAGAAAGTTGAAACATCCGACCATTTCCATCCCTCAAAAGTCATAATGAGGGGGCCTTCTCATACCACATCCTAAAATTTGGGTCCATTGCCATACCAAATGTCAAAGGTACAAATGTGCGGCGAGGATCCCCGTCAAGGTTTATATACAGTGAACCCCCCGGGGTGTAAACCTACCGGCTGAGATATCCAAGTACATAATTTTTTACTTCATTCTCGTGTTTTCTCAGTATGTGTGCATCAGAGCCACTCAAAATATTAACTGTAAGTAAACTGTGTTTAAACAAGCCATAAAATGATAAATCCAGCACAGGAATGCGGTGTATATTGTAAATAATAAGGTTTCAATCGCAATGTCGTTAGACAACTACGTATGAATTGTATGTTTGTGGACGGTAACGTATTGTATTAGTTGTACAATAGATATTTAGCGGACGATTACGTGTATGTACACCTGTCAAGTCAAGGTTGCTAGATCTGATAGCCTCTTTCCAAGTTATTGTTATATTGGGTATATTGCCTATATTTGTTTTCAGTGCTCGCATGAGATTCTCTTGTTTGAGCCTCTATAGGGCAAGAAAAAAACTAAAGTGGCTTGCTTTATTGATGAAACCAATGAAAGTGAAAAGGATAGCAATGAAGAGGCAAAAGAAAAGTAAGGATCAAGTACTGATGAAGATGACAAAATTAATAACAATAAATCAGGGTTAATGTAGACCATGCCCTAACGACAAAAAAATAAACAAATTACTATAAATTTTGTGTAGTTTTGAATTTCAAACTCGATAGTTTTTCGCTTATTTCATGTTATCCCCAGGCATCAATTTACAAAGACTGCGTTGGTTCAAAATATACATTACTGAATGCATCACCGAATGCGATGCTAACATAAATCATTTATGCTTTCATTGATTCACAGTAGTAGAAGATAATGCACCAACCTTAGATTTCTGTTCCACCATGGCCATTTTATTGGATAAATCAGTGAACGTAGCACTGTTTTCCGCACCTCGGGGTCAGAGGTGGCGTAACCGTCATGCTATAACAGCGTTTATATAAGCCACCATGTGAATGTGTAATAAAAAATATTTTCCCCGTGTAACTGTAGTGACCTAGTTTATATAGATACATACATAGGCCGAATTGTCTACGACTTATGTAAATGTGTTGCATCACGGACACTGATAAATACTCAACACTACTTAGCCAATTTCAATATTTCACAAAATCAAATCTTACCACATTTTTTTTATTTTAAAAGTGCAGTTCGGTGATGCGCCACATCTTCGGTTTGCCTGGAAAGGGAATCCTCAAATTACCATGTTTAAACGTAAACCATGATACCATGGTATACCATGGTTTACCATGGTCTATCATGATCGGCAATGAAATTACCATCAACTCTGACCATGGTGGCAATGATGTTTTTTGGTCAATTTTTGAACATGGTATACCATGGTATATCATGTTATACCATGTTTCACGGTTATTAATAATGGTCACTTTTCAAATTTTTTCCAAATTAAGAGAGGCTGCCGCAGAAAATGTCTAAATACCCTTTCTCTGTTCCACCACACATCAGGACTTAAATTACAGGGTGGTCCAAAAAAATTGGAACATTTGATAATTGAACGCAAAACCTTTATTTTTCTTCTAAAATGCACTAAACTTTAACTGAGCATAGTTCAGTCACTTATTTATCTGATGTAAAGTTTATGGGTGCAAACAGCAAAGTTAATGCATTAAACTAGACAATGTTTGATATGACCCCTAAACTCCTGAATTACATGTTGAAGCCTGGGACTCCGTTTTGAAATGATTCATTCACCTTGCTGTTCGTTTGATTTTGTCCAAGCCATCTTGATAAAAAATTCAGCTTGAACAAACTACTTATATGTTTGCCTTGGAAGATCAAATATGTGAACACATTCAACATTTTTTACACAAATGTATGGGTATCAAGCATATTTTGATGGCTATTGTTAGGTGTATTACTGATTGAATATTCTCAAGAAAGAGGCCAGGGCAGTCTGTTTTGACTGGTAAATGAGCCCCCCTCCCCCTTTCTTGTTCTTATATGGATAATATTCACTGAATAAATCAATATATGTATATCAATATCATAAAGGAGTTTCCAAGAACACAAATGATGTATTATATGTGCTTAGAGGTGGTCTTGAATAAAGCCTTGTAAATAACTGGTCAGTTTCCCCTTTACTGAAAAGTGGAAACAATGATTTTGTCACTTTAGTAGCTGTATGGGTTATGCAATCACTCACCTCTTACATGTTCTTTCTTTCCTACTCATTAATAAAAATAATGATTTGGGGTATTCTTAAGTTAACAATAACACAATAGTTTTCTAGTAAACCATAGATGTTAATACCTCTTGTCAACTAAATATGATTTTATAAAATGTGTATAGCAATCAACATGTTCATTAAAGCGTTGAAATAAAGAAAACTTGAAAAAGTAGCGGCGAAATTGACAAGTGTATATTTGAGAAAAGGGGGTCATATCAAATATTGACTAGTTTAATGCATCATCTTTGTGGTTTGCACCTATAAACTTAACATCAGAGAGATAAGTGACTGAACTATGCTCAGTAAAACTTTGGTGCATTTCAGACGAAAAATAAAGATTTTGTGTTCAATTAACAAATGTTCCAATTTTTTTTGGACCACCCTGTAAATATCGAAAAAACCTCTGCCATTTGGTTAGGTAATAAAGCAAATTCAAATAAAAAACTATGTCACGATCTACCTTTGAAATGGGAAAATTCCTTTAAATTATTAGGAATCCAATTTAATAGCGATTTGATAAATATCGAAAAAGATAATCTTGAGGAAAAATTAACTGAGATACAAACTGTTATTTATAGATACAAAAGAAGAAACTTACCATTAATTGGGAGAATAACAGTTATTAAATCATTTGCACTGTCTAAAATTGTCCATATCATGATGAGTCTACCAAAAGTATCTCTTGAATATCACAAACGATTAAAGAATCTTTTCGTAACTTACCTCTGGAACTCGGCGGTTTCTAAGGTAAGTTTCAGCCAAATCTGTCAAGATTTTAGAGATGGCGGTCTTAAAATGATAGATCCGCAAATATTTGAACAATCTTTAAAACTGACCTGGTTACAGAAACTAACAAAAAACGGTACGTGGCAATCCGTAGCACTGAGGAGCATTGGAGTCCAACATGTGCAAGAATTATTTTCATATGACCCCAAATCACTTCAGAAAATTGAAGCAAAAATTGTTAATCTTTTCTGGAAAGGAGTGATTAACATTTTTAGAACATATACTGTATTGAAGGAAAATGAATTTGAACAAAAATCAGATTTGAAAGCGGAGTATCTAATTAATTGCACCTGGCTTATGTATAGTAAAAACAGAATGTGAATGCCGTCATCAAAAATACTAAAAACAATAGTGTTCTTACTCTGAAGGACATGCTCTTTAATTCCAAACGATTTTTTACCCTTGATGAATTCAAAGAACGCTCCAATTAAAATATTAATTTTCTGGACTTCTTAAGTCTTAAAAATACAATACCAGTTCAATGCCAGTGGACAAAAACAATTTTCGAAAACGACAAAACTCTTGACCACTATCCAAATAGCAAAAAACATCTATTGAAATTCATAGAAAAGAAAAAGATATCCAGAATAATTTATTGGGAATTCATTAAGGATCTCGATTTCAATAAAAGTTATATTTTAAAGTGGAACGATGAACTGAATATTGATCTCAATAATCATGAATGGCATATCATAAATACTATGAACAAAGTGAGTAATTTTGAGCCAAAACTAGCATATTTTAACTATAAAGTGCTCCATAGATTTTTGCCTACAAATAAATATCTACATATGTGCGGTCTCCAAGAATCTGCTCTTTGCAGTTTTTGCGGAAACCAAGTCGAAACTATTGGCCACCTACTTCTTCATTGTGAACCGGCAAAAAATTTGCTGAGTGATATCAAGAAATGGTTGCCAGAGGGACTGTCCGTTTTAAGCGATTTGAGAACGATCATATTGGGTCCAGTAATCATGAACGAAAAATCAATACTATTAAACACAATATTTTGCATATATAAAAGGTATATTTATCTATGTAAATGTAAAAATGTAAAACCTGAAATAAAAATCAATTAAAAAAAAATGTTTCATGGTATTTCAAGTTCAAAGTTAACCATCAAATGCCATAGTATTATCATGGTATTTCATTGCCATGTTCCTGACCATCATTTACCATGGTTATACCATTGTATATCATGGTTGATTGCATTTCTTGGCATTTCATTGTAAGTTGTGACTATCAAATACCATGGTATTTCAATGCCATGTTCCTGACCATAATTTATCATGGTATATCATGGTTGATGGCATTTCATTATAAGATGTGACAATCAAATACCATGGTCATACCATGGTATTTCATTGCCATGTTCCTGACCATCATTTACCATGGTATTACCATTGTATATCATGGTTAATGGTATTTCATTGTACGATGTGACAATCAAATGCCATGGTCATACCATGATATTTTATTGCTATGTACTTGACCATCATTTACCATGGTATTACCATGGTATATCATGGTTGATGACATTTCATAGCATTTCATTGTACCGTGTGACAATCAATTACCATGGTCATACCATGTCATTTCATTGCCAAAATCGTAACTCTCATTTACCATGGTTTTATCATTGCATTTCATGGTTGGTGGTATTTCATGGAATTTTATTGTCAAACCTGACCATCAAATACTATGGTCATACCATGGTATTTCATTGCCAAAATCATAACTATCATTTATCATGGCATATCATTGCATTTCGTGGTTGATTGTATTTCATAGCATTTCATTGTCGAACCTGACCATCAAATACCATGGTTATACCATGGTATTTCATTGCTAAAAAGAACTCTAGAATAGTGTCAAGTCTAAAATTGGTCAGAGTTGAAATGGATCATGAAATGCAATGAAATACCATGTTTAACCATGAAATGCAATGAAATACAATGATTGATCATGATATGCAATGAAATGCAATGGTCTTTCTTGCAATGCAGTGAAATACAATGAAAGACCATGTTCAAAAAGTATTTTTACATGAAATATCTTTATTAATAAATGTTAATTAGATAACCAAATTATTATAATTAGTGATTCTGATATCCATCAAAATCACAACCTTATATACTTTTGTTCATTTATTTTATAAATTAATTTCTAAGATGAATTATTAAGTTAATAACCCTAGAAACAAAAATTTTTTGTTAAACAAATATGTTTTACTTTTATTTGACTTTTGTCGGTAAAATAGGAGATCAACTTAATATTTTGTAAGTCCAACCTCCAGTCTTCGATTAAACATCTTGACTGTACTTCATTGCGTTTGATGGTTTGCGACCATCATTGCATTTGATGGTTCGCAACCATAAACTACTGCAAAATAACAGTTTTTTTAAATGCAAAATTTTAAGTATAGTGACCATGGTTTACCATGGTAGATCATGATAATTAAGTGGCTCCACTGCATATCGTGGTTGAATGTCTAGACCATGATATCGCTGCATTTGATGGTATTTGACCATGTAATACTGTGAAACGGTGGCATTTTTTAGATACAAAATTACATGTTAATTGACCATGGTATACCATGGTATATCATGATCGTTAAACGGTACCATTGCATTTCATGGTCGGGAGCCTTTTTTTAACATGGAGTTTCCCATTGAAAAAATACTGCCGTTTCATAGTATTTCATGGTCAGAAACCATCAAATGCAATGATATCATGGTCAAGAAACCATCAAATGCAATGATATCATGGTCGAGAACTTGACCATGATATCATCGCATTTGATGGTTTCTGACCACGAAATACTGCGAAGCGGCAGTATTTTTTCAATGGAAAACTCCATGTTAAAAACATGGTGTTAACCATGAAATGCAATGGTGCCATTTAACGATCATGATCGGCCATGGTATTACCATGGTATTTCATTGCATTTCATGGCCATATACCATGGTATACCATGGTCCATTTCAACATGGTAGTTTCGAGTATTTTACGCCCAAAGCTGTTAGACGAAAGAGAGCACGTGAGGCGACCCCTGTCACGTAGATGCCATCAAAACAACAAACATACGGTACATCCGTTAAGCTTCTTTCATAGTGAGCATGAATGTGCAGTGAAACTGCTATTTTGTTGTAAATAATGCTTGAAGTAAACACAAGCCCTTTGTAACTCAATTGGCTTTTGTTGATCCTAAATGATGTTTGTTCAGCGTTCATTGTAATTGTTGGTTTACAAAAGGTTTGGCCAAATAATCATTTCCATCAACACGAGTATTGATAATTAGAATGTAGAAACCTCCATATACAGAACTGCCATGTAATATATATTAATTTTATAAGTGCTAATATAAATCATAATTCAAAGATTATTAACCGAGACGCTTTGAGATGTGCTAATTAATGTACACCCACATATTCATCAGTAAGGTTTGAGACGCGCTATATAATATACACCCACATATTCATCAGTGAGGTTTGAGACGCGCTAATCTACACCCATATGTTCATCAGTAAGGTTTGAGACGTGCTAATCTACACCCATATGTTCATCAGTAAGGTTTGAGACGCGCTATATAATATACACCCACATGCTCATCAGTAAGGTTTGAGACGTGCTAATCTACACCCATATGTTCATCAGTAAGGTTTGAGACGCGCTATATAATATACACCCACATGCTCATCAGTGAGGTTTGAGACGTGCTAATCTACACCCATATGTTCATCAGTGAGGTTTGAGACGCGCTAATCTACACCCATATGTTCATCAGTAAGGTTTGAGATGCGCTAATCTACACCCATATGTTCATCAGTAAGGTTTGAGACGCGCTATATAATATACACCCACATGCTCATCAGTAAGGTTTGAGACGTGCTAATCTACACCCATATGTTCATCAGTAAGGTTTGAGACGCGCTAATCTACACCCATATGTTCATCAGTAAGGTTTGAGATGCGCTAATCTACACCCATATGTTCATCAGTAAGGTTTGAGATGCGCTAATCTACACCCATATGTTCATCAGTAAGGTTTGAGACGCGCTATATAATATACACCCACATGCTCATCAGTGAGGTTTGAGACGCGCTAATCTACACCCATATGTTCATCAGTAAGGTTTGAGACGCGCTAATCTACACCCATATGTTCATCAGTAAGGTTTGAGACGCGCTAATCTACACCCATATGTTCATTGGTACGGTCGAGACGTGCTCATACACACCCATATGTTCACCGGTAAGGACCTGCTAATCTACACCCATATGTTCATCAGTAAGGTTGAGACGTGCCAATGTATACCTACATGTTTATCAATAAAGTTTGAGCCGGGTGTTTGAGACGCGCTAATGTACATTCCAATTTTTATCAGTAAGGTCTGAACTTGAAAACATTTATCTCGTTAGCGTATAACAAGCAAATCACAACTACGGTTGCTTTATAAACTAGTTTTTATCATTTATTGTAATAAAGATTTGAAATTGTTAAAATTCAGAAGAACGAACATGCAACTCTCTAAAAGTCTGTGATAATATGGGATTCTGGTGCTGGTGGCATCTTTATATCGGCCCAAAATCTATGGAAATAACTTTGTAAATAATGATGAATCGACTTGCTTGGTAAATATTTCCCAAAAATTTCTCAACTTGAATATTTGACGAAAAACGTGATTTCTCTTATTCCCGAAGTTGTAGATGATGTGTACAGAAAGAACTTTCAATTGTGCAATGTCCTCTTAATAAGTTTGGAAACCGGAAGTAATAATTGGAAAGCATTTTTTAAAGTGCCAAACACAAACAGATTTTTAGCTATATCAAAAAGGTGACTTCCAGATGTCAAACTTATGCTTGTTTCCACATCGCTTTTAGGCTCGTTCAACCAGCTCATCGAAATCTATGTACTGACATACTACAATACAGGATTTCAATATAGTATATTTACACTTCACACGTTTGGATTGTAATATCGTCGAGATGCTAACGACGCCCTGTATACTTTAAATATGTATATTGGGAACACTAAGCTTGTATTCGCGAATGCAACTAAATCCTGTCGGCTACCGGATTAACCTCCTATTCTATAACTATTCCATTCAATCCAAATGAGTTGGTTATAAAATAGTAAAATAATCCATTAGCCGCTAGCCGTTAGTTGCATTCACAAATTCAAGCTAAGCCTCCAAGTTGCCATAAAACTTGAACAGTATATGTCATCGTTGAGTCACATATGGACTGGATCAATCTTGCCCTGCACAGTCTGTCCACGTTTGATTCCAACTGGAGATATCAACAAGTCCCTTCTGCGTAGAATCTACGTGCCCCGTACCACACTGACATGCGAGTTGCGTAGATATCAACAAGTCCCTTCTGCGTAGAATCTACGTGCCCCGTACCACACTGACATGCGAGTTGCGTAGATATCAACAAGTCCCTTCTGCGTAGAATCTACGTGCCCCGTACCACACTGACATGCGAGTTGCGTAGATATCAACAAGTCCCTTCTGCGTAGAATCTACGTGCCCCATACCACACTGACATGCGAGTTGCGTAGATATCAACAAGTCCCTTCTGCGTAGAATCTACGTGCCCCGTACCACACTGACATGCGAGTTGCGTAGATATCAACAAGTCCCTTCTGCGTAGAATCGACGTGCCCCGTACCACACTGACATGCGAGTTGCGTAGATATCAACAAGTCCCTTCTGCGTAGAATCTACGTGCCCCGTACCACACTGACATGCGAGTTGCGTAGATATCAACAAGTCCCTTCTGCGTTGAATCTACGTGCTCCATACCACACTGACATGCGAGTTGCGTAGATATCAACAAGTCCCTTCTGCGTAGAATCTACGTGCCCCATTCCACACTGACATGCGAGTTGCGTAGATATCAACAAGTCCCTTCTGCGTAGAATCTACGTGCCCCATACCACACTGAGATATCAACAAGTCCCTTCTGCGTAGAATCTACGTGCCCCGTACCAAACTGACATGCGAGTTGCGTAGATATCAACAAGTCCCTTCTGCGTAGAATCTACGTGCCCCGTACCACACTGACATGCGAGTTGCGTAGATATCAACAAGTCCCTTCTGCGTAGAATCTACGTGCCCCATACCACACTGACATGCGAGTTGCGTAGATATCAACAGGTCCCTTCTGCGTAGAATCTACGTGCCCCATTCCACACTGACATGCGAGTTGCGTAGATATCAACAAGTCCCTTCTGCGTAGAATCTACGTGCCCCATACCACACTGAGATATCAACAAGTCCCTTCTGCGTAGAATCTACGTGCCCCGTACCACACTGACATGCGAGTTGCGTAGATATCAACAAGTCCCTTCTGCGTAGAATCTACGTGCCCCGTACCACACTGACATGCGAGTTGCGTAGATATCAACAAGTCCCTTCTGCGTAGAATCTACGTGCCCCGTACCACACTGACATGCGAGTTGCGTAGATATCAACAAGTCCCTTCTGCGTAGAATCGACGTGCCCCGTACCACACTGACATGCGAGTTGCGTAGATATCAACAAGTCCCTTCTGCGTAGAATCTACGTGCCCCGTACCACACTGACATGCGAGTTGCGTAGATATCAACAAGTCCCTTCTGCGTAGAATCTACGTGCCCCGTACCACACTGACATGCGAGTTGCGTAGATATCAACAAGTCCCTTCTGCGTAGAATCTACGTGCCCCGTACCACACTGACATGCGAGTTGCGTGCTCCCCAAGTACCAGCTGCATAACTGTTTTGTTCAGGAAAACGTAAATGCAGGAATTTAGAGTCACGTTTAATATGAACAATAATTCTGACAGAATGAATACGTTTCTTGTCACGTTTGGATCTAATAATCTACCTGCCGAATTTATGAAACAATAAGGGAGACACATTCCAAAGCATGCCAGTATGAAAAGAGCGCATCTTTTCGCGACGACTTTAACCCTGTGGCTTGCCATTCTTCCCGCATCCACGTCCATTTGGGAAGGGGTAGTCAAATTAAGACTCTCGTGACTGGAAGGCGGACGTATAGTTTCAATTCTGTGATTCTCTCGTGTCTCTGTTGTTAAACTACTGGCATGTGTTACCACAATCGACTCACCCTGGGAGCTGACCGAGCGCTCTGACGTTTCCGAGATACGAGTCGTTCTTTCCCTGGACATTGTTGGTGAGTTGCAGACTCCCTGATGTCGTTCGTAGGTAGTTCTTCCACATTCTGAAGGACGCGTCACTTGAATTCTTATTGGCTGAATGTGGGGAATGGTCGGAGCACTTGTCACGAATGGTAAGTCATCGTTAACATCGTCATGAATAGCATTCGAATCCAAGTCAAACCCTTCCCGCGGCGAACATAAAGTAGCAGTGGAGAAGATAGAACCTGAACGCATGGATCTTTTGGGGTTCATTGGTAATATCTTGGTATAGGACATCATTTTTTCTCGCCCAGCTGGATGCATTATCCGAGCCGCATCGGTCTCAGATGCCAAATATAGCCAACAATTGGAGGTGGGATCCGGAAGTGCAAAGTCAACATTCGTATCAGGGACGATATGAGAAACAGGACTTTGTCTCTTGACTCGGGGACTGATTGTAGTTTCTTGCTCAACTTCTGTCTGAGTCGACATGTCTGAAAATAAATACACGGGACAAGCTATACAGGAACATTTATGACTAAAAAGCCAGTAATTGATAAGATACAAATGACTAATGTTAGTAAATCAGGGGAAAATCATATCAATATATAAGCACAAATGCCAAAGGGGAGGTGACTAAAAACTTTCTTTAAAGAAACCCAACAAGAAAAGCAAACTGTAAGTATAAATCGGTTATAAGAAAAGTAGACCCTATATATCCCAAAACCACAATCTAACGTGAAAAGAAACAATGTCTAACATCCCCCTCCCCCTCGATATATAAATATATTTAAAGTTCACTAATGGTTTAGAAATAAACTCATCTAACAGCATATTTTATTGGATTTTTGTCAAAAATCAGCTTGTTGAGTAATGCTTTTAGATAGTTAGAACGTATTATTCCTTACATGTTTAAAGATATAGAATACAATTCATTCTTTCTGGGCAAAGTTCATAAAACAGGGTTAATATTGATGATTGCATGGAGTGACAATTATGTCGATAAAAGTATGATGTCAGAATAGTTTTTCTTGATTTACATGTCGAATGTGGGTTTGATTCCGTTTCACATTTTGTTTAATGTAAACAAAATTTAGGATAAGATATACGTATATGGAAGATGTGATTCTATCTTTGCTGGTAATCTTTCCCAACATAACTTTCAGGACATTGACCTACTTTTTAATTCGCCTCTTTTGAATGACAGGATCGCTATATCTTGCTTGGTAACTTCAAAGTGAGGCTTCAAAATGGGTTGATCTGAATCAAGCCGGAAGTTTGAGGCGCTTGTAGTACGGCGCATGTGCCGAAGGGGCGGCAAGCTAGAATCAAACCCCACTCCAGCTGAAACCGGTTCGCTTGCAACGCTCAGATCAGATGCTCTTGTAGTGAAACTCCACCTCGAATCATTTGACCCACGTGAATACCGCTGTGAAAAGCGTGATGTTGATTTTCCTTGAGAGATCGACGACGTAGATGATCTCGAGCCAGATCCAGAACCGGAGAAATAACTTCGCGGTGTCAGCAGTCCGGATGACCCCGAAGAGTTTGAATATCGCACATTACAGTTGCAATATTCTGATGGATCGAGTCTTTTTCGGAAGCTTGGAGTGAATTTTCTTTGATACGATGATTCAGACGATCCAGAACCTGCAAGTCCTTGATGGTTTGAATGGTCAGCTGCGAACACGTTCCTACCATTTTCAGTTTCATCAACAACAGGCTCCTCAGTGCGTCTGGAATTATTTTCTTCTTCAGGAGAATTAACGTTCACTCGTTCTGGTGATTCTTCGGCACCTGAACAACTGACATTTTCGGCAGTCTCATGGATCACAAACAGATCATCAGATTGTTCTTGGATTTCAGACATGGATATGTGAACACCACCTGTTGCAATTGGGCTCTCCGTTAGAATTTCACTATCGTGCCACCTTGGGAAATTTGCTGTCAAGATGTTTGGGGTCTCCAAAAGAGTGGTTGCTATTTCTGGCGAAGGACTGGAATAAGTGGGGGTATGAATGATAAACACGGCGTGTGGAGAGGACACGCTTGGCGCCACTTTGTTGTTGATATGCTTCAATAAAACCATATAAGATGTCGCCATAACAACGAGAGCTACCCCAAGATAAAGTGAAGTGAAATGGGTCGTAATGACACTATCAGATCGTTCAATACTTTCATTCGATATACCAACATGTCCTTTAAAGCATAGTTCGAATGCAGCATTACGTTCCTCTTTATCGGTCCCCATGATATATATGTTAAATGAGACTAAACACAACCATGATAAGATGATACCAACAAAATCAGGCCAGTTTGAGATCGGACCGGAGTGTGTCCTACACACGATACGAGCTCTTCGTACGGCAATAAATGCTAAAGAAAACATCTGAGTTCCCCACAAGGTCCGTAGAAAGAAATATTTCGCGCGACACCACATTTTCAGCTCGTATCCCTTAATAGGATTCCCTACCATGTCCACAAACATTAGCCCTAGTTGGATAGATGATGCAAACATTCCTAGAATTACCAGCTGCGAGACAAGAGGATGTCTACTCCACATAAGCCGCTTATTAACAATTCTCATCAACACGTATGCATTCGTCGGGATACCTATGGCGGCACAAACAAACATAATGATGCCACCGAGCACCGTTGTGACAGCATGGACATGTCCCTCATCGACGTTAGTTTCTGTTGTAGTTTCAACAAAATTAAAAGCGCCGCTCGTTATGTTTTCCATTCTACGTTTAATGGTGATTACTGTTTTCATACAGAAATTTGTATCAAGTTCTAGTCTAAATATGCAGAGGTTGCAAGCTTGTTATCATTTTTATATTTGTATTATGAAAAGTGTTAATCATTTTGACTATCGATGACGTCATTGATACAACCTCGGTTTTATGGAACTCCGATGTTAATTAATGCGGATATCGTTAGAGCAGACATACAGTATTAATAATTTTGATGGTTCTTTGTATATATATGAATTCAAATCCCTGCTTAATGCATGCGCTCACGTATTTATAACCCAGGAGTACATGTAACAAATGAAAACAATGGATACAAGGAAATATAAGTTGTCAATATGCTCCATTTTCTTGGCTTTATACAAATAAAGGGCGCTTTCACTGCACAATTGAATACACCCTAAGAAATGTCATTATCATTAAATCACAACAGGACAACGTGACATCCAAAGTGCAATTCAAGATCCAAATTCAATATTATACCGGGCGGTTCTTGTCTTTTAACCACTTTAACAAAGCAGGTGCGAGGTTTAGTCGCGGTGTTACGATCACCAAGTTTAGTTCCCATTTTAAAACGTTTCTAAGAGTTGTCATTGACTGCTTGAGTAGTATCGTTAGGAATACGCGGAATACCCGGCGCTACTCTTGCATATGTCGCCTTAAATCATATTTCAAGATTATTCATATACAATCAGATAATACCGAATTTTGTACAAAGCATCAATAAATTAGTTTTAATTTACAATTATAGAAATTTACATGCTTTTCTTATGTTTAATTATTGGCTGAGATGCTGCCATATATTATATTATTCAGATGACACATTGTTTAAGTGCTGCCATCTTTTGAACTTTGTAAAAGATAACTTCAAACCACTGCAGTCGAGTCAGTAGGCTGTCGTGGATATGGCTATAACACAATAGTAACTTGATCGTTACAAGTGAACCTTAGAATGTTTTTATGTGATGATCTGATAATTTAATTACCGTTCGTTAAACTACCAAAACAATGTCAGGTCGTCACAGCAGTATTAATCCATCTTTTGAGCAGGCTCACCGGATGAAGAAGACACCACGGACCCTGTTACACCTGCCCTATTCATCCAGAGTAAGGACAATCCCCGAAGAGTAACACTTAAACTTTCTCGAATTATCCCCAGGTGACCTTGCACATCATCATGTAAAACAAACTCCAAACTTGAGTTCATCTCAAGCTTAGCAAGGTAACACGCGTGAGTATGATTTTTTAGATTAAGAATGATATGATGAATTAATTGATGATTTAATTGTTTTAAGGTTCGACACATAAATTGTGTTTTGAACACAAGGAGGATTGGCTCCCAGAATCGAAGTCGATATTTTCCAACAATGAAAACGCCGAAATTATAACCGATTATAAATGCAAAATAAATAGTTCAAAAGATTCGAACTAATATCTCGATTATTTCTTGTGAAGTTTAGAATTTTTCGTTAGGAAATAAGACCAAAGTTCACGATTCAAATGTTGTGAAGTGAAGTGAAGAAAATGGCGGCTGTTGGAAATCGAATTTTGTAGCACGACATCCTCACGGGCGGATCCAGGATTTTTTGTTAGGGGGGGGGGGGCGTGTGATAATAAAAGTGAGCGAAAAGTCAAATTTGGTAAAAAGCGATGAGGCAAACACGAATTTTCCGACTTTTTAGGGACGCCCCCGTCTAGATCCGCTGGTGATCCCCATATATGGGACAGAATATCGATGTTGCACTCTGGGAGCCAATCCTCCTTGTTTTGAACACTATGTTCAAAATTTGAACATACATGTCTAAAGGACGAATGTTTTTAAGACCCTATTCAGCCCCGAAGATATTTAAAAGAAATTCTTCAGGATACTAAAGAAGGTACTTTGTTTGATAACCAGATCCAGAAATTAGGTCATTCTGACCTTTATTTTTCAAAATATAGGTCATTCTATTATCATGTATAAAATGACCTTTTGAAGGAAAATCACTCTCACATCATTATTGTCACTGTTTCTATTTATTATCAAAATAATCATTATTTACAGTCGTCATCATACTTACTAGTTCCTGAAAAAGTTTATATCTTCACTTGTGTCTGACATATAAAGGCGTCTTATAGTACCCAGTGGATTTTATCCAGGGGTATGAGAATTGCTCTGTCGAGTTGACCAAACCAGGGTGCATATTGCCGGCTCCGGCACCCGGTGGTTTTGAGGTCCAAACCCTATATTCATGCTGGAAAAAACATTGCAATCCGAAAAAACGATTAGCTTTCAAATTTCTGCCTGAGTGTAAGCATTGATAAGGTTTGTTTCCCGGGAATTCACAACCGGATGTCAAATTCGATATAGCGAAATATTATTCTAACTTACAGCAGATGTTCTCTGTAGCAAACGATAAACATGGAAAAGAAAAAGTGTCGAGTAGTAGTGGTTGGAGCTGGAATAAGCGGTGAGTAAATGATACACCGTGGTGTATATTTTCACAAACTCGATTAACAGACTATGAGGCTTTCTTCTACATAGAAAAATCGCCCCTGCTAAGCAGAGATGCCTCAAGTATCGCTATAGTGCTCACCATAAACAAATAACACCTGGATTTTATATCACCATTTCCAGACCATGGTGATTTGAGACTTAATACTTTCCAATAATGTCTAGATACACATCCCTTAAGTTCGGTATATTTTACATTTTGTATACTCTCATCCACTGATGTATAGCCTCTCAGTGAAGATTCTCTTCTTTTAAGGTGCCATGATACTTAACAGGAAATGACGAAACAGGAAGTGGCAAAACATTATGCATTTTAGACATTTTTTGAACAAAGATAACAGAGTTCTGTTTTGACCTCCAGTCAATCTAACTATTTTCACCTGAGGCCCAGGAATACGTTAAAAATGTTTGTACCTCCAGTCAGTTTAACTAGTTCCACATATCATTTACATGACTGGGAACACAATGGAAATGGTCAGAATGACCATAAACATGATGAAATAACCTTTTCAGCCCTCTGAAAATGTGACTGAAAAATAGCTAAGAGTAGGTGCTCAGGAAAGGTCACTCAACAGAATCTTTTGACTTTTTTAGAAAATGTGGCCAATATATTGCTCCAAATGATACAATTTAGTTTCAGACGATTTTTTTAAATTTCAAAGATTGTATCATTCAGAGCTATATATTGGACACGTTTTCTGAAAAAATCAAAAGATTCTGTTCATTGACCTTTCCTGAGCACAAACTTTTAGCTATTTTTCAGTCACATTTTCAGAGGGCTGAAAAGGTTATTTCATCATGTTTATGGTCATTCTGATCATTTTCATTGTGTTCCCGGTTATGTAAATGATATGTGGAACTAGTTAAACTGACTGGAGGTCCAAACAGAACTCTGTTATCTTGGTTCAAAAAAATTTCAAAATCCAGCATGGTTTTGACATTTTTTGTTTTGTCATTTCCTGTTAACTTCCATAGCACCTTAATGCGTGGTATATACATGTTATATTTTACTTAGATTACTTACATGTATAAGAATAAGACTGATTTTTATAAGCTTAATGGATAAGAATAAGACTGATTTTTTTTATTAATGACAGTATACCCGGGCCTCAGATTTCCACATATCATTTACATGACTAGGATCACAATATGCATGGTCAGAATGACCCTAAACATGATGAAATAACATTTTCAGCCCTTTGAAAATGTGACTGAAAAATAGCTAAAAGTAGGAGCTAAAGTAAAATCATAAATGTTTGTGAGTACTTTGAATTTAAAAAATAAGCAATCAAATGACCAAATTGAAACAGTTTATGTAATAATAGGTCTAGTTTGGGTTTAGCATAAAAATGGTCCTTCAAATAGCCACAGAGAGAAAAGTATGTGCCGTCAAATCTGGTGAATAGGGAGGCCCTCGTGTCTTATAGCCCCCTTATACAAAGAGGTCAGACGTTGAAGAAACTACATTGGTTGGGATTCTAGTGTAGTCTTTGTTGAATGTAGAGGGGCTCAATCAATTTGAGACCACTGTGTTTTCATTGGATATCATTTGGTCTCCAGGCTAGAAGGAACTCTGGAAGGTAAATCCTGAATCATTTGCCGATAATTGACCTGATTCTCCGTGTTTGTTCTGCCATCGTCATCCTCAAACATCTTTTTCCGTGGCTATTTGAAGGAGTGTTTTAATGCTCATTCGAAGCAAAAAGACCTCGAACAACTTAAAGGCAACATCCAAAGAGAAATCCAAAACATTCCACCGTGAGTATACAGGCTGTCACTACTTCTACTACTTCTAGACTTCCTGATTAATCCTCATACAAGTTTTGTGACTACACCAAGTTGCATGGGTTATCACTTGTACATTTAATCTATTACAGTATAATTATCATGATAGATACATGATACAGGCTTTATGAATGATAAACAATGGGTAATGAATGAGGATAACTCTGGACAAAAAAATAGTCCCAGCAAACAAAATGGTGGACAAGAAATATTTAGAATTCACAATTGTTTGAGCTTTATTATACTCTAACAATGCAAGAAGTACACATTTTCATGCTCCTTCGTTGTTCCCCGGTAAGGTAAGATGATATGTGGAAATTTTGGATTCTTGCAAATGTGTGACTGTTGCAAGGCTACTCCTTGAAACTTTCAAAAATAGCCTCACTTCATACTCTTTATGCTAGCTTTGGGGATCCATGCACCTCCACTTCATAGTTATGAAAAATGTGTTTAAATGTGATGTTTTCTTTTATGTGTCTCTTTAGTCAGGAAATGCATTCACATACAGGGTGTCCAAAAAAAAACAGGACCGTAAGAAAGTTAAATAACTCGGTCAATTTTGCATATTTTGCCTTGAAAGTTTAGAATTATTTAGTTCATTCAATGTGAATTTTGTTCTGAAAGTTTGATGATAATCTGTTTATTGTGTCAAAAACTACAGTCCTTTACAAAACATGCTCAAAGTGGGCAATTCTCCTCTCTATGCACAAACGAATCCTGCGAACAAAGTTGTTAATGACCCTGACCTATACACATTAATGTGGATGGTAAATATTGGGGTAGTTATTGCCCTCTTAAGATTGTTAGGGGCCTGTCAGTATACTCATTGGCTTTGAGAAATCCTCAAAGATAAAAATTTGGGGGATTTAGATCAGGCGAATGAGGTGCCCATATGGTTTGCGTTCTGCAACTGATGAGCTGACCACCAAAGCATTGCCTAAACCATTTCAGCATATCATTTGTAGTGTGGGGGTGGTATTGGCTTGTTGAAACCACTGCTTAATTATCTCCTTAGATGTCCATTCTGGTGCTTATGACCTCTAAAACTTGGTGAGAACTTACTGGTCCTTGTTCATGGTGATAGCACATCCCCAGTCACCTTCGAACCAAAAGGGACTGATGATTCCATGTTTCCTCATTGCCACCCAGGCAGTGCATTGTTCAGAATGCAATGGATGCTGTAACACTTCATCAGGAGGATGTAAGCTCCAGTAGCAATTGTTCTTTGAACAAACTTGTCCATTCAGAAAGACATATGTGTAGGAGGATCATCAACAACTTTGTTCGCCGGATTTAATTGAGCATAGAGATGAGAGGTGCACATTTGAGGCATGTTTTGTAAGGAGCTGTAGTTTTTGACTCAATTGATAGATTATTATCAAACTTTCACAACAAAATTCACATTGAATGAACTAAATAATTCTGAAATTTCAAGGCAAAATATGCAAAATTGACCGAGTTATTCAACTTTCTTACGGTCCTGTTTTTTTGGACACCCTGTACAAGGAAAACAGTATACAAAATCTTCTGACTTTATCAAAAAAATATGGCTGCCATGTTTTTGTACTTTTGATTAACTTTAATGTCACCTTAATATCTGGTAATGGACCACTGAATAATCATTGTTTTTCCGCGCATGGTTAAAAAGGCCTTTGTGCCAAGTTTTGAAATATCCTCAGTCAACTGATCCTACTGTGCAATCAGGTAAACCGTTATGTAATGGGGATTGACTGGGGATTAAATTCTGGTCACAAGAGTTACATAACACACGTTTAAGATTTAGATTCACTAAGAAAAAATGTAACTTTAAGTGTTCATCAGTATCCCCGATGGTTCAGTTAACATTACAAGCATATGGAAAAAGAAGTGGCAGAAACAGTCAGTAAAGTCACAATCATTACCATTGGCTGTCATCGTATGAACGATTTTTCATGAAAGATTATATTCCACGCCCCTCCACATGGCCACCATTTCTCTACACACAGAAATTGGCTCGTATCTCCATGTCACGAATACCTCTTTGAATCATAGGTGGGTTCTGGCGGAGACCAGCAACCTCATTGGTGATTCTCTGTTAACTGTTGTAATGTGTAAAACTTGGTACTGGCCGGATTTTGGCCCGTTGTGCAAAAATAATGATTATTCAGTGGTCTGTGGTCATATACGAATAAATTACATACCGTTGGAAAGAAAAGACACGTGGCTTCATGGTAAAATAAATGAAATTGATGAAATCATCACTGTTTTTTACAATGATTTTGCTTGTTGCGTTTTTAGGACGCACTGTATTACATTCAGGCTTGTAGCTCTTTTTAGAGTTTGTTAGATTAAATTATTTATACACCGAGACGAACTTTGAAGCTGTACGTGTAAATCTTAGATAATAGGGAGGTTAAGTTCCACGTTTTAAAAAAAACTGTACGTGGGCGTGTTAAAGTAGGGTCCTCTAGTGATTACTATATCTAGTAGTTCTCACATTTATAGTGTTTACTTGGCCAAATGAGTATCAAGGTATACAGGCAATAGTTGTATTAGGCCCCTGAGAAAGTGAATTGAGAGCGGGAAAACAATCCCCGGGAGTTGCAATATTACGCACTCACATAAATGTTCTCTTAAAAACGTGTAACTGAACCTCCCTAATATAAACATTTCACCGAATCGTTCACTCATAGTATGTATGTCGATGTCTTTTATCTTACCGGGTCATACTTTGAACCCACTTGTTACTGCAGTATTATCAGTAGATATATGTCCTTTTGATTCATTGCGTACCACATAACCTTCTTGTGCCCAAACTTCCTACGGTATCCATGGCCAACTGTTAATATGCTCCGTTAAATATTATACAAATAGTGTCTGCCATTGAGGGAAATAGAGCAAAATACCTTTCCCGAGGGAATATCCTGTCCACTGACATATTCCCTAAGCACTGTTTTACGAAAATGTGGCAGTCACTATTTGTTTTATTATAAACCACATATGTACTCTATAAACAAAAACAAAATGAGAAGTCTTTTAATTTCAACTTATAATGATTACAGGTTCTTATCGGCGTTTAAAGGCATTTTGCCATTCAACTCCTAAAACCCAGCTAGCAGGGAAGATAAATGGTCTTTAGGACTTTCCAGGGAATTAGTTCATCTGTTTCATATCATGTGACCATGAATAAGCCAATGAGCATCTAGAATACATATGGAGTATATAATAACATTAAATCTTACTTGATTAATAGAAAATCCTTGGTTAATGTTGGTTACGAGACTTCTTAGCTGTTGGATACTGACTTTTTAACTGTGGTGTTCACAGGTGTCTATTCTAGGACTGATACTACTCATCCTATATATTAATGACATTCCTGATACTCAGGGTGGCCAGTGTTACATTTATGCCGACGATACGCCAGTAAATTTGATTCAAAAGACCCTACCAATGTTGATGATTCTGTTATGTCAAGATTAGATAGTATTGAACAATGGTCAACTAGTTGAAAACTTCAGTTTAAAGTTACGAACTGTTATTCCATAAACCTAGAACGCATATTAATAATGTAAGTCCATCTATTTTTAAATATCATAATATTAAAAATTAAGAGCTACTTCTCATGGACATCTCAGCTTCACTTTTGACCCTTGCTTAACGCGTAAACAGCATATTAAGTAACATACGAGGGTATATCATAAAGTTCTCATAATATCTCTCTAATTTTTTTATTTTTCAACATATTCTCATAAAATCTTCATAGAATCTGCAGTATAGAATACTGTATTGATATATCAAGAAGTATTTGGTATAACAGAAATATTAGATAAGTAATGGTTGCCATAGTAACCGGAAATCAAGGCACCCGGGGCAAATAAAAATAATTGAGATATAATGAGCTTTATTAACCTTGTTTACATACATAATAAACTCTCATAAATTATCAAACACATTAAAATGTTATCTTGAATATGTTGTTGAATGCTTTTACTATAAAATAAATTGATCATGTGAATTGTGTGATGTCATAGGGGATGCTAACATGCTTCATTAGATGTGATACCAGACTCTGAGAATCAAAGCTTAAATGATCAGAAATAACTGAGTTAGATAATGCATAGATGCAGGGATCATCAGAAAAATAATATTCATACTGATATAAAGTTTAGTTTAGTTCGAAAAATCCTTTGCTCATACTAAAGATAATCTAAAACAAATGTGGTGCAAAGATATCAACAAAATTACACCCTATGTGTGGTCTATTATTTATTTAAGATGAACTAAAGTGGAAATTCGACTTTCCTTGGAATATTTGACAAAACAGTTGTAGTGTCTAACATCACTTCTAATGAAGCATTACGATCATCCATTATGAGATCACAAAATTCACATGACCATTATAATAGTTCAAAACAATCAAGAGTGCATGGTGCTTAACAATTTGATGTGTTTTATAGTTTATTTGATAACGTATTATGCATTTAAACATGGTTAGTTGGGGCTATTCTTGCACAATTTTTTATTTGCCCCGTGTGCCTTGATTTCCGGTTACTATGGCAACCATTTCTTAATTAATATTTCTGTTATACCAAATATGTTTTGATAGATTAATGCAGGATTGTATATTACACATTCTGTGAAAAATTCATCAGAATATATTGAAAAATAAAAAAATTAGAGAGATATTATGAGAACTTTATGATATACCCTCGTATATGATACGGTTACGGTAACAAAAATTTTGAGCCGTTCAAAAAGCTTTTGGATCTAATCACCTTGAGACAATCTTATATTATTCCATTTTGACTGTAAAAATAATTAATTAATTAATCAGGGAATGTAGAAGAACTGAAAATGAATAATTAGGAGTTGGACTGTACTTCTGCAGACATCCAACGATCGTGTAACAAATGGTATCCACGTCTTAAGCTAATAATCGAAGCAGAATGGGCCTATTGAGCCATATTTTGGACAGACTTGAGAAGATTTTTTTTATAAGCATACATACGTACATTAAGCATGACTGGTTCAAAAACTGAATGAAAATACTTTATAATATCCAGTAAGGAAAGTCTCGTGACATTGATGCAATTTTTGACTGAACGGTACATTGCGTAGAAAAAGGCTATTTTTGGACAAATCGATGAAAATTGAGAAGGTGATGTTTGACCCGCGTGTCACATAATTGATTATATTTCGAGCCATGGTTGTTGAAAATTGTATAATTTCAATATTTGACAGTTTAACAAATAGTGTTTTGATGGTAAATATAACTAACTTTGCAGTTGAAATAACAAAATACTTTATCTGTGTACTAAGTTCGAGCTAATAATTTATTTAACCTTTTAAATATACATATAACGACATATAGAATCTGAATTCACCAATAACCAAAAACGTTAGAGGAAAAGCCACCATTTTAGTTTAGTTTGTCGTTTTTAAATCTGTTAAATCCTAAATCAAAGGTAGGCCTAAAACACATAACTAGTTTAACTATACAACTTACTCTTATTCTTTGCACATAATTACATTTTTCATTTTTATTGACATATTGTAACACCGAGTATTTAGACGACACGGCCAGAATTTCGCATGCTGTTTCTGATCCATGCAACTACATGGTATTCGAACATAACAATATGCTCGATGCGTCATGAATCGTGAAAATATAATATCAATTGGATTTAACGTACGCAGGTTTGTCTGGTGCAAGATTGTTAGATGGCGCTGATGTTGACGTTACAGTATTAGAGGCACGTAGCAGAGTAGGCGGAAGGACATACACAAAACGGGTTCGTAATTGGCGCAATAGTCTGGATGATTGTTATTAGGATTTTGACGAAGATGCATCGGTTTGCATTCAAATGTCCCATCATAAAGAAATTTTTATCTCTGAGATTACATATATGGCAACGGCGAATGAATGTTAATCCTTTGAATTGTCCATGAACTTCGAGACTGGATTTCGTCTATCCCACATCATTTGAGGCTGGCCTTGGTTTTCTGGTCCTGAATTGTGATATTGGTTCCTTATTGGAGGGGGAAAGGGGTGTTAGACATTATTTCCGTCCATGTAAGATCATAGTTTTGGGACATAAAAGGTCTATTTTACTCATGATACATTCAGAATTTTCTTTACTTGCTAGTTGATTTTTACAGTTTTTGGTCCTTTCCTTTTGGTACTTCATGTTTAGATTTTCAAGTTTACATTCTGTCACTGCATCAACTACGACGATACCAAGAGCAATGTATTCACTTGGCACCTTTTGAGGTGGATCCCGGCTATGGCATTAATGGTTGAGAAATAGGGATCGAAACCAGTCATAAAGTTACTCTGATGACCATTGTGAATTATTGTTTTATGGATTATGGCGACGGCTTTTGTGAATGGATGTTGACCCTTTGAAACGCCTATGGACTTGGACATCATTTGAGACTGAATGCTCTATCTTGTATGAGTACTTGTATCTACAACTATTTTTGAGGTTATGAGTATTGACTATCAATTTCTAATTTTTTCTTCAACATGTATTGTAATGACTTCAGTATGAATGAAATGTCCCTTGGTCTTCTGGTCTTGGATTGTGATATTGGTTCTTGAATGGTGGGGGTAAAGGGGGTATTAGACATTGTTTATTTTCATCATGGTTTTGGGCAATATGGGGTTTGTTTTCCTTGACTGGTATGCACTTAAAGTTTGCTTTTTCTTGCTAAGTTCCATTACAACTTTTGGTCCTTTCCCTTTGGCACTTGTGCTTATATATTACATTTGTTTTTAGGACCAAAGTTATAAGTACTGCGATGTGGGTGGATCCTACGTTGGTCCAACACAGAACAAAATCTTGCGCCTCTCTCGGGAACTTGGAGTTGAGACTTACAGGATTAACAACACGGGAGATTATGTTCACTTTTCAAGAGTAAGTTAGTTTATAAGGTAAAGAAATCCGAAAGGTACGAATAACATCATAATGGGGGGGGGGGGTATAATTTCAGGTTATTGGTGATGATTCTAACGAAGAGCCCAAGTCGTCGTTTCAGAGTGAGTTGTACAGTCATTTCACACGAAATTCTAATTTATTTAACTTAGCTTTTGAATCAGAATTTATATCAGTAATCAGGGTAATTTTGAAGATGCATGATAGAAAATAAGTCATATTTTGAACTAACTTTTTGAAAGTGAGTATGATCTTAGGTAGCCAAAAAAGGCTGCCAGTCTAGCTGGATATAACGCTAAAATGGCATGGGAAAGATCAGTGTCTTTCTCAAGCGAGCTCAATGCTTTTGAATATAGTAGCCCAGACAGAATTGTTCAATGGTCACCTTTTCTTTAATAACTTTTTTAATTTTCAGTATTATCAAAATCTGATTACATATTTGAAAACTAAAGTAAAATTCTGACATACACAAAAATGTTTAAGGAATGTCTCTTAATTAATTATAGGCGTTCATAGTATAAGTGAGGCAAATACATAATTCACCATTTTGTCTCATATTTTGTTCAAAAATGGCGGCATGTTTTGTGGTTTGAATGTTCAGTTGAAAGTTAATATTTAAGAAATGTCATAGGCCTATGAAGTCATGTGGACTGCTGCTTTGGTATGAAGTAATGACTGCATTTATAACATTTTGTTTTAAATTGACTTGTATGTATACCAGTACTTAAAAAGGTTTGTACATTGTATGTAAAGTATATTGGTAAGGTCGCAGGACTTAAGTTTTTTGGCCATTCCATTGTTACTCGAAGTGGATTAGCAACCCTCGTTCGTTTAACCTGTGCAACTCTAGGGTCATATTGTCACAGTTTGTAGTGTCTTTCCCAGTCTCACTCTTAACCCATCCTTGGTATGCATGTGAATTGTTCTTCAGCTTTTCAATGGCCTCTGAGATGACTGTTTGGAGCTCTTGAAAAGATTGAGGACCTACTCTCATCATACCCCGCACATTTGGGCCCCACCTTTTCACGTCCTCTTGAGCACAACCCCGAACATTTCAATAGAGTTGATTTCATATACCCTTGGAGGGAGTTGACTTCTTGTATTTGATGATTGGTCAGTTGCTGCATTACATCAGGATTGTAACGGTGGCAGCATGGCCACAAAATATGCCGCCATTTTGAACAAATATGAGGCAAAATTATGAATTATGTATTTGCATCAGTCATACTATGAACGCCTATAATATCAATAAAACATTAAGATATGTTCCTTAAATATTTTTTTGTATGTCAGAATGTTACTTTAGTTTTCAAATATGTGATCAGACTTTGATAATACTGAAAATTAAAAAAGTTATTAAAGAAAAAGAACAATTCTTTCTGGGCTATTATGTTCTCTGTAGCTTCAGTTTCCATACGGTGCTCTGTTTTATCGATGAATATGGGGCTCATTTGCCCTACAGTGTTCAAGTTGGAGTAGTTGCTTGGGTATCTACCAAAAAAGTATATGCAGGATTTCTTCAGAATCAACAAAAAAGACCACTATACTAGAACATTTCGAATACATGTAAAACTATGTAGCAATCTCTGACCTAAGTCATGTAGAAGTTATTTTATCCAGAATTGAATGTTCTTTCCAATGGCATATAGAATGTATAGTTACCTCTCCAAGTTTATGCTTTGGAAGGGGGGGGGGGGGAGGGGGTACATCGCCGTTTGACATCCTCGACATCATAATGACAAAAGTCTTCTTTGTTTTAGGGAAGGGCTCTTGTGGCTCCAGGTGGCCTGTGTGACGTAGCTGTATATTTACATGATAGGTACATCGAAATAATGCAAGTTCACTTTTTTCTAGGGTAAAACTTTGCGATTCCAGTCCACGTGGCCAGCTTTCAAGAATCCATTTGCTTGGTTGGACATAAACAACACATTCCGTCTAATGGACAAACTTTTGGAACAGGTTTTTAGACTAATACTTCGAATTACCATTAACTTACTGTGTAATAAACTGTCTATACTATATGAAATGTCATCTATAAACTGTTTGGTTTATGCTAGACTCACCTCTATGAACTCCATTACTTGATTTTAATGGATGGATGTTTTTTTCATTTTTGGTTTGGGCATCCTGAGTTAACGCTAATACCTCAATTTCTTTAGTTGCAATGTTGTCAACCATTTTTATTTTGTAGTATTTGTTTCAATATTATTCCAGATCCCACCAGAAAGTCCCTGGCTGTGCCAATACGCTGATGAATGGGACAATAAGACGATGAAAGAATGGTTCAATAGTGTCTGTTGGACTCGGTAAGCTTCACTTTACTTATTCCATTTTGAAACGTTCGTATGACATTTATAACAAGTTCTGTTTGTGTTTGTATTTTGAGCCACTCCTAAATTATCAACCCAATCAATTCAGGCTTTGGAAAAATGTACGATCATGTACGTATTCTTCCAATTAGAATATAATTAATTAATTACTCTTCTATAAGTAAAAGAGACCTACTTGGGCAAGGCTAGAATAAAATATCCTTTGCATATTGTTTCATGATGGCTAATTTATTTTTTTTTCGTTCCAGAACAGCTAAAGAATTTTGCCAATCATTTGTACTGACCAACGTCTCCATGGAACCTGGCGAGGTGTCCATGTTGTGGTTCCTCTGGTACGTACGGTCTTGCCAGGGTACGAAAAGAATATGGGAGGTCGAAAATGGCGGACAAGAGAGAAAGTTTATTGGAGGCTCTATGCAAATCAGCGAGAAAATGGCGGAGCAACTCGATGGTAATATTACATGCATTTTTATGTACATTTGGATGTTCACAAGAGCATATGTTTCCTCGATGGTGGGGCCCCATGAAAAGGCTGAAGGTGTAAACACAATTAAGTACCAAAGAGGAAACACCCTCAAGCTTAGGGGTGATTTCAGTCACACTAGAAACAACAACAAATGATTGTGTACGTTTGATCTACAGAAACCGTATGTTGGGCTATTGTAGCCCAGAACAGTTAAGCTTTCACAGACGTAAAATCTATTCTAATAAACCCGTTTAGTGTCAAAAGGTTAACTCTTGATAACAACGCCATCTTATCCGTGACGAATAGAACAAACGAAAACAAACCGAAATCCACGAGAATATCAAATGATGAAACTCAAAGCTTCAAAATTTATAAAATATATCTTTAAGCAAATCCTAAATAAGTATCGTTTTAATATTTCGATTTTTGTCTATATCTTGAGCATGCTCTTTTTACTGCTATTCCAAAACCACATACCAAAATGTTTTACAAATGTAACAATATTGCAAATATGTAAAGGACGATTCTCGGTTTGGAGAATGAAGTTCATCAATCTAAATGAGCATTATCCCTGCTTCGGACTTTGATTTTTTTTACATAATATTGATTTGAATGTCTTCTTTTGAATAGTCATAATTTAATTTGGGTAACATTTCTAGATTTCTTGCAAAAAATATTAGCGCAGTACACTGATGAACTTCTTTCCCCAAATCGAGACTTGAATTTTATTGAATCGGTCTAATTGAGCGTTATCCTTGCTTCAGACCAATTTGTTATTTTTACATCTTGTAGATTTAAATGTCCTCTTTTGAATATTCATAGTTTAATTTTGTTAATATTTCTATATTTTTCATGAAAAAAATTATTAGCCCAGGAGACTGTTCTCCAAACCGAGAATCGTCCTTTCTTTTAACATACGAGGCCCGATCAGAAAGTAAGTAACCAACTGCTCTTATTTCTTCATACTTTATTCAATCATATTGAAATTTTCACAGATGATGTAGAAAATATTAACCTATTAAAGAAGACCAAGGACAATGGGTTAGTGTCAATGCCATTGTTATGGCTGTTGCTATGGTGATGATTGTTTTGGGTAGGCGGGGCACCCTGTTTTAAGTGGCGTTTGAAGATAATTTGTAGATTTTTCTGCATGTTGTTATACCTCCAAATATATCAAATTCAAATGTAAGACTACATTTTAGCACATAGTCCCTCAAATTAATCACCACCAAAGTCAATGCAGTTGAGTTAATGTAATAATGGCCTTATGGCTGTCCAAACGGACTCTCCGTTACAACATCTTTGCATTTGGAAAGTATTTAGTCACTCGGGGCCATGTCTGGGGAATAGTGAACCTGGGGTAGTTGTGTGGCCATGAAAAAAGCTTAATCTACTGTATCTTTGGTAATGTTGGCTTTGTGGAGGTGGACCATTGTCATCATGCCAGTAAAATCCCCCTTCAACAACATTTGACTGGATTGAAACAGTGACTGAATCATGACCATCATTATGACAGATATACCCTTGATATCTTTGTGTCGATGACTTATAAATGAGAAAATGGAGCATAGTTACCATTGTAATAATACATAAAACAAATTATTCAGTCTAGCATAAAAAAAATGTTAGGTCATTTGGAGGAATACAGCATGTAAAAAACTCTACAAACCATATTCCAAAGCCGCTTACAAAAGGGTGCCCCACCTACCCAAAACAATCATCACCATAGCAACAGCCATAACAATGGCATTGACACTAACCCATTGTCCTTGGTCTTCTTTAATAGGTTAATATTTTCTACATCATCTGTGAAAATTTCAATGTGATTGAATGAAGTATGAAAAAATGAGAGCAGTTGGTTACTTACTTTCTGATCGGGCCTCGTACATTTCATTAGTGAACATAAATATTGTTTTGATATTCTAGAAAGGGTTATCCTTGAAGAAGCCGTTGTGCTCATAGAACAGAGTGACGATGGTGCTGTAGTCCACACAAATACCCACAAAAAGCTAGAGGTAAAAATCCAGTTCAGATATGACTTTCACAGTTACCCAAACTTACCTTACATGTTATTCAGCAGGTTCAGTGGGTGTTTAGGATACACATGACAGGATTAATCAATTTAATGTTAATTTAAGGAACTTTATACTAACAGTGTGGGCTAAACAGTTGTTCACTGTTACTTTTCTGATCAAGTATTGTATTGAATGAACTATTCATGCATTGTTCCGCTGGTATTATGATAGCATCCTAAATTTTGAAGCGTATTTACTGTGTAGCCTACTTAGATAAGTTACACTCAGATCCTGTATTATGAGGTTATATATGATGTTATGAGGATAATAAGATCATATAATATGGTTGATTCTGTATATCGTGTTTATACTGAAGTGAGTATATGGTATGTTCACGAGTGACCGAAGGGAATGATATATCATATACTCACGAGAGTATAACTATTTACAGAATCAACCATTATATGATCTTATTACCCCACCCTAAGTGAGCAGTTGTATGTCAAGCCGACGGGTTGTATACGTTGCCTGCCAGGAGTTATATATGCTATCCAGGAGTTGTTTATCGTTCTCAAGAGTTGTACACGATGATGGCTTTATATTGCAGTTATACAACGCTATTATACAATCATATAGAGTGGGATAAACTTAGCTACACAGTTTCCGATATTGACACTGTTGTTTTAACACCCCTATATATTTTCTCATTGTTTTCATTCTATCTACGATTTAGTGTGATTACGTCATTGTTGCCCTGTCTCCTAGTCTATATCAACGCATTCAATTTTCGCCTCCGCTACCAGCATTACGTAGTCAACTCATACAACGAGTGCCTATGGGATCAACAATTAAGAACTCCGTCTTCTACAAGCGCGCGTTTTGGCGTGATGCAGGTATGAATGGATTTGGTACTGTTATTGATGAAGGCGAGCCAGTGATTAACGTTGTAGATGATTGTAAACCGGATGGCAGCTTCCCTGCCCTTACAGGGTAGGTTTCTCCTCGAGTGATACCATAATCGCTTATGTGATAGCACTACATATGACATCTTTATTGTATCCTGTTCAATCATCTATTTATTGCGTTTGAATAACAAACACCTACACACCTCTTTATAGTTTCTCTATCAGAATCCCAGTTTTATATTAATTAATTACTCTTTTTTGAGCCTTGCAAATTTTAAAGACTTATGTGATATTAAAATGCTCAAGAGGTGTTTGATTGTTTACAAAATGTAATAACAATTTAAAAAATTAATTTCCTTTAGGGGATTAATTAAGCTCAAATTCATAAAAAATTATTTTTGAAATATTTTCATCATGTTTTCCATTTGTTCCTAGATTTATACTCGGTGACCAAGCGAGACGTCTCACTGTAATGACAAGAGAGGAACGCAGGCGCCTCACGTGTGAATGTTATGCAAAAGTATTTAAAACAGATGAGGCTCTGGAGGTAAAATGCCTTGGTTCAACTAGCTGTACAGTAGTTTTTAATTAGCTTCCATTTGTATAATGCAATTAAAGTGTTATCTATTATATCATGAAGTTTGAACATCATACATAAATGTTATGTCATGAAGTAGTTGATAATAGCATATCGCCGTAAGGGTGGGGTAGGACGGGGCAGGTAAATGTATCAATTTTTCACATCATGAAAAGCCATAAAGTGTAATTATATTTATATTTCTTTATTTTTAATTCTTAAAATCTTTTGGATATCATAATAATAATGACAGTATGCATTGTGATGTTATATTGCAACAGTTGAATAGTCACTAATTGAAATCTCAAAAATCAATGGAACCAAAGAAACTTTTGAATTGTAAAAAATCTGCAAACCATATTTTGATTTGATTTCCGGTTTAGAAGTTATGGCGTTTTGAAAAATTCAAAAAACTGCTATTTTGATTTCCCATTTTATTTCAATGGGGCAGCAGAAAATAAATTATGAATTGTAAATGTACGAGATACTGACTGTATAGAAATACAATTAATGGAAGTCTACCATAGAATAGGTTCTCAAAAGCTACCTTAATTCAAAATTTGGACACTGAAAAGCCAAGCTCAAAATTGAGGTCAAATTCATGGGTTTCCTAATTTTGTGAATCTGACACTACACTTTAATGATATTATTCTAAATTTGGTATACAGATAGCAAAAGTATGCTAATAGTGTTAGCTTTTTACCATCAGAAACCCACTTTTGGAATAAGATGTCCAAACCAAATTTCCATCCGACTTCTAGTTCAGAAGTTATGGCGCTTTGAAGTATCCGGGGGGGGGGGGGGAGTACTGGTCAAATTTTTGTACTGGGCGGGGGTGCCGCTGAGACTCAAAATATATACCCACATCTAAGGATTTTTTTCTCGAAACACATTAAGGGTTTTTCTTCCAAAAATAGAACCACTTCAAGGTAAATTTAAAAAACAAGTCCCACTTCCAGCGCTAGCGATACCCAGTTTTAGGATTTTTCAAAAAGTAGACCCGGTTCTATTGATTTTTCATCAAAATGGGACCCATATCTATTTTTTTTTCTTCAAAGTGGGACCCACATCTAGGGATTTTTCGGTGAAAAGTGACCCACTTTAGCGGCACGTCCCATATAGCCAATATATGGGAGTACCCCCCCCCCCCCGAGATGGTCATATTATCCCTATGTTAAGTCAGTGGCGCGAACTTGATCAGTTAATTTCTTCTTACTTACTCAACTTTCTAGTTATCACTGTCTTGGTAGAGACAATTACCACCTCGTACATGTCTGGTACTTTGGTGGGTTAGTCAGTCAGTAACTGTACAAGTTACTTATTATCACCTCTTAAATATGTTTGGTTCTAATAAATAAGACTTTGATTTCGTCTCTTCTTTGGAATTTCCCTCTGAGGTTCTCATAAAATCTCAAGATATGATTTTGCCTCAAAGTTGATTTTCTATAATGATCATTCAATGAACGTAATGAATGTATATAAACTAACATATTCATTGCCATCTCAAGAAAATACGTTCTACACCTGTTTATGTGATACAAAATTATTGGACCACCTTTATTCATGTAATTGCATGCAGTTTTCATGTTTTACTCTTATTAGGCTCTGGCATACGAGGAGAACGACTGGAATGCCGAGGAATGGTCGGGCGGCTGCTATACGAGTACTTACCCTACTGGTGTAATGACCAGGTTTGGCAAGTATGTGGATATTGTGACATCTAGCCAGCTGACAGGCCTGTTTGTCTTCAACAACATAAACCTAAAGTTTAAGTAACGCAAATTGAAGGTATCTATATGAACAGTTTACAATATTTACAGCTTACATGTACATATTAATGAATTCATCTGTGATTTACAACTTTTCCAGGGAGATCAGAAAGCCGCTTGGTAGAGTGTATTTTGCCGGGACAGAGACCGCAGTAAAATGGTCAGGTTATATGGATGGTGCCGTGGAAGCCGGAGAACGAGCCGCAAGAGAGGTACATATAATATACAAAACGTACAATGGTACATCATGGATTTTATCCTCTGGCTTAAGGGTTTCTTTGTCTATTTGAATCTATTTTGGAGGGGGGGGGGTAATTTGTTGAATACTTTTTGTTAAATTAACCAAATTTGAGAAGTCTTAAGAAAATGTTGTATATGCTATTTTTGGGAAAGACATTTTATTTCATTCTCGAGAATTGGTAGAAAGGAATAAAAAACAATTTGTTAAAAATGTTAACAAAACAGTTATATAAAATATATATAAATAATTTTTGCTCTAAATTGTTGTCAATCAGTAAACATTACATAAAGGACTTTGATTTTTACAGAATGTTCAATAATTGGTTTAAGAGCAAAACATTGTTGAATTCAGTTCACCACATCGATACCTATCTGCGATTTAGAAATCCACTTCGGTATTAAATATCACTTTTAAATTTTAAAACTCTCGATATCTATATGTTTTGAGTAGCGTAATGTCTTTTTGCAAAATTGAAATATGTTATGCAATGTATTATTTCAGATTTTGTGCAGAATAGGTGATATTTCAGAATCTGAGATATGGCAAGACGACGCACCGCCAGAGGTAAGTGATATATATATATAGAGAGAAAAATTATCCTATATGAGGTTCAGGATATTGGGATCCGAGGCCAATAAAATACATATATACATGTATATATGTATACCTGCCTGAGGGCCGTATGACAGCTTTATGTACCTGTAACACGTCCAAGTATGGGCTAATGTACAGGTGGGGTTCGAGCTTTTAATCAGGCCTTGGATCGATAGATGTCACCAGGTGATCATGTAAAGATATGAAAACTTAAGACATTCAACAAATTGCACTTTTTAAGTTATGACGCTTTCAAAGTTTTTATTTAGATACTTTACAATTAGCATTCTAGTTTTGCTAATTCACCCAAAACATGTGCTCTAAGACATAATCAACTTAAGACTTCACCAGTTTCACCTTTGCAGAAAAACTAATGCAAATCCCATGTTTTACAGGATGTGCCAGAGCTTGCATTTGAGGAAACATTCTGGGAACGCAATGCCCCTTCTGTTGATGGAGTTATTAAAATGACGTCTCAGACTATTATCATAGTAACTGCAGCAGTCACAATTTACAAATATAGCAAGTTTCATTCTGCTTGGTACAATCGACTCGGGGAATATGTAATGGGTAAAATGACTGGTTGATCGAGACTGGCATGGTGTCATCGAAAATACTTAGAATAGATGAATATTTTTGTATAAAGATATTTATAACCTGAAATACACGTCTATACACTGAAATATACTGTAATGATTTTGTTTGGAAAAGTGTGCTGAATTAAAAGCAGAATAAGTTAAATATCAATTAAGTTTTTTGTCTAATTACGAACAGCTTGTAAATGCATTGGTGTTAATCGTTGAGGGGGAGTGGCAAGGTCAAACTGATGATGGACCACACGAATGCATAATTAGACAAGCAGCTACACAGGAAATGATTTCAAAGCAGTGTACATTGTATCGGTGTATGAAATTCTATATACAGTAACATATTTATAAAACATAAGCTAGATATGTAAACATAGTAAAATGAAAAGTAGTGATCCCGTACGTTTGTATTGTTGAAATATATGTATAGTTCAAATAACCTATTTCGGGCACCAATATATGGGCAAATTTACGAAAATTGAAATTATCAAAATCAGTTGTTCTACTAATGCCTGCGTCGTGTATGTTGATACTAGCGACATTTGATGAGTACTATTTAAAAGTCATAATAACTGGTTATCGTAATCGTGCGATGTATACCGAAAATATTGCTTATTATTTCTCAAAAACAGCTTAAATGATAAGTTTTTTGTCAAAAAACTAAATTTTGTTTTGTTTGTGGTGATAAAAAACCGAATTACAGCACATACAGAGCATCGATTGCATTGATATTTTCAGACTACATAAAAATATGTTTGACATTAGCTCTTAAAAGGGCGATGTTAGATATGTGTTACCCATGTAACGAAATACCCTTTTTATGCATATACCATTTGTCTAATATTCTGTATACTCCGATACACGTGTTTAAATTAACATTGGTGATGCATCATTTGTTTAAGATTTATTAATATTTCATCATTGCACATAAATTATTGGAAACAATTATTTTCAGAAACGAGACTAATCCAATGTAGTATTTAAATGATTGTTATATAGATTCTCAATTATATCGAATTTTTTAGTAAATTGAATATGTTGAGAATGTGTTGGAGGGTACAAAACGTATGGTCATTATATAACGTTTTATTTTTTTATGAGTACGACATGTCAAACAATCCCTTTTGAGAGATGGTCGGAAACTCATATTTTATTAACCAGTTAGAAATTATCGACGGACTTGATGCATAATTTTTTATGTTGTCCGAGTTTCCATAGCAAAATTAGATTTTTGTCAAAAAATCATATCACCATTAAAGCTGTTTTTTAAGAAATAATAAGCAACAACATTTTCAATATATATCGCATGGTCATGGTAAACAGTTGTGTTGTGCTCATGATGACACACGTATAGTTGATATCAATACACATGGCGGAGAATAGCACAATTTATGGAATTTAAAAAATATCAATTATCGTAAATTCGCCCAAATACTAGTTTTAATATTCATTTCTACAGTTTTAGTTGTGAGGCATTGTTTCGCCTCCTTTACCTCTTTGTACGAACATTAAGAAGTCATATTGAAAAACATAATTCATTCTATTGCAAGGCACGTGCTATTTACTTTGGCATTACATAATCGTTTATTTATAGCGACATTTTATTTTAGTATAAAATAAATCTCATTATTATAATCGTAGTCGGGCCAAACGAGTCATTTATATAATTCGGAAATTGTTTTGAATTTTCTGAGAATATGTTTGTCCAAGAATGATTCTTTGTGCTCGATGTATTATTAGAAAATAAAGCATAAATATTTGAATAGTTACATAATAACATTTAAAGGGACCTACAGTATATATAACAGCCGTGTTGTATTTAGAAGTTTGAATACAGGGTTTATCCTAAAGGAAATGTAATAATTTATAATTGTTGGATGATTGTACGATTGGCCTTAAAACGACAGTCATACATCACATGCCAAAAGTGATCTCTAGGCCAAGCGAATTTTTATAAATCATGATCATGGACACGAGTTTTCCCTACTGATGGAAGCACCTACATCATAATAATCACCTACATCAAAATAATCACCTCCATCAAAATACTCGGCCGGGCGCCGTAGTGAAACATCGGAGCAAATGTGACCAAGGCATTAATAGACGGCGCGATCATTACGGTAATGCCTGGGTCATATTTGTTCCGATCCATCGGCCCGGCGCCCGGACGATTGAGTGTTTTGCTCAATGTTATATTCAATTTTGAACAAAATACTCAATCGGCCGGGCGAATGTTTTGGTCATGTTTTTATGTATTACATACGACACGAAAGGATTAGAATTTACCGGTCAAGTAGTAACGCCAACTCACTAGAGTGTAACGGTGTAAACATATTTTAGCACACGTAGAGATGGGAGGAAAGGATATCACAAACAGTCCACCACACTGGACTGCTTCACTGAACACGATATTCTACTTATGTATGCAAAGAAGTTGAAGTGCAGTATACTGTCAATTTAACTACTAGGGCAATAAACCTGTTACTTTAATTGAGAAGAAAACTTTGCATACATGAACTTTCATTTATTCTTATTGCTTTTTGCATAATAATCATATCATGTGGTTGATTACCTAATAAGTAGTAAAACACATTAAAACCTTCCTGATGTTCATAATTATAATGTTAATGTTAACTTTAATCATCCAATACAAAGAAGTAGTCCGTGCATCCGTCCGTTTTTCTAGCCGTTCATCCGGGTGATAACCATTCTACGTAAAAATTCGATCGTTAATAAAACAACTACCAGACCGATTTGATTCGAAATTTTTACGATTTATACGGTACATTTAGACTGCTCAAATTTGAATTTTCACGATTTCACAATGGCCACTACATTGAGTTGTAAACTAACCTCAACACTTTAATTACTAGACTGGTTGATGAAGCCGATATTATTTCACCCAAATAAATTGATTGTCAAAAAATCGGTCAACTTGAATATATTAATTTTTTCGGTTTTCAGTCGGGGGGGGGGGGGGGGGGGGGATTCGTGGCATATGCGAGCCCCAAAATATTTTTTAAGATTTGTTTTGAATTTCAAAATTGAGATAGAACCTTCAAATAAAAAGCATTTTCGTCTTCTCTCCATTGAATCTATTTTTATTGGTTATGAGGGGGGGGGGTACGGGGGTACGGGTGCATGCTAGTTTACTATTATATATTAAGTATTTCTGAGCTCCAGAGCACATATTTCAAAATGTTTTTACAGTGGACACACGACCTTTAATTCTGCACGTTATTAATACAGAAAGCTTTGCTGAACAGCTGAATGGGCCTTACACTAAATCACATTTATTATGAATGCAGGTTAATGATTTACTATTCAGCATTTATGCTTCGACTTTACACACGATAAAATAAAATGAAGGTTACCGAACCACGTTTATTCATGTATACACTATGTATGTCTAGAATGAAGGCCTAACATATGTTTATTTATTTATATTAAAAAGCTGGATAATAAGGAAAGTTCTAGCGTGTGGGTGATGTTACACGAGGCTTGTCTGATCTGTTAAAGGACCCCTAGGATTCAATTAATATTTTTCCATAAAAAAGGCGATAATATAACATATCTCCACGGAGAATTTAATTTCACACGACAGTTTCACAATACTACTCAAACTTTCCTTGATTGAGATACCATTCGTGGGCGTTCATGGATTATTTATAGCTATGCTTTACAACGTCAGACAACTACATATTAAGAAATTACAAAACATAGGATCGAAGATAACGCAATTATCAACAGTCTGGGAAACTCCATTGAGAGAACTGTTTCAAGTATCGGATTAACAGTTCCGAGGACACCTATATAACAGACTTACTTGCAACCTACACGCACAATGCATCTGGCATTACAAGAGTGAATTGCTGCAGCGCCTACATACGTTTACATACACGCGTCATACACACGCTTACGTTTTAAAATCCAAGCGTACATTACAGGGTGGGCAATAAAGGTTTGAGTGATGGATCTCGTGAAGAACTATAGATGTACTCTCGATGATAGATCGTTGGCGTACGCAAAGGATGAATTGAACGAAGAGCCATCGGAACGCCAAGGAGCAGTTGAGACGTTGAGGGATTGGGTTAAACAACAGCCACACCTCGTGTGCAGATTGGGTAGGTACAATTAGGCAACATTTAACACAATCATTAAGCTTACGACACCCCCTATACCCTGTATTAACCTTTAAGGTACCCGATTTCAAATTCGGTTCAACCAGATAATAACTATTAATGCATTTCAAAGGCTAACACTTCTTGTGCTTTAAAACATTGTAACCCGACGGATTGTTATCGAGCATATCTTTTTTAATCCTAGATATCATATAAGTTAAAAGTTAATACTGACCAACATATTATGCAAGATAATATAATATTAATGGACGGGAACTTAAAGGTTATACAACCTTATAACCAGTTATGGTATATCAGTATTTCACATTCGAGATGGATATCTGTGCTAAAATGGATGTAAATAAAATTGTTGCGCATCAGTGAATTATAGCAAGTCGATGATAAAATAACTCCTGAGTAGTTATAGCAAAAATAAAGTTATCATGAATAATACGAAGTGTGGACTATATAACTGTTGAGAGTTACTATTGGTAATATTGAAATTTTCGTTCATAGATTCCTTCATTGTTAATGAGCAAAATCTGGTTTTAGTGAATCCAATCATCACACTCTAAAACTTCTCAAGTCTTTAAAATATGTAACATTTGAATATATCCTGTTGTAATAAAAGCCAACTTAAATTCCCCATCTTTGTTTGCTACATGGTGTCTGATTTTTATGGCCTACTCTGCTTATTATTACATGTGTAATAAGTTGGAGTTGGTTTTCATAAACAATAATGATCTTCTATTAACTCCACAGATAGAAATCTGGGGAGTTCAAGCCAGGCGAGTGTGGGGCCCACTTAGGGTCACATCAACCGATCCGAGTGTGTCCGTGTAATTGACAACTTCGCGCGCCGCATTCTTGAGTGCCTTTGACACCGAGGTGGTCATATCGAGATCTTCGTTTCCAGTTGATGCCTAGTGATTTATTTACCACACTGGCGGATCCAAGGGGGGGGGTCCAAAAATGGGGATTATGATTTCAAAATTCATTTTCCGGACTTAAAATAATATGGTTCTATCAGCCTTGTTAACTTCTGGATCCGTCAGTGAACCATTTGAGTGGCAGAATTCAAACTTTTAGGACTGATTTGTTATCAACTCAGCTTGATATGAGTAAAAAATTAAGAATATTTCTTATCAGTTTTAGAAATGACAATCACATTCGTGGGTTGCATTCATTTTTGGTCACCCTGTATGTGAACATGATGTTGTAGGTGTATAGTATAGTATGATATAAATTAGTGAATTCATTAAAAGTGAAAAATGTGAGAAATTCTCCCAAATAATAAAAATGATAACCATAAAAATAAGAAAATACTTTGGGGATTTCTAGAAAATAGACATGACAAGAACTGATATAAGCCAAAATTATTCTATAATTGGAACAATTTTTGTTAACAAAATCCGAGTCTCTCTTTAAGCTGGCACTTTTTCGCAACGTGAAAGATCACTTGTACTTGTACATAGAATCTATAACGCATGCCGTACATGTTTAAAGCTCTAAATATCATTCTAAGTATCAGGAAACCAGCTACAGATTTGATAATTGGCTTCCCATTCATTGTGATAGGATTTGTAGTAAAAATCCATCTCGCCGAATTAATCTAGAACTTAGAATGCATAGACAAGTAGCTTTAGTTTTTTGTGACGTATGGACACCGATGTATTAAAGAAATACACATAGCTGTCCATATCAAGAACAAAAATACCAGCAAAGCATTCAGTAAACATAGTTTCCAGATATACCTACGTGCAATTCCGAATGTCCAGTTGTAACGGACCCGTCTTTAAACCAGTTTGAAGAATTCCACCACAATGGTGTACAAAGGATGATTGCACCTTCTGCAAAATGAAGGCAACTGAAGATTCATTGATCATAAAGTTTTAATTTCTGCACGGATTAGAACAAAAGGCTTAGATCTTTTAATAATATAATAGTCTGTATTTTATAATGTGGGTGGTTTTTAACCCCTTACAATCGCATACGGCGACGACGCCTACCATGAGTATCAAGTGATAAGCAGATAAACGAGCTATTTCCGTTTCATTTGAAATAAATCGAACAAAAGAAGTGACAACTGAACTCCCAATCTTCTTGATTGCAAAGATTAAGCTAATCAAGTAATTTTGATGCAGACTTCTCAGTTCATGCGCGTCTTGTTGTTGATACATATATTTAATGATATCCAGGGTCCTTTCTATCTATTGGAGCACGATGCCTAATGATGCGATCATAATTATGGTATATCATTTGTCAGTTGATACATTCTGAGAGGTTGTTATTTCTTCTGACTTCTTGGCCAGCGTTCAAATCAGAACGGAACACAATCATAAGATGCGGTAATAAGAAGCAAAACAATATATTAGGGGCGTCTAATGAAAAGGACGAAATGAAAGTTGCACAAATCAACTCATTTAAAAGAACCTTTGGAATTGGAAGGTCAACAACAAATGCAATCCCTTGACACAACGATAGTTCTATTGTCTGACTTACAAGCTCTGTAAGTAAAAACGAATATGTAACCTTAACAACCGTGCATAATCACTTATCAAATTCATATTTCAAAGACTTAATCATAGGGTATTATTAATGTGATAATATTTAAATAATAATAAGAATATTGCCAGAAAACCATATGCCCCAACCTGATCTGTTTATTACATTCCCGATGGCGCTTCTGGAAATTACATACTTCGATACTGTTTCAATGGTGATTGTAACGATTTAATAATACATTGCATTACATGTATCAGATACCAATTTTGATACTCATTACGTCCATCAGTTTTGGAACTGCAATATCATGATTGAACCAGAACAGTGACGTGGTTTATCAACGTGGACGTTACCCATCAATAACTCGAATTGCAACCTTAATCCAGTGTTAATCTTATTGTTGAACGAAGATTGCTTTGGTAACAAATATCGTGTAGGATGGATGCTTTAAAATGATATTGTTATAATATTACCATACGAGCTTAAAGAAACGTATCTAAAAAACGATTTGCTCGTGTTTCATACATTTATATGACAACGTCGAATATACAATTATCCTTTGGGGATGGCAGGTAGGTTGTGTATCAGTTCTGCCTATTGTAGAGTGATAAGAATGCTAGTGCATCATAGAGTATACAAATGTTGGCAATAAACATCAATCGCAGCTAGCTGCTAACTCAGAAAGGACCTCAAATTCAAACGTCCATATCCATTATTAGCCCAAATTTTGGACTTGGAATCTTAAGTGTGAATTTGGCTTTCAGGAGCGTAATCAGGGTTTGAAAAAACGAGGTCAATTCTAATAGTGGAGGCAAAAAGATAAAGAGGATATATATATATATACTATTTGGCATCAAGTTGATAGCTTCATCAAAATATAGAAATGATCAGTACAATTTTGGAGAGACATTTGCCTCGCCTGCCTCGCCTGGCTCGTGCCCGTCTCATGTTTGAATTGGTTACATGGCACAACATCTCAGAGCCTCACCTTGCAGACGCGGACTTCACAAGAGTGAGAAGTTCAGCATTAAATGAGATATAATGAAAAAATCTGGCCTCCTACGCCAACTACTGTAGAGTAGTAGACTATTATGTCGCCCCTCCTTACAATAGTAATGCTAAATGTGGTTCTTTCTACACTAGCAATGTTAAAAAGGGTTCCTCCTACACTGGCAATGTTAGATAGGGTTCCTCCTACACTGGCAAATTTAAATAGGGTTCCTCATACACTGGCAATGTTAAATAGAGTTCTAGACCCGTAGCCAGGATTTGCCAAGGGGGGTGGGGGTCAGTTTTCAAAAATTTCTAGGGGGGGGTTCACATTTGACAAGTTTGGCCCAAATATGGCTAAAATCACTTGAGAAGTGCTCAAAATGGTGAAAAACTGCAGGCTACGGGCCCGAGTTCCGCCTTCACTCTCCTACACTGGCAATTTTAAATAGGGTTCCGCCTACACTCTCCTACACTGGCAATTTTAAATAGAGTTCCTTCTACAATGACAATGTTCATGTCCTGGCGGTCATTATGAAATAGTGTATTCAAAGTGGTATCCCCATTGGATTTCTTCATTTAAAACTATATTTAAAACTATTTTCTAACCAACGATGTTTGTGACAATACGTTGAATCAGTGGTACATTAGCTGTTTAAACAGTACAAACAGAAAAAATATTTGAATATAACACTAAAGGCTCAATTTGCTTTTAAATAGCAATTATACTATTAGTGGTATTTTTCAAAGTAATACAAAACCTAAAATCCAAGTTGGCTTCAAATGTAATTAAGTTCAAAATAACACTTAGGTCATCGTAGCTATTTTGAACGACTTGTAAAGCGACAGAAAAACTAAAATCATAAAATGTTATCTGATTATCCAAAGAAGCATCGATAAGTATAAGGTGTAAGGGCCCGGTATACATTAAGGCAGACCTTATTTTGTAAGGGTCAAAATGACAAGTTCTATTCCGAACATTTACATCGATAACTGTAAGGGCCCAGTATACATAAAGGTAGTCCTTTTTTGTAAGGGTCAAAACGACGAGTATCTATTCCGAACATTCACATGTAAAAGCCAACCTCCCCAGGGGCCATATATGTTACATGAATTGTGTTTTATCTGCCATATATGCAGGGGCGGATCTGGGAACCAACAAGGGGGGGGGCCCAAACTTGTGGTCTGAGAAAAAACGTCCGCGCTTGCGCGGAAAAAAATTTTGGGCCCCAAAAATCCAAAAGTGGGCCCAAATTTTGAAATTTTGAGGCCCATTTTCTTCAAAATTTGGCCTAAAATTAACAAATAAGGCCTTACAAGGCCAATTTATGACCAAAAAGGCCTACTTTTTGGGGCCTTAAAGCCTTTTTTGGCTCAAAATTTTTTTTGGGCACAATTTTTTTTTCTGGGCCCACCCAAGGGGGGGGGGGGGGCCCGGGCCCCTGGGCCCCCCCCCCATATCCGCCAGTGATATGTAACATGAATTGTGTTTTATCTGCCATATATGTAACATGAATTGTGTTTTATCTGCTATATTCCAGATACATTGTTCCTCTTACGGTTCTTAAGATGCGCTAAGTTTAGTCAACTTAAGGCCAGGAAGATGCTGGAGACGTTTACCTCACTAATGGGAAAGGTTCCGGAATGGTTTAAAAATATAGACACAAGGGAAGAGAGCATTCAAAAGGTCATAGATATCGGGTAGGTAAATCTTTTTTAAGCGTAAATGTGTTTAAAATACCTTATTCAACCTTGTTTATAAAGAAAACATATTCATTGCATACTTAAAAACCTACTGTATGAAAAGAACGGCATTTCAAAAAATTTGAATGCACATTTTTTAGCATTCACCCGTTTCAAGAGTTGTAAACATTATGATACATCGTGTAAATGTTTAGGGGTCTGAATAGCCTAAAGTATAATTAGCCATACATTGACTAAAACGCCACTCTAAAGACAAGTCGTGTTTTAGAGGAATGTGGGTCAATCTATTCAAGTTATTATAATGTCATGTAACACTGGTATGAAAGGAACATTCTGTATAATTATGTGTAAAAATTGTAAAATATAATATTTCCCCTTTGTACCGTTTCACATAACTAAATTAATTCTCATCGATTTGAGATCGTTTTCGATTAAGGTTTTTGTTGGTGTCTCTTAGTTATTGATTTTATTCCGAATTGACAATCCGTATTTAGCCAAGTAAATGATTTAAGTGCCTAAACTAAGTAGATTGTGTACTGAATCAGTCCTCAAAAAGGTGTTATTTCAAACTTTGCATTAGATTCGCAGCATCAAGTGTGAAGTTTAGCAAATAATTCCTGACTGGAATGAATCAGCTAATTTCTTTTCATACATTGTAAAATATTTTCAACGAAATCGCCTAAAAGATACGAAATCACTGAATTCAATGAAAAATAATCCCATGAAATAAATTTATTTATTTTCGTCTCAAGACAGATTAAAAATTACTTGTTTCTTAAACACTGTCCCTGCCAGTGCGGCTTATGAGAGACGTCCATAGATACCATTAAATACATTATACAAGCTAAGGATGATTCATTTAAGTCTATTAAAAACATTGGCTGGTAATTCAAACCCGGTTTCATGGATGAAGCAAATATATTCATTTCAATTTGAAGATCTCTACTGTCGCATAATTGTGAAAGATGCAATATGAATATTGCTTTCTTTATTCTACTGCGCATGCGTGCATATATAATTAATGAATGACATCACATCGACGGAGATGAAGTTTGACTTTTAGATAACAGAAACTTGCAAAAACAAAATTAAAAGATCTAAACAGCACAAGAATGGGCGAATGAGATATAAAGCAGTTAAAAGGATTTCGGAATTATACATCCCCCTTCCCCATCGCAAGTTATTACTGATTTGTAAGTGTTTGATTGAAAATCAGATTACGTTTCCCTTTAGCATAACATCGATGATTAAAACCACATAGACATGAGGAAAATTCGTTTGGTTGAAGCAGAGACTTGTTTTATATGTCTCTGGGTAGGAAGGTCATTTATACAAATACCCAATCGCTGTTTCCTGGTTCATCGACCTTGATTTTTCATGACTGTTATCAGCAGTGTGGTTATATATTAACAGAACCTTGATCTCGAGGCTGCAATATGTGCTCGATTTTAACATTAACCATCGAGTTAATAATTTACAAAACATAATATTAAGCGATCAGAAAATGTCAAACATATTATGATTAAATACATTATCCAAAGCATTCACAGTTGACATCATAAATAGTTTCCGTGTTTTTTCTAATTCCAATAATTTTTAGGTATAATTTTTTATTTCTCCCTTTGTTTGCATTATATCTCATATCTCGCCAAAATATTATTGTTATTTGTAGCCCAAACAATCTTTATGTTACGAATAAAATTGTAACAACATTGTGATTTTTATTATAGCTATAGAATCTAATGTTAAATAAACTTCCTTTATCGATTGTTCAATAAAAACCCGAAAAACAGGTTTTCTATGCAAAAAATTAACTACGCATTGATAATTGGCTGATTACGCATTGTATATCGAAACAGACCGAGGTTAGAATGGCTCATGAATGACAGCAACGTTTCAGGAAGGCATGCATGTATAGTAATGACCTTTTTGAGATTGAACTATTCTGATAAAGAGACAGATATATGGTTTATAATCTGAGTGCTGCTAAGATGATACAATGTGTCCCATTCTTTATTGCCCACCCTGTAATTTTCTTATGACATTTACAATTTAAGGTACTGTTTACCCTTGCCTGGAGTTGACGATGAAGGAAGATCTGTAATCCTTTGTAGGTTAGGTAAGCAGTTTCTATGATAAATCTTTTTTCATTCCCTGGACACCCAAATGAAAAATCCTCTCTACACGCCTAATCGCTTGGACAACTTCTCACCTTGACAACTCAACTCATAGACAACTTAATTAATGGCATAGTCACCTAACCCCCTTGACAGCTCAACTTTGAGAGTTCATGGCATAATGAACTCACTTCATGACAACCCATCTCTTGACAACTAAATATACTTAACCCCTGGACAACTCATCTCAGACAATCCATTCCTTCCTCCCCACATGACTTTAGAAAGAATTAACGTATTTCCAAAAAGGCAACGAGGGTTTAATGAGCATTTATATGGGCATGTGCATACATAGTGTATCTTCAGCCTTGTTTTGATCTAGGTGCGTTTAACCCTGACGACAAAGACCTGTCCCCTGCTGTACTTGTACGCACATGTATGGCGATATGGGAATGGATCCTATCTCAAGAACACGCATGCGTCAACGGAGTAATCACTATAATGGATTTTACTGGCTTCACTCTGAAGCATTTTACATTTTGGGGTGTTGAGACTATAAAAAAGACTACTTTATTTCAACAAGTAAGTGGGCAGATCAACACACTGAAATAATGAACGGCCAGTACTAATTCAGTTATACGATAAACATAAACCAAAAACCTACGCTTTGGTTCAGGTTCACATTTACTTTGGAGTTACAAATTTTATTATCAGTTGTACAAATATTAGTTATATAATAGTATATGTTAATCTAAATCCACTTCATTTGTTGGTAGAAAAGATCATTGTTAAAATACAACACTCGTATTGCTGTTTTCAGAAGCACTTCCCGGCCCGTTCTAAAGGCACTCACTACTACAACACAAGCGCCATCTTTGAGCGGATTCTCTCAATTATGAAAACCGTCCATTCCAACAAAATGATGGACAGGGTAAGGCCTATTTCACGATTGGACATTCTGGTTTTTACATATTTTGATTGATATTCTTCTCTAACGGATTGCTAAGTTGGAATTGGCAAAAACCTCATTTTGTCGGGTTACCACCAAGAGATGTTACCACAAACGTTTTTATGACTTGCGTCCGGCGTCGATGTCTTGTCGTCGTTTGGTTTAAATATTGCAACGAAGTTATGGCATTCTGTCATTTAATTGATTGTTTAATATTTCATTATATTTACATTGCTGGTTTGATGCTCCCGATATGAGCTATGAGGCTTTGTATATCGAATATATTTTCTACATTATACTCTAGGTGCATCTCCATGGCAGCAATCTCGAAACGCTTTATGAAACAGTTCCAATGAGAATGTTACCAACTGAATATCTCCCAGACGACTATACTGGCCCTAACGCAGGATCTATCAAAGATTATGCAGGTAACCCCCCTATCACACCAAACTAGTTCTTACCCGTTCTTGCCAGTCCTACGAAAACGTCGTAAAACGGGCTCAATCTGGCTGTGGTCGGGAAATATGTCTGAAATAATTAGCTTCTTCGTCCTTAAACAGTCTTCAATACGTCCATCTCGTTCGCAGTTCGTTCAGGTCGCACCACGTCGGTGTACAACGTCGTAGAACGCGTCCCTTAGTCTAGAAGGTCAACATGACCTGATTACAGAACGGCATGGTCGCCATCGAACTTTGAATCGATTCAAAATTCTAAAATCACATTCCCGTCTGAGAACGTTCATAAAGTTCGTAAATAGACCTTAGAAAGTTGCAGCTACGTTCATTCCATTCGCACACAGTTTCAAACCAGTTTTGAAGAACGCAGTGGCAACTTGTTTGGTGTGATAGCTATATTTTTGCTAACTCGTTCATAAGCAGTGTTAAATACGTTCTTAATCAGTTTAAACCCGTTTGCAATTAGTTCTACCTCGTTCTCAACACGTCCTCAGACAGTTCAACTCGTTGTTAAAACGTCCCTAGTAGGATTGAAGTACGACGGTTCCGTTCGTAGTACGTCCAGCTCGTCGTTAGTACGTTGTCACTCGTTCTAATTGTAGAACGTGACGACCACGAGTACATTTTGAGCATTGTCTAAGTTCTAGAGGACCTACCCGTTCGAGTACGTTCGATAAAGTTTGTAAATAGATCCCAAACGGTTCTTAGTAGGTCCAGTCCGTTCGTACACAGTTGAAGCCCGTTTTCGAGAACGTAGTGAGAACTAGTTTGGTGTGATAGTAGGGTAACATTATGCATTCCACTCAATTTACTCAACCATGTCGATCAACCCATAAGGATAGTCAATGAATATTGTATGTTGATGACGTAACTCTCGTTTAGATCAATTTTTCTGATTTAAGTGGTAGGCGGGGTAGAACAAGTCACCTTTCTACATTTTCCCGATAACTTTTTTAATTGTCAATGACTTCAAATGCAGCTCGTAATCAATTTTCACAGGATTGACCTCAAAGCATTCCTGATATACACATCGTAATCAATATTCAGAGGATTGACTCCAAAGCATTCCTGATATACAAATCAATTTTCTCAGGATTGACTTCAAATGCAGCTCGTAATCAATTTTCACAGGATTGACTTCAAAGCATTCCTAATATACAACTCGTAATCAATTTTCATTATAATATGGAGCTTTTCAAAATGATGGCCAGCTTCTGCTTGGATACCAAAGGATTGGTATCGATATAGAGAACTGAATTCAACAATGTTTTTCTCTTAAACAAATCATTGAAAACATTCTGTAAAAAACACGATATTTTATGTAACAACAATTTAATGCGAAAATTATTTAGAAATATTTTATATAACTGTTTTGTTAATTTTTTTTTTTTTAGTGCAATTGTTTTTGCTCCTTTCTACCTATTCTTGAGAATGAAATAAAATGTCTTTCCGATCCTTATTGGAACATTTAGACCTCTCAATATTATAGTTATACAAAGGAATTTTCGGTTGATTTCAAAAGGTATTCAAAAAATTAAAACAAACCCCCCCCCCAAAATAGATAAAAATCAAGATAAACCTTTTATCTCATAAACAAGATACTTTTTTAAAATCAACCAAAATTTCCTTTGTACAATTACAATATTGAGAGACCTAAACATGTTGTGTTTATGCGTTTTGTTCCAATGAGGTTAGGAAAGATGTTTCATTTCACTCTGGAAACATGATACCAAGAACAAAACAAGTGTTTGATGTGTTTTCTCAAACAATATCGATGAAAGTATATATTTATTTTTCAAATTATATTGTTACAATTCAAAAGATGACCATTAAATTGACGATGTGTTAAATTTTTAGATTTTTTTTATTACTGGTTTAAGAGAAACGTGTGTTATCGATACCACTCCTTTGCGTATTTTATCTGAAGATGATAAATCCTCTCAGTTTTTCTGAAATAAGCGTTGTCTTTATTCCCATTTAATCATGTTTTCACTTTTCATAAATAAATTGTGCCAAATTGATAAAACACACAATGCAAGCCAGCAAACCACTCCTAACCAATGGCACTAATTGACACCATCCTTTATTGAAACTGTGACATATTTTCATGTAAATGTGGCACATTGATCGAAGATCAAGTATTGTTGCTATCTTGTTTATAGAAGAGATTAATATATAGGTATATGAATTAAAAGTAATACTTAATCAAAAATGCTTAGTTGAAAACTCTTCAACTATGTCTTCTATGATTAGAGTAATCTCATGAGTAGGCGTATTAATGTAGCACTTTTACTCTAATGTCGTTTTATAAGTTTACTAGCTGGAAATTCCCATTGAATAAGGTTCGAATCATATTTTCCCTTCATTAAACAAAATGTCGAAATTTGTGACCGTTGAATTCTTTTAAATCGTCAAACATTAACAGACTTTATACGTGGTCCAAAAGGTAACAACTTAGGGTTGCCAAACTTTGGAGGGAAGTGTAAGGGATAAATACACAATCAAAACGAATTCAACGAGTTCTTGTGGCAAGACAGAGTGTGACTTAAGAACCAATCAGTGTTAAGAGTAATTTAAGTTCATCAATTATGCATTCAACACATTTTCATTTTTCCAGTTGAGGTGAGAAAACAGTACACAGATGATAAAATCCGAGACTTTATTCTTTATGACTCAAGCGATAAATGGGTTTTCGAGGAGAGGAAACGACCTATTGAAGAATTAGGGTCCGAGGGACAGGGTTCATATAGACGGTTGTCAAGCAACGAGTGACAACGAGGACTTGGCGTGTTAGATTCACACTCATACTCCTAGCTACTTTCTCACTAAGTTTTTGCCTTGTTATCGATCCACAGAAGGGGAGGTGTAAATCGTTCTAATAAAGCGAATTTGATATGAAGCATTCCATCGAGAGCGTCTACAAGACTGTGATCCTACTATTTAAAGTCCCCGTGCAAAGTTGATACCACTCTTGTCCAATGTTACCAAAGTGTGACATTTGTAACCTGTTTTTATTTGTTATTTGGGACATAACGATGATGCTAATTTATTAAACCAAAGGTACAATAATACAGTGTGTCCCAAAAAAGGAAGCCAGCAATAGATTGCATATTTCTCAAATATGAATAATAATAGGAAAATTTCATAGCTACCATCTGATAGGTTATGATGTCCTCTTTCTTATGATACCAAAGTTGTCTATTTTCCTTCACGGATGACTGAGTTATAAGGGATTTAAGTGACCATGTCCGAAATGAGTTTGTACCACTTTCAGCCAAGTCAATTTCACCATCATAACAAAGTGATAAGTAACAACAAACATCAGGATATCACTCTTTTACTCATTTATTCCAATTAAAATTACACATATCATATTTAACACCCCTTTTAAATCCCAATGTCCTTTCAAAGTTCTTTTAACCCCAGTGTCCTTCAACATGACCCCCATTCCTTTCAATGCAAATGCCTGCCCTTGATCTCATCGCACGTACTGCATCCCTGATGATGACACTGGGGTTAAAACAACTTTGAATGGACATTGGGATTTAAAAGGGGTGTTAAATATGATATGTGTAATTTTAATAGGAATAAATGAGTATAAGAGTGATATCCTGATGTTTGTTGTTACTTATCACTTTGTTATGAATGATGGTGAAATTGACTTGGCTGAAAGTGGTACAAACTCATTTCTGACATGGTCACTTAAATCCCTTATAACTCAGTCATCCGTGAAGGAAAATAGACAACTTTGGTATCATAAGAAAGAGGACATCATAACCTATCAGATGGTAGCTGTGAACTTTTCCTATCATTATTCATATTTGAGAAATAAGCAATCTATTGCTGGTTTCCTTTTTTTGGGACACCCTGTATAAGAAGATAAAACATATTTGTTAAACTTTAGATGGGGCCTATTTTATTTTATTGACGGAAGGTCCAGGATGAATCATTTTATGTCACCACCAAAAAGTGTTGATATATTGTTAGGGTCGTCTCCGTTTTTTGTAGCGGCGATCGGCGGTTAGTGGTTGGCAATCGGCGGTTGATGGTTAAACTTCCAATAACTTTCCAACAACTTAACAAATACTATTTAGACTGACTTCATTTTTTTCAAAATCATCTATAAGCGTTCCGACTTTAAATTCAATATTTGACCTTCAATGACCTTTCCAATTTTGTTGAAAAAAAATCAGTGAACTACCAGCACCATTTGTAACCCCGTGTTAAAGGGCCGTTGTAATCCGATAACATTCTGGAAAAATGAAACACCCTAAAGTAGATACAGGTTGGTGAGTATTGCTAGAATCCACTTTAAATATATACAGGGTGGGCCAATACCCAAGTTTAAAGATAAATGATTCATATCATATATGTTAAACCTTGCCATGTATTATATATCATTTTGAAGATATATCATTTCCAAACAAAATGACACCATCCGATTGAAAATCCTTGTTTTCTCTTTGAGTTAGAGACTAAAACTGACATTAATGGTTGTTGAATCGGATGGTGTACTATTGTTAGGAAATGATTTATATTTAAAATGATAAACGATACATTACATGGTTTAACGTTATATCATATGACATTCATCCTTAAACGCGGGGTTTCGTTTTTGGCCCACCCCGTAGTTAGAAAAGTGGTCCTTAAACGGGACATTTGACTTGCTTTTTGTTGGTTCTTATACCCATGGATAGTACCCGTAGCAAGTATTCATACATACTTAGTATGTTTATATTTAATAAGTGTAAGTACTATCGAGAAATGGAAATCTCAAAGAATAAGTATTATTGTGAATAGATAAAGTATTATATATTAGTAGCTAGTCTAGCTCTCACGAGGGATAAACCCCATATATCCAAACCGACCGTACATAACTGCTGTATCCTATGCCCAGTGGAGTTTTCAAAAAATATTTTTTCTCAATTTTTTCGAAGGTGGAAGACCTGGAGAGGGCTATATTGCGGGAGATATGGAGTTTCTTGATATGGAAACTCAACATCAGGATACGGGATATATCTTACCAACTCATCTCCCTAAAACTCTTCTCGGCATAGGATACGGTATCTGATATTTATAACATCGCATCACTATAACGAGTATACTTACAAAACTAAATGTTGTATTTAATGTTCAATATTTTGCATTGTAATGACGAGTGTACAGTTTTCAAAACTAGTATTTGATGACATAATATTGCATCACTTATATGACTATTCTAACGTAACTAGTATTGGATGTACATAATATCGAATCACTTATATGAGTGTACTTAAGTATTTTCTAAGTTGTATTTTACTTTGCATAATAAACTTATATGGTGTTTTATTTATAATTTAACATGTGTGACGCTTCTGTATGCGTGCTAATTGTATCGCAACTTTCTAAAAAGGTGTACTCCCCCTTATTAATATGACAACTGGGAGTCCACTTTTGAATCAAGCCTCCGAATGACTCACTTAATATGATTAGGAATGACCCAAACCTATGGAGAGGACGGGGGTTTAGGAACACACGTATGGGGGGAGTGTAGGAAATATCCTATGGAGGGGAGTATAGGAAAAGGCTTGAGGAACTTTGTAGGAACAAATTAATTGGCGTTCATTGAGGCAGAGTCTCTTTTGGGGTACGCGTGGATGAAGCTCCATTTTAAGGAATTATTGGAAATGTGACTCAAAATGCAGTTATATTTGTTTTACCCTCTGTTAATAAAAAATAGTTGCGTGGCCCTTCGAAATCGATTGTGTATAACTTGTGGAAATATAAAAAATGATATGAAAATGTAAGAAAGTTAGGTCAAAACCATTGTACCATTAACTCCCCATGTGACATTTCATGTCTCACATAAGATCTTATTATTGAACACATCACATTGCTGTATATTTGTTTTATCATCGTAATGACGTAAATTTTGATTTAAAGACACATTAATAATATTATGAGTCACTCTATTCATTATCAACCTTTTTACCATATTTTTTAACAAAGTCTGGTAGTTTACTACTAATTTGTATTGTACTTTTAATATGCATTGATTGATAACTTGGTATTTCATATTATTCTAAAAATATACAAACGTATTATTTATTTTTTAACTATTTTGTTTTTATTATCTATATTGAAATACTAGTTAGCCAATTACATTTTCCCGGACCATATAATGTTATGTCTATATTACATAATGTAAAGTTAGGCGATATATAAGTCAAGAGATGTACACAGTAGAGGTTACGTACAGCGGGTTAAAGGAACTGATTCGCAAAATAGTTGGATTCGTTACTGATACGGATAAACGCGTTATGCGAAACCTCCCTAATACCACTCGTCCATGTATTGTTAAAGGATATTTGCAGCAACATTAATACAAACCGTGATGTCATGTCTCTATCATTTCAAGTTTTATGTTACATACACAACTTACAACATTCTCTCAATGTCCACATTTTACTTGAGTAATACGTTTCTGACAAAAGCAGACCCTCCCCATTTGGTGGGACCAGAAAAGAAATATTTTGGGCCCGGAGATTTTGTATGGGCTCCATTAGTGCCCATTCTTGGGCATAACTTTTGCATTTTTGGACCTTTTTATCAACGGGCCTCAAATTATCAAAATTTGGGACTATTTATGGAATAGTGGCCCGGATATTTTTGCCTGATCTGAAATTTGGGTCCTCTTGTTAGCTTCTGGATCCGCCATTGTAAGTGATAAGTGCCTTAAGTCAAGTTCACCTTCCATGTTAAAGCTCTAAAATTAAAAGAAAACAAAAGTTGAAGTGAGAGAACCTTAATAGTAACTGAATAGATGGTAGCACTGTTACAGTCTTTTATATCGATTCCTATTCAATCCCCATTACCCCACGTGCAGAGTCTAGTTTAACTAAAAGAAGACGAAGCTCTCTTTTAAGAAGTGAAGTCAAACGAATGCAAAGGGTAAATCCCCATATTCGTCTTGATTAAATACTTCAAAGTTACGCATGCGCATGATCGTATTATCGAGTGAATAGAAGAGGGAGTTCGGGTAACAGTTACAAAATATCAAGATATTATCTACATAATATTCATGTCTGCGAAACATCGTCAACAATAACTTTTGATATTCAATAATGAACCAGAATATTACCTGTTTTTGTGGAGGTGCTGGAGTATAGAGTTCTACCATTCATACTTAAAGGAGGTCGGTAGTTGTTCTCCATGTGGTTCTTATCGCTATCAAACATACGCCTGAACTCCATCAGCTTCAATTATAACGGCAAAAGTATGTGTGTTATTCAAAGAAGTATTCAAAGCTTTTATATATTATTTAGCAATTTTCCCACTTTGTTAAGAATGGTTTTGTACTTGTTGATATCCCCGTGTATTTATCATTCAAATAGTTTCATATAATTGTAATAGATTAAAATTATGAAATCCCTTGTTCCTTAAAGGAAGTTAATCATGTAAATAGCGTTCCTTTTTGTAAAATGGGTAGAACTTATAACAGGACTGATGTATTTTACACTCTGAACATATTTCATTTACAAAGTCTGCACTCATTTAATGTTGCAATTTTGATTACTTCTTGCTTAAATGTTCATACATTAGGACCATTTGGAAAATAGTAGGTGGTAGATATGGTCGGGTTGGTGTCCTCGTTGTTCATACCTGATTTTCAGAAATGCCCACTGGATCTTGGAAGACTGTCCACACGACACTTTCAAAGCAAGGTGGAGTGGTTAGACTTCCACTATAACGGTAGAACTTGTGTGTTGACTTAGGCAGAAGCTCGTCTAGTTCCAAAGCAGTCGTTGACCATGTAGAAGACCCTAAATGACATTGAAAAGAAGAAAAACAGTTGAATTAAAATCAAACCAAAATACTTTTGATTCATTATATCAGTTCAATGGGAATAAAGAGAGTGAACATATTTGGAGAGCATAGCCATGTGTGTATTTACTGTAGTGGTCTTACCCGGAACTGCAAGCGTTTTTATTGCGTCGGTGATAGGAGAAAGTGCAGGGTTATCTTCCTTAGTGATTTCAAGGAAAACTCCCAACACTGCAAGACCTTCCGATTGGGCAACGGCATCTCCAAACTCCCTGAATCTGTCCGTGTTGTAGTGGACGATATGAAGCTAAATGTAAACAAAGCACTATAAAGACAAGGGGAGAAGACATAAACGCATAGACCTTTGAAAAATGTATCACTATCTGAATAAGATAAGGTACAGTACATACTTCTATTGGATATTTCCTGCCATTGACGGTGTGTTCAGATCCTTGGTTGTTGGTGCTTCCCCAATGGAAATGAAGCTGCACACCACGGTATGTACCCGGCAGTCCTCCACCACGGACAATCACTGGAACGTCCGCGGATTGCAGAATATCCACCTCAACTGCAAAATATTGCGCTAACTTTAATTTGGACTCAATAATCACATGATTCTTATGGAAAAGGGCACACATAAGCTATGTGAATTCCTAAATAAATTAATTTAAAAAAGATTTCATTTCAAGATTAATTTTTAATAATGCATGGATTTAAATGGGAAAATTCATTGTTTTTATTTTACTGTTACGAACGGTACTCGAGATGCTAATTTTGAATTTATTTGCAGCAATTGTATTCACTCTATGCAGACGGAGCCTGTGGAAAATATTCGTTATAGCAGAATGGGCGCTTGGCCATGTTAGAATGAATTATGATATTATTTTCACAATTCTATTGATCATTATATCTCCGCGTTTATCCTATGCCAAGTAGAGTTTTAGGGAGATAAGTTGGTAAGATATATCCCGTATCTTGATTTTGAGGTTTCCATATCCAGAACCTACATATCTTCCGCTTCGGTGCATATCTTCCCGCTTCCGGTAATTTCACTTCACATTTAAAAAAAAAAATTTAATTTTTTTTCAATTCTTTTTTCCAATTTTTTTAAATTAAAAGAAAATTCATATTTCAAATTTTTGGATACATTTATCCTCTTGTTACATTGTTAAACAACACTTATTTATTTCAAAAAATAAATTATCAATGTATTTAAAATTTAAACGTGGAAATGCAATAAAATGACTTTGCATATGAATGATTTGTTTATTTTTACACCTTGTACTATTGAAATGGCCACATGCCCCTGAAAACTCTACTTGGTATAGGATAAAGCAGTTATGAACGGTCGGTTTGGATATTGGGTTCATCCCTCGTGAAATATGCACATCTACCTTCGGTCCCTATGGTCCCTCAGGTAGATATGCATATCTCCCTCTGGATAAACCCCATATCCAAAACCTCCCAGTACATAACCCTTATTTATATTGAAATATCTTCGAATTCCCATTGCCTGAAAAAGATGTCTCTCTTAATGGACATCCAGCCTCTACAATTTGACTTTTGATATTGACCTGATTATACATGTACCTGGGCCCATGACAGGAATGAGACTTACTACTGTGTCCATTGTTTTTTATCTTGACAGGTTTGCTAGAATAAGGCTTGTCATAGTTGCCAAAGACAAACGGAGAGCTGAGTTTTGCTTCAAATATACTCTTTGTTGGGTCGATGTCCACTGGGGATTGCTGGCTTCTGCCACAGATTGGATAGCTGTTCTTCCAAACATTCGGACCTACAAACATCAAATCAAGTGTCATTTTAGTCTGCTCTTTCAAACATTCGGACTTGCAAACACAAATCAAGTGTCATTTCAGTCGTATATAGCCCTTATACTCACACTTTACAGCTCTTGGAATATGAACCGTGTAAATGCCGAATATTTGGAATATAGACCATATATAAATGCCAAATATTTGGAATATAGACCATGTATAAATGCCAAATATTTGGAATATAGACCATATATAAATGCCAAATATTTGGAATATAGACCATGTATAAATGCCAAATATTTGGAATATAGACCATATATAAATGCCAAATATTTGGAATATAGACCATATATAAATGCCAAATATTTGGAATATAGACCATGTATAAATGCCATTAAATATTTGGAATATAGACCATGTAAATGCCAAATATTTGGAAAATAGACCATGTATAAATGCCATTAAATGTTTGAAATATAGACCATGAACATGCCAAATATTTTGAATATAGACCGCGCAAATGCCAAATATTTGGAATATAGACCGTATAAATGCCATTAAATATTTGGAATATAGACCATGTAAATGCCAAATATTTGGAAAATAGACCATGTATAAATGCCATTAAATGTTTGAAATATAGACCATGTATAAATGCCAAATATTTTGAATATAGACCGCGCAAATGCCAAATATTTGGAATATAGACCATGTAAATGCCAAATATTTGGAAAATAGACCATGTATAAATGCCATTAAATGTTTGAAATATAGACCATGAACATGCCAAATATTTTGAATATAGACCGTGTAATTGCCAAATATTTGGAATATACACCATGTAAATGCCAAATATTTGGAATATAGACTATGTAAATGCCAAATATTTGGAATATAGACCATGTAAATGCCAAATATTTGGAATATAGAACATGGACATGCCAAATGTTTTGAATATAGACCATGTAAATGCCAAATACTTAGAATATTTAGGCGTAATGTTTTGATGAATCATTCAACATGTTCTTTTTCGATACCGGAGGTCTCCTAGGGATTATGGTCCCCCTTTTTAAAAGCCCTGATTGTGTATAAGATAATAAGGGAAAGAGGTCACCATATAAATCAATGGAGAGTAGGACCATAAATTAATAGGACCTCTTACCCTTTTACACCTGGTTTAATTGTTGCTTACTTAACTACCCATAATGACCATGCCTCGTCAACCCATCACGATTATCACCGTATCATTATGCAAGTATACATGATTACCGATGACTACTTCATTTAACTCAAATTGATGACTTCATTTTTATCTTAGTCCGGTTGGCAAAAGTTGTATTTTTTCTTAAGAAGAGTTTTATCTCCCTGATGCTTTGTTTTGGGGTAAGTTGCAGTACACAGAAATTAATAATAAGTTAAAGTTTAACAGTGTTTCAAGGGAATTTTGACTGTGATATTAAAAGAGTTTAGAAATAGACAGACGTCCGCATATATATTTTCTCCCCATTTTCTCACTTGTCGAACGACCACCTGTATGTTATAATAACCTGGATTGTTTGCTTTGTAACTTAGCCAATATTGTTGTGTAATGAACCTAGCAGTTTACTATACCAAAACTACTACTATACCTATACCTGAACAGCAGGTTGCATGCAATGGTATGTCATTATTAAAAATAAGTATATTTAAGAGTAACTACAAGCTACGGGTACTAGCCCCGTAATCAGTGATTCTAAATGAAGGCGCGAAAGTTCGGCTCGCTATCAGAAATATTTTCATATTTTATTCAAAATCAAATGTGCAAATGTTAACATGAAAAAAAACAATTTATGCAAATAAAAAAACTGATAAATGTAAACAAGTTGGAGGAAATCACAAACAGTTGAAATATAATATCTACACCTACCTTCATCGTCCTGGTAGTTCCAAGCTGGAAATAAATATAATTCAAGTTATTAAAGAGTTAAGCTGCACGACGAAGGCAGTTCTATTGGGGTTATATTTGCATACATCTAATTACAAACGCTGTAAAAATTCACGTTTTTGTGGAATATGGGCTACAATATGCAAAATGCTTCAGTTGCAGCAACAGATTCAGTGTATAGCGACTATAAAGTATTTGAAAGCAATGTTGTAGATGAACATATAATGTTTCACATCAGTGTATAGCGACTATAAAGTATTTGAAAGCAATGTTGTAGATGAACATATAATGTTTCACATCAGTGTATAGCGACTATAAAGTATTTGAAAGCAATGTTGTAGATGAATATATAATGTTTCACATCAGTGTATAGCGACTATAAAGTATTTGAAAGCAATGTTGTACAAATTTAGATGAACATATAATGTTTCACATCAGTGTATAGCGACTATAAAGTATTTGAAAGCAATGTTGTAGATGAACATATAATGTTTCACATCAGTGTATAGCGACTATAAAGTATTTGAAAGCAATGTTGTAGATGAACATATAATGTTTCACATCAGTGTATAGCGACTATAAAGTATTTGAAAGCAACCGTGTCGATGAACATATAATGTTTCACATCAGTGTATAGCGACTATAAAGTATTTGAAAGCAATGTTGTAGATGAACATATAATGTTTCACATCAGTGTATAGCGACTATAAAGTATTTGAAAGCAATGTTGTAGATGAACATATAATGTTTCACATCAGTGTATAGCGACTATAAAGTATTTGAAAGCAATGTTGTAGATGAACATATAATGTTTCACATCAGTGTATAGCGACTATAAAGTATTTGAAAGCAATGTTGTAGGTGAACATATAATGTTTCACATCAGTGTATAGCGACTATAAAGTATTTGAAAGCAATGTTGTAGATGAACATATAATGTTTCACATCAGTGTATAGCGACTATAAAGTATTTGAAAGCAATGTTGTAGATGAACATATAATGTTTCACATCAGTGTATAGCGACTATAAAGTATTTGAAAGCAATGTTGTAGATGAACATATAATGTTTCACATCAGTGTATAGCGACTATAAAGTATTTGAAAGCAATGTTGTAGATGAACATATAATGTTTCACATCAGTGTATAGCGACTATAAAGTATTTGAAAGCAATGTTGTAGATGAACATATAATGTTTCACATCAGTGTATAGCGACTATAAAGTATTTGAAAGCAACCGTGTCGATGAACATATAATGTTTCACATCAGTGTATAGCGACTATAAAGTATTTGAAAGCAACCGTGTCGATGAACATATAATGTTTCACATCAGTGTATAGCGACTATAAAGTATTTGAAAGCAATGTTGTAGATGAACATATAATGTTTCACATCAGTGTATAGCGACTATAAAGTATTTGAAAGCAATGTTGTAGATGAACATATAATGTTTCACATCAGTGTATAGCGACTATAAAGTATTTGAAAGCAACCGTGTCGATGAACATATAATGTTTCACATCAGTGTATAGCGACTATAAAGTATTTGAAAGCAATGTTGTAGATGAACATATAATGTTTCACATCAGTGTATAGCGACTATAAAGTATTTGAAAGCAATGTTGTAGATGAACATATAATGTTTCACATCAGTGTATAGCGACTATAAAGTATTTGAAAGCAATGTTGTAGATGAACATATAATGTTTCACATCAGTGTATAGCGACTATAAAGTATTTGAAAGCAATGTTGTAGATGAACATATAATGTTTCACATCAGTGTATAGCGACTATAAAGTATTTGAAAGCAATGTTGTAGATGAACATATAATGTTTCACATCAGTGTATAGCGACTATAAAGTATTTGAAAGCAACCGTGTCGATGAACATATAATGTTTCACATCAGTGTATAGCGACTATAAAGTATTTGAAAGCAATGTTGTAGATGAACATATAATGTTTCACATCAGTGTATAGCGACTATAAAGTATTTGAAAGCAATGTTGTAGATGAACATATAATGTTTCACATCAGTGTATAGCGACTATAAAGTATTTGAAAGCAACCGTGTCGATGAACATATAATGTTTCACTTGCCATACAATATTTTTATCTAATAAGCAATTGAGATAACTGATCTAACGTCAGTATTAGAAGAATTGCAGAAATTGACAAATTAATAATGATCCAAATTGCCTCATTTTTAGTATTATAATTGTCATATAACCATTTTAAACTGTTCTCTCACTAACAACCCATGCCCCTTAATTGCATATAAATAATTTACTTACCCAGCACTGCTACTGGTAGCACCAATGCGACGAAAAGTCCCACGTTCATGGCAAACAAGACTCTTTTCAATTCAAAACCAACTAGAAAATGCAAATGAAATCAATAATAGTCAATAATCCATGCACTCCCCCTTAAACAAGAGTATTGTAATAGCTTTTAAATAGCCTGGCCGATGTTGTTGATACTGCCACATTGGCATAATACTCTTTTCAAGTCAACCTCTTTATCCGATCGAGATACAAGACTAAAATCTCAGAGTTTGTTAAAACATTTTTCGAATATATCAGAAATATTAAATTGGATCAAAAACTGTACCATTAAGTCGTTCATGAAATCCTTTTAATAAGGGCTGTACACCCTAAATAAGAACGATTTATTTTCTTTTGGGTAAACTCTAATTTTTATAAATTCGTAAATTGTTTTAAGTCTTAGAGAAAACAGAAGTATGGAAAACAACGTCCTGTTTATACAATTGCTATTTCATAAGACTAGTTATAAATATATTAAGCCGTTAAAACAATATTTCACAATACATTAAATTTAAGATTGCATGTAAATAATAAAAAGTTGTTTCTCACCCTGTCTTAATGTTGTAACGACCCTTGATATCAAGTTGCTACTACAGTCCAGCTGTAGTGACAGTCCAGCTGTAGTGGCTTAAGCCTCTTTAGCTCAGTCGGTAGAGCATCAGACTTCGGAACCAAGGGTCCTAGGCTCGATTCCCATGCGGGGCATTGAATTTAGCACACTTTCTTTCAATTTCTTTATCTGGCTTCTTACACTATGCTCGTTAGTTAATTAGTTAGTTAATGACCTCGGGTCATTACAATGTCACTATAACTATTTACAATTCATTCTAAATCATAAACATATTTTGACGTATTGTAACCTTACTTAGTTAAGCTTACCTATCTACAACCAGGGTTATTTGCCAGTTGGTCCTTTGAAGCAGCTTTTCAATCTAGTATCTTACAGTGCTGATTGTCACCAAACAAGAGTGTTAACCATATTAACGTGTGTTCTTTATCGTAGCCGTGTGCAGTGGTCATAGCTTGCTGCACCGTTGAACATCGAAAACAGTGAACATCTCAGGGCGTTGTGAAATATACAGTTAAACATATTCACAAGGAACACCAACAAACAACCTTCAACATGGAGCGGTTTTAAAAATAAAGAAATAAGTGTACTTTGTGCGCATAGTCGTGTAATAAGACTTACCTACTATTAAGGTAAATGGGAACATTGCGTGTCAATATAATAAATTGAACAAGGAATTGCGTTTGGTGGACTAGTTTTATTTAAATATTAAATTAAAAGCTTAGATTAAAGACTCGTTATTAAGATAACCCCATTGTTAATACATGTTTCACCGGATTTACTATTCATGTTTATAGGGGTTCGACGCGTTGCCAGACTCACCGCTGTGTCTATGAGATGTCACACCTGCCGGTTCCAAATTTTGTAAAATATTTTTTAGATTGTGACTTATTGCTCGGAACACGATTTTCCGTATTCGCACGTGTGCAGGTAATGTACAATCTCCTTGCACTACCAGCAGGTCATCCTCCGAACACAGGCCTCCAGAACTCGTACCTCCTTCTTCAAGGAAGGAACTTTGTGGATGATGTCTGGAACCCTGCGTTCGGAGGATGCCAGCAGGTAGGGTACAATCTCTTTGCACTACCAGCAGGTAGGGTACAATCTCTTTGCACTACCAGCAGGTAGGGTACAATCTCCTTGCACAACCAGCAGTTAGGGTACAATCTCCTTGCACAACCAGCAGGTAGGGTACAATCTCTTTGCACTACCAGCAGGTAGGGTACAATATCTTTGCACAAGCAGCAGGTAGGGTACAATCTCCTTGCACAACCAGCAGGTAGGGTACAATCTCATTGCACTACCAGCAGGTAGGGTACAATCTCCTTGCACAACCAGCAGTTAGGGTACAATCTCCTTGCACAACCAGCAGGTAGGGTACAATCTCATTGCACTACCAGCAGGTAGGGTACAATCTCCTTGCACAACCAGCAGTTAGGGTACAATCTCCTTGCACAACCAGCAGTTAGGGTACAATCTCCTTGCACAACCAGCAGTTAGGGTACAATCTCCTTGCACTACCAGCAGGTAGGGTACAATCTCCTTGCACAACCAGCAGTTAGGGTACAATCTCCTTGCGCTACCAGGAGGTAGGGTACAATCTCCTTGCGCTACCAGGAGGTAGGGTACAATCTCCTTGCGCTACCAGGAGGTAGAGTACAATCTCCTTGCACAACCAGCAGTTAGGGTACAATCTCCTTGCACAACCAGCAGTTAGGGTACAATCTCCTTGCGCTACCAGGAGGTAGGGTACAATCTCCTTGCGCTACCAGGAGGTAGAGTACAATCTCCTTGCACAACCAGCAGGTAGGGTACAATCTCCTTGCACTAGCTGCTTGCATGACATCATAGAGAAATACTATACGAGAAATAGGTCCATCTGATTGACGCTATTTAGTTTGTGTGGTCATATTTGTTTTTCAAATTGAGCAATTTTTAAAAAGCCGCAGATACGGTATAGAAGAACTGAGATGTTCGCGATCGAATGGAGGAATTTGCGTGTCTGGCTGTTGGTTGAAAACAAAACTAAACTGAGTTATCGGAATATGTGAGTCCGTTGGTATACTATACCCTGGATACTATACTATTTACTAATCTTGAAAAAGATGCAAAACCGTTGCCGAGGAACTATACCCTTCCGTATTTTGCTACACTGCGATATATTTGAGTTTTTATTAATTATTTTTGGAATAACCACTTCATTATCCCACCAAACGAAGAAGATCTAGGTGAATATAAAAAGTCTTTCGTCAATCTGTCCTTTGTTCGTTTGTCTGTATGGGTGATCCTTAAATACCTATTGACCGACTTTGATTCAAAGAACCACGGAACGTATTGGGGTTTAAAAGGGTGACCAAAATTAAGCTGAAACAATGTTAATAATAAAGGAATTTGTCAATAGACTAGGTGCAAGTAGAAATAATCTTGATCTACGTCATTTAATATTCAAAATTCAGCTAAAGGGATGTCATATTATACATTATACTGATTTCAAATAAAGATAGCAATAAAGATAGCATTAATTTACTGTATGTTTTAATCAGCTTCATGTAAAATTGCAAATGTATCATTTTATGATTTTGTTACAGTTTTTTTCAATGAAGAATCGATTTTTGATTTAAAAAGAGGTAAATTAAAAAACATAATTTCAAACTACATTTTGTAATTCAATTACTACTTTAAGTAATTTGAAATATTTAGTAATTAAATAACAAGAAGGGGAGTTGTGATCAGTAGAATATACATGTACTGAGAAAAAGACATTTTATAAGTGAATAACATGTATGAATAATTAATTTACTTTGGTGGAACTATGATTACTGAAATAGATCAATTTGCAAATGCAAAAAATGTTTGGCAATACAATTACATTTGAATTCACTTAAACAAGTAATAACGTAAAATTACTTACAGAAGTACTAAGTAATGTAATCATATTGAGAGTGGTAGTAAGTTATATCTAGAAGAAACTACTTAGTAATATAATAACAGACAGATAAAATGAAAATACAGATATTAGTAATTTATTAACATTGATAGTATAATACTTAATACTGAATTTAGTGATTCACATCAAAAAACAATTACCTAGTAATTACTAGTAATATAATTACATGTTAAGTAATTTTGCAAAATACTCAGTAATAAATAAAATTACTTAAACTAGTTGTCGAGTAATTTTTTTTTAGAGTGTTTGGATTACTCGGTCAGTGTTACAAATGTCTCACATGTTATTAAAAAAATATCATTGCTGAAGCTCACTCCATTTTTCCAAGACTTATCTATCTGAAAGAGACAAATGTTTTGTATTTTGCCAAATGTTTTTCTTATCATGGGTATTTTGTTTCTGTATAACTACACTGGTTCACTAACAAGTACATGTATTACACTTTGTTGTCATGAATACACAAAAACAATTGAAATCATGACGTAGGGAATTTATCCTTTATTTGCGATATCATGGTCAATTCATGTATGATCTTAGAATGTGTTCATTTTTCGGAACATCAACATAGAGACAGAATCATATCTTGAGAGTTTATGACAAATTCAGAGGGAAATTCCAAAGAAGTCTTGAAATGAAAGTCTCATTTAATATTATGATTGGGAAATGAAGAATAGGCAATGGTAAAAAACTAATGAAAGACAATCAGATGACTGAAATTGCTGGCTGCTGAGCATGAACGCCCCAAACGCTGACCGAAATTCCATTGGATGAATTCTCATGAAATCATTAAGACAGCAGAAAGATCAGCCAAAGCATAGCATTACAGTGATATTAAAATCAAATATTTAATGATGAGTTGAAAAAGGAAGAAGGGAGACCTGTTAAAACCTGGATGGAAAAATCAGCTTAAACCTATCTAAGGAGGCTTCTAAGAATAGGGGTGTGATCTAAGATCTGCAGGCGTAACGTGCAGTAGACCGATTCAATAAAAGACAAGTCTCGGTATGAGGAACGAAGTTCACCGGTCTACTGGGTTTATAAATTTTTATGAACAATATAGAAATAACAACCATATTAAATCATGAATATTCAAAAGAGGACATTTAAATCGACAATATGCACAGCAAAAATATCAAAATTGTCCAAAGCAGGCGTAACGAGACTAAGTCTTTTGGACTCACACCGACATCATAGATTGTAGTTTATGTGAAGTGAAAAGTGAAGCTGACTACATGTATTTAAGAAATTATTCATTTTCGTAGAGCTTTGTTTTTGGGTTCACCCTGTATAGATTTCCCTACTGATTTTTAAAAACTCTGAATTTCGCCCATTTTCTTAAAAATCTCGACTTTCTCCCATTGATTTCCCAAAATGAAGCCGAATTTTTGTGGATTTTTTAAATCTATACAGTTTTAATTTCCTTGATTTCAAGTAATATTAGTTTTCATATCACGTATCTATATCCATATATACCTCTATATATATCAGGGTGTATATTGCACAATTAGTAGATGTCATGGCTTGACTGAAAATGTAAGAGGAACTATTTGTTTTATTGCATTGCCCATACACTCCCCTCCATAAGTTGGGCAATCCTAACCCCTCTATTGGGCTGCGTGGTAAAACCTCTTTATGTTTGAATTTTTACTTTCTAGAGCATGATACGTGATATGGAAACTAATGTTACTTGAAATCAAGGAATTCAAAACTGTATATTAATATGTTACATTCGAGGGTTAACAACTACGACATCTTGTGTCTCAGACGATTACAACTTGTATCTAGTACAAACGATTACAACTTGTATCTACAACATCTTGTGTTTCAAACGATTACAACTTGTATCAGTATGTGTCCTTCAAGAATTAATAGGCTCTTTGATGCCTTGGTCACATTTGCACTGATTCATCGGCCGGCGCCCAGCCGATTGAGTATTCTGTTCAAAACTGAATACAATTAAGTAAACAGGATACTCAATCGGCCGGAATATGAGGATACTCAATCGTTCCGGCCGATGAATTGGAGAAAATGTGACCCAGACATTACTGTTTGTGATATTTACAACCATGGTCCAATGTAAGTTTCATGTTGCTCAATTAGTCGACTTTGCCTGTTACCTTGAGGGTCAGAGTCTATTGCAATAGGTTGTTGAAACTCTCTTTTAAGAAGCAAAAAACGAACTATATTGAAAAGCGTTAATTCTCGTGAAACAGCCGCTCATTACATCAACGATTTCCCCAAAATGTCCAAAAATTTACAACTTGGACCAGTGTAGGTCACATATCATACATATGTGGAGGATTTTCCATTACTTGAGCTCAATGTCTTCACAGATGAGTCACTGTCTCTCGATCTCAGTGAGGCATGGGAACTCAGGCGTGTAAAATGGAATCTGTTCCATTTTGATCCATTACCACCCGCCAATTTGTAGAGCATTCTTGCGTATCCAATGCGGATATTGCGCGTGCGCAGTCCAAATATAATTGGATCCAGGATGAAGTTGATGTAGGGCACATATGTGAAGGCGTTATAGTAGATATAAGAGAGGGATTCTCCATGGTGGTAACGTAGGAACTTGAATACGAAGTACGGCACCAGCGATATGATCAGACTGACCATAAGAATCAATGTCGTGACGAGCGCCTGGCGATTCTCATCCATGCGCAACTGGCGACACCAGCGGGCGGAACGGTTGCGAAGATAGCGGCAGATGGAGACGTAGAGACATATAATAACGATGATAGTCACGACGAGGAAACTGGGCCAGATATAGTTCCAAATATCGCACTTGTCGCTCTTAGTAAAGAAGAGACATGCGCCAGGTATACTAATGAGAAATGAGGCAAGCCAAACTAGACACAGGTATACAATCACCTTCTTCTTTGTCGCTACCTCAGTATATATCATCGGCTTATAGATAGCCAAGTAGCGTGTGACGGCAAACGCCAGCAATGTGAACGCCGAGGCGCAGTAAAACATCACAAAGAAAGCGTAACTCAGTATCCATGTGAAAAAGATAACCTTAATGGAAAATGCGCTCCACTCAAACATCACTTTGGACACGGTCTGCATGAAGTAGGCCAGCGAGACGAGTACGTTACTGAGACAGAGGTTGAGAAAAAGCATATGATTCGACACCATCGCACCATTAATGAAGCGGACGGCAACAGCGGAAACGATGTTAAGCGTGAGAGAGACGAAGCAAAGAACGCTGGAGATGACAATTTGTCTCATAAGCTGGGCATCCTGTTTTTGTTGAAGAATTTGGCTCGCTTTCTCGTGTTTGTCTTGCAGATAACGCAGCGCTTCTCCACTGAGGTTGTACCTATCGTACGGTCCAACGGTCAACAGACTTGGTCGAATGCTGCTATTAAAACTGCTCCAGACGAAGGATGTATCGCTAGTATTGCCGTCTAGCATTTTCCTAGATTGGAAACAACTGTATTGTAGATCTGTTAGTCTGGACAGTTTATACAATTCTTCGATATATAACTCTTTGTCTCGTCAGGTTTAGCAATCTTGAACGGGAAGTCCTTTCAATGCGAATCTAGGTGACGTTCATCAATAGACAGAATGTATCAAAGGATATCTATCTATCGCACCCTTATAACTTCTGCTTGTCTGTCTTCTTGTTGTCTAATTAAAATAACGATACGATTCGGTATCCAGTCCTCCAGAGTATGTTGCATGTTAATCAATTACGTGTTCTTGACACCGTACAGGCTGACAGCAGTCTACCTGAATTAATTAAGAAACCGAGAATTAACCATAGCGACGACAACTACATGTATCACTTCATACAACAAATCAACAATGACATTTTGCAACAGCACGCAGTGTTTTATGGCACACTTCACATTTTTAGGGGCCATCATTCGCAACATGTCCAGGAGACATCATTTGTAATGAGCAAAATTCCGATTCTTCTTTAGGGTTGGCGTTTATTGCTAAGATTTGAGATAAGGGATTAAGATAAGGGACATTTTTGCGTGTTTTGCTAAACATGGAAAACATATATATGGTTATAGCTACCATATGAGGAGAGAGATGGTTTGGCAAGGAATATTCCTGTAAGGGGTATGATTGGGGGTTATGGTTTAGAGATATGATTGGGGGTTATGGTTTAGGGACATAACTGGGGGTTATGGTTAGGGTTTAGTGATATGATTTGGGGTTATTATTCATGAGTATAAATGGGGTTATGGTTTAGGGATAGGATAAGGGGTTATGTTATACGAATAGGATAAGGGGTTATGGTTTTAGGATATAATTGGGGGTTATAGTTGTAGGATTGGGGGTTGTAGTTTAGGGATATGTTTGGGGGTTATGGTGTAGTGATGTGATTGGAGGGTTATGGTTCAGGGATATCATTGGGGGTGATGGTTAGGGTTTAGGTATATGATGGGTTTATGGTTTAGAGATGTGACTGGGAAGTTTAGGGATATAGTTGGGGGTCATGGTTAGTGATATATTTGGGGTTATGGTTAAGTGATATAATTGAGGATTATGGTTAAGGTTGAGGGATGTGATTGGGGTTATAGTTATGGTTTAGTGATATTATTGGGGGTTATGGTTTAGTGATATTATTGGAGGTTATGGTTTAGTGATATGATTTGGGGTTATGTTATAGGAATAGGATAAGGGGTTATGGTTTTAGGATATAATTGGGGGTTATAGTTAGTGATATATTTGGGGTTATGGTTAAGTGATATAATTGAGGATTATGGTTAAGGTTGAGGGATGTGATTGGGGGTTATGGTTAGGATTTAGGTATATGATTAGGGGTTGTGGTTTAGTGATATGATTGGGGGTTATGGTTTAGTGATATTATTAAAGGTTATGGTTAGGGTTTAGGGATATGATTGGGGGTTGTGGTTTAGTGATATGATAGGGGGTTATGGTTTAGTGATATTATTGGAGGTTATGGTTTAGTGATATGATTGGGGGTTATGGTTTAGTGATATTATTAAAGGTTATGGTTAGGGTTTAGGGATATGATTGGGGGTTGTGGTTTAGTGATATGATAGGGGGTTATGGTTTAGTGATATTATTGGAGGTTATAGTTAGGGTTTAGTGATATGATTGGGGGTTGTGGTTTAGTGATATGATTGGGGGTTATGGTTTAGAGATATGATTGAGGGTTGTGGTTTAGTGATATGATTGAGGGTTGTGGTTTAGTGATATTATTAAAGGTTATGGTTAGGGTTTAGGGATAGGATTGGAGGTTATGGTTTAGGGATAGGATTGGGGGTTATGGTTTAAGAATACGATAAGGGGTTATGGTTGGGGTTTAGGGCTAGAATTAGGGATTATGGTTATGGTTAGGGTTCTGTGATATGATTGGGTTTATGGTTCAGGGATATGATTGGGGGTTATGGTTTAGGGATAGGATTGGAGGTTATGGTTTAGGGATAGGATTAGGGGTTATGGTTTAAGAATACGATTAGGGGTTATGGTTGGGGTTTAGGGCTAGAATTAGGGATTATGGTTATGGTTAGGGTTCAGTGATATGATTGGGGTTATGGTTTAGGGATATGATTGGGGGTTATGATTTAGGGATGTGATTGGGAGTTATGGTTTAGTGAAATCATTGGGGGTTATGGTGTAGGGATAGGATTAAGGGTTATGGTTTAAGGATATGATTGATGATTCTCGTTAGGGTTTAGTGATATGATTTGGGGTTATGATTTAGGGATATGATTGGTGTTATGGTTTAGGGATATGATTCGGGTTTAAGAATACGATTAGGGGATATGGTTATTGTATCAATTTCGAATAATTCTGGCTCATGTCATTCCTTGTCATGATTGTTCATTTTCTAAAAAGTGCACACTCTATTTCAGGAAAACAAGATTTTTACAATAATGTAATATTTTTTTATAAGAATGGTTACCATTTGGGAGAATTTAAACATTTTTCGATTTTGCACTTTGAATCTATTATAACTTTACTATTATATAAGATATAGTGGATCTTTTGGGAGATATTGAATTTGAGATTGTAAGAAATAAATTGGTAGGTCAATTGTCACGCTGTCCGCAATTTGTCACCCTAATCTAATTCTACCTTTAAGTTAGTATATACTTTCAGGTTTCTTATTATTTTGTTTAGATTAAAAAGATTCACTTTTATGTACCTTTTCTATAAAGAAATCATACATACACTCTAATTGAGATTCTACAAAGATTTATTGAATCAATGTGCATTCATTTTCATATATTGTATATGTATCGTAACAAACGTTTACTTTACCTTTTCGAACGTATCTGTTTGATCCAATCTGATACTCAAAGCATCTATCATTGTCATCGTCCAGAATGATATATAGAGATGGGATGACGTGGCTTACCACGAAGTTGTTCTTATGGTGATCTTCTACTATTTGCTCAAGCAAATAAAACATATTCTCCTATATACATGGCGAGGCAATAATCCCCATCAAAGTTATATTGCGAATTCAGAGTAATAATTGTGAATATAATATTACTGTGATCTAAAGTATCACATGCTTTATCAAATGGAGTGGGCTTATTTAGGCCCAACCTGTGCATTATTAAACATCCGTTCCAAAAACGTGAAAGAATCGGTGAGTCAGGGGTGAGTAAGAATATTGAACAAATTCGAGATCATTAACTAATTCACGTATAATTATCTTTCTCAAAATTGCCATTGCCAAGACGGTTAAATGAAAATAATTGGCGTCGAAGAACACCATTGAACTCTACATCATTATTAATAAAAACTAGACAACAACAACGCTAGGCGTGGCAAATCCCATCAAATGGTCATGGCTGTTCTCTCTAAAACATTGCTTCATTACGATTTAATAACAGCTAACTTCAATAAATAGTCTACCATGCTTATAAGTAGTCAAAGTTTCCTAAAACAGTGAGGTATGCTTATAAGTCATCATATATACAGAATATCACATCATTTTGAGTGATATCATTTTTATCGCCGAGTTGACACTGGCAGACCTATTTTCTCAAAAGAGAATAAATTATCTGACCTATTTTCCAACAATATTGTGGCGCGAAATGCAAATGTGATATCACACGGATATGCGTGAGATAAACGATATCACACGCATATTAGTTTGATAAACGATTTTCTGGAAAATATCACACGGATTGCAATGATATCAGAAATATCAATAGCTGTTATTGTACAGATAACACATTAATCGTGGGATAAATGAACAAAATCGCTCTATTACATTTTGTGTTTTAGTAAAAAACACATAAATTACATGTTAGGAAGATTGGCTCCCTGAGTGCAATATCGATATATTGTCTTATACCAACAGCAGCCATTTTGTTCACTTCAACATTTGAATCGTTATAATTTCAGAAAATAACGACACATCGGCGTTTTCATTGTTGGAAAATATCGACTTCGATTCTGGGAGCCAATCCTCCTTGAGTTATATGTGTAAACTGCCGGACATTTCAAAATGGCCACCTAAAGCCAAAGAGTCAAAGGACAGTGAGTGTGCCATTCTTATAAGTCATCACATATTAAATATGAACAAAATTGCTCCACTATGACTTTTCTGGTGAGAGCAAAAATCGTAGAATAGCGTACAACGCCCGCAATTTTCCAAGATGCCTGCCATATGTTTCTTTAATAGTGTAACGGAATTTTAAATGTAAAATTTTTGATTTTTAATGAAGTGCTGTGTTTTTGTACATTAGGTAATTATTACACTGGGAAAGTAATTTCCCATTGAGATTATTAAGATTTATAAATGTAGTATCATTTGCAGCACTTAGGTTGTACTTACAGAGGTGAAATAGTTCGCATGTTTTATTTATTTGATCACGATTTTGTTTATGTTGATCGGGCAGTCTTATCTGGCAGTCTAATTTGTAGTTGATCGGTAGTCTAACATGACACCTTTATTATTTTACTTCCTGCTTTTGATTCGATCGAATCGAAGTGAAATTAGACTAGATAGTGATTAATTACTGTTATATTTCTTGAGTCAATATTATAATCTTGCTGTATGATCAATATTGAAGCGAAATATGGCGTAAGTAAGCTGTAATTCACAGTTGAAATCTTGTCCGAAAATCGATGACGTCATCGGGCCTATATAACTATCTCGCTGTTGAAGGCTCGTCAGTGCGATGCCAGATGTTGTCGAGGAAGGACCTCCAGAGCGGAATTTTGGGAAACAGCTTAAATCTTCTAAGTTTTATAGAACTTAGTCGATTTTGTGGAGTTGAAGCTATACGTTTGCAGTATACACATAAAGATAGAAGCTGTACCTTAGTAGAATACATCTGATGAGCCAAGCTATACGTTTGCAGTATACAAGGGCAGATTGAGGAAACTAAGTGTGCGAAACTTAGTTTATTTTGGAACTTGGATTTTTGGGAAACTTTGATGCAACTAAGTGTGTGAAACCTAGTTTATTTATCGCACTGGAAGTAAGGGAGATCTACAAGACTGGACAAAACTTCGACAGGGTGAAGCTATCCCCAGCGCAAAGCATTAGACGTATTGTCCAGCCTTCATAGACTGAGAGGAAATGCTGACATAACTTGTGTTTGAGAAACAAGCTATTTTGATCATCAAGGAACTTAGACGATTTACAACATTATTGGACTTAGTCAGTATTTGGTGAAACATTATTTTGGACTTTGTTATTTTTGGAGATAGAAATATTT